CTACTGCCTGTCCAGCCAGAACTGTCCCCAGCCCTGGTTCTCATGCTCACCAGGGCATGCAGTGGGAGCTACAGCCCATCACAGGGGTACCCACAATTTCCCTATTAGGACCATTTCAAGCCCTGGATCTTGCACTTGCCAGTTGCCCAACTATTCGAGAAGAATATATTTTAAATGTTAGTTATTTGGTTTACAGAAAGACGGAGGGGAGAGACAGAGTATACACACATGCATTCCCATGACTAGTTCATTCTCCAAACATCCTCAAGGACCAGGGTTGAGCAAAGGCAGGGGCCAGGAGCCAGAAACTCAACACAGGCTCCATGTGAGTGGTAGGAACCCCATCACTGGCATAAACACTGTCCTCTCCCAGAGGCTGCATATTGGCAGGTAGCCAGAATCGGCCCCTGCTCTAGGTCCCAGACATCTTAATCAGTGTCTAGGCCAAATGCCTGCATCTAGAAGTCTAGCTTTAGCCCTGAACTGGTTTTTACCTTTGGGAAGACAGCACTGTGCTGGAGACAGCTTCTTGCTCGTTTTCCAGCCTGAATAATCCTTCAACCACTGGGTTACAACAAGCAGCAAAGTCTCTTTTTGTTGTTGTGGTTGTTTTATTTTTTGAATAGCCTAAGGTGTCTCCTCCCTATATGTTTTCCTTCCCCGTCATTTTTCTGGACAGATACTTGAGTCCCTTCTGAATGTCAATCACTGTATTTTCACTGAAGATACAAGGTTAATGTTTGGACTCAGGCCTACTTCTTGCCAGCAAAACGTGGAAGCCAGAGATGACAGAATATGTTCTGAGTGTTGTGCCAGGAGTCTTCCATACCACCCCCAAGGTAGTGAGTCACTAGGAAGACTTACAGGAGCCTACCTCCTATGGTGTTTTGTTGCTTTATTTTGTTTTACAGTGAAGAGATACAAAGCAAAATCCATCAAGGGAAAAGGCTCATGGGGTACAGTCAGAGTGGGGGTGGAGAGGAGCCAGAAGGAAGCTCAGCTCCCAGGGCTCTACCCTGGCGGAGCCGCACAACATGCACTTCATTCCTCTGGCAAGGAGTCATGACAACTTGCAAGGCTGTCTGTCAGGGAAGCTGACTTCAGTGTGTAGGATATGTTGTTGGAGGTGGCTCATGGAGATATCCATTGTTTAGTATGTACCAAGTTCCAGGCCCCCTGGAAGGAAAGCAGGTCTTTAGACAAAACTATACTGTACGCATAGTTTAGATTCATTGAGCCACTCTTACCAGGGGTTAGGAATCTTCCAGAAATTCACATGCCAAGGCCAGCAAACGGCCAAGCTAAGCAGGCTTAGAATGAGGATGAAATAAGGTCCCTAGAAACTTCACCAGGATGCTAATTGCCTCTGAATTTTAGGGAAGAGGAATTTAGATGCTCAGAATGTCTGCCTTTGTTTTGTTTCACCAATTCCAGGCAGCATTGTGTTCCAAAGAAGGCCAAGGTGATCCAGGTCCCCAAAGACAACCTTGTGATACAGAACTGCCACAGTGCTGGGGAAAAACAGTGATTTTATTCTGTTGTGTCTCCTACATATTAACAGAATAACTTTGAGTCTCTTTACTGATGAAGATGGCGAAGAATGCCTTTGCCAGATCAATAGCTGCATATCAGGTGCCAGGGACTGAATGGATCTGTTCAGGTAAAGATCCAGCCTCGTGGCTATAATCAAAACTACCCATTGGCTAACGTGGTGGCAGCCACTGTCATCCGCATTCGATATGGTCGTAGGCATGTGAATCCACTGGGAACCCACATCCTTGAGTCTTCAGTCTCTAATGGGGCTGCTGGTGTCCGTAGTTCCCAGATGTGCATAGACTGCTCTTTTCTTGTCTTGACATTTGGATCTTCCTAACAGTGAGGGAACAAGCATGCAAGTTTTGCTGGTTGTTGGGTCAATGCATCCAATCAGGAGACTGAGAAATGACTGCAAGATGGACCTGCGGATCTACTAGATCCCCAGGAGACAAGCGTGAGACTGAACTCAGGCCCAGGCTAAGCAGGGAGCTGCAATGACAGCCACGTATCGTCAGAACTCAGTATTCCATAGTCCCCCAAATGTCTGTGTGGACGGTTATGCTAGGACCATTGCTCCCTTTGAGGGAGAACTAGAGGAATATATATTGTATGAATTTTTAATGGCATCGCCAGGCCCTCTTTGGGAGGGAACTTGGCCATCCTTCTCTGGATGGGGTCTGAGTTTGAGAAGTGACTCAGATCTAGACATGAATGAGCACTTGTGGTCTTCACTGTGACCGTTGCCATCAGGCTTGGCTCCCCAGCTCTTCATTTCTTCTGCTTCTGCAGTCAAGTTATCCTCTAGTGAAGATCTCACATTTCTCTCCCTCGAGGAACAGGCTGGGTCAGCCATTGCCACAGCCACCTGTGTGTCCAGACAGCCTGATTCCCACTTCAGGCTTGCTGCTTGCCACACCCTCCCTGCCTCTGACAGTCAAGCAAGCCCCTGCACCTACCCTTGCACATTCAGAATCCCATTGGCTCCACTGCCACTGCCACATCTGGCCTACGCTGGGTCCCACTGCTGAGTTTCTCATGGATGACCTAATCTCCTAGGCTAGTGAGCTCTGTTTTGCATCAGGAGTAAAGGACCACAATGCTCCTGTCTTTATTTTCCAGCTTTTTAGGGGGAAATGTTAACACACAGGATGAGGTCTAAGAGACTAGACAAGCAGCCAACCAGTGAGGTGAAGGGTCAACAGTAGAAAAACCCAAGTGTAGAGCACATATGTAGGCTTTGTATTATTCTTTAATCGTCTTTCCACATATTCTGTAGCAACTGACATTCTTGTATTTTCTACTTCCAGTATGAAATCTGATCCTTAAGGAATACTGTGTTTGAGTCCCTGCCCAGGGACTTAAAGATTTATTTATTTGCTTAAAAAAAAAGTGACAGAACATTAAGGAAAGACAGAGCAAACTCTTCCATCTGCTGACTTACTCACCCAAGTAGATGTGACAGCCAGGGCTGGACTGAAGCCAAGAGCCAGGGATTCCATCTAAGTCTTCTATGTGGATGGCAAGAGGCCCAAGCACTTGAATCATGTGCTGCTCCCTAGTATTTACATTAATAAGGAACTGGATCAGAAGCAGTTCTCAAAACCAGGCACCCCAATAAGGAAGGTGGGCGGTTCCAAAGAGCATCCTAAGTGCTTCACCAAACACTCAGCCCTGTTCTCTATATTACTTAAAAATTCACTGATTTATTTATTTGAAAGAATAAGATACAGGGGAGCAAGAGAGAGAGATCTTCTAACTACTGGCTTACTCTCCAAATGGCTGCAATAGCCAGGGCTACTGAATCAAATGCTCACTCCTCAAGAACACCTTTTTTTTAAAAGATTCATTTATTTTGGGCCCAGCGGCATGGCCTAGTGGCTAAAGTCCTTGCCTTAAATGCACCGGGATCCTAGATGGGCGCTGGTTCTAATCCCGGCAGCCCCACTTCCCATCCAGCTCCCCACTTGTAGCCTGGGAAAGCAGTCGAGGACGGCCCAAAGCCTTGGGACCCTGCACCCGTGAGGGATACTGGAAGAGGTTCCTGGATCCTAGCTTTGGATTGGCATAGCATCGGGCATTGTGCTCACTTGGAGTGAATCATCGGACGGAAGATCTTCCTCTGTGTCTCTCCTCTCTGTATATCTAATAATAATAAATAATAATAAATAAATCTTAAAAAGAAAAAGACTCATTTATTTTTATTGGAAAGGCAGATATACAGAGAGGAGAAGAGACAGAGACAAAGATCTTCCATCCAATGGTTCACTCCCCAAGTGGCAGCAACGATCAGAGTTGAACCAATCCAAAACCAGGAGCCTCTTCCGGGTCTCCCACTTTGGTGCGGGGTCCCAAAGTTTTGAGCCGTCCTCAACTGCTTTCCCAGGCAACAAGCAGGAAGCTGGATGGGAAGTGGAGCTGCCGGGATTAGAACTGATGCCCGTATAGGGTCCTGGCGAGCTCAAGGCGAGGACTTCAATTGCTAGGCTATCATGCTGGACTAACATTTAAAAATTCATTCTTAAAGGGCTTAGCACAGTAGTTTTTCCTTATCTGACTTTCAATAAAAATAAATCTTTCAAAAAATCATAGGTTTCTACATTAAATACCAAGGCAAGTATTATATATACATGTTTTAAATATGTTTATTTATATAGCTCAGTGTTTGAAAATATAGAATAACTCATTTGGGTTCTCTGAGTCTTGATATCCAAAATTTTAGTCTACTTCCAAGAAACATTATGAATAATTAAATGATGTAAAACATCTGAAAGTAAATTAGAGAAGTCAAGAGCACTATGGCATGTAAGTTATTAAAATATTAATGAGGCAGTGTTAATGGCTAAGGTTTGCATTCACTTTCCTAAAGAAGTAAATGGCACTGATGGTCTTTAGGCCATCTTCCAGGCAATGCATGAAAAGCTTGATGTGTATAATCTTAGCACAACAATCAGGGGAGCCTTTTAAACTTTATTTCCAGACTCAGGGCCTAGCAGCTAAAGTCCTTGCCTTGAACATGCCGGGATCCCATATGGGAGCCGGTTCTAATCCCGACAGTTCTACTTCCCATCCAGCTCCCTGCTTGAGGCCTGGGAAAGCAGTCGAGGACAGCCCAAAGCCTTAGGACCCTGCACCCATGTGAGAGACCTGCAGGAAATTCCTGGATCCTGGCTTTGGATCGGCACAGCACCGGCCGTTGTGATCACTTGGGGAGTGAATCATTGGATGGAAGATCTTCCTCTCTGTCTCTCCTCTCTGTAGATGTGCCTTTGCAAGAAAACTAAATAAATAAAACTAGAAAGAAAGAAAGGAAGAAAGAAAGAAAGAAAGAAAGAAAGAAAGAAAGAAAGAAAGAAAGAAAGAAAGAAAGAAAAGAAAGAAAGAAAGAAAGAAAGAAAGAAAGAAAGAAAGAAAGAAAGAAAGAAAGAAAGAAAGAAAGAAAGAAAGAAAGAAAGAAAGAAAGAAAAGAAGAAAGAAAGTCTGGAAGAAAGAAAGAAAAAGAGAGAGAGAAAGAAAACCACAGGCTGGCTATCAGGAGAGGCTTCTGCATCGGACACAGGGTCACAGCGCCATGCTCAGAATGACGATAGGTCTGGGGAGTAATCTAGACTGCATCGGCATGGCTCCAGTCAGTCCCAGCAGAAAATGGTCCACACCATGAACCCCGTATATTGAACCCTCAACCAGTCAAGTGGTATCTTTGTTTTTTAATTTAAGTTCTTTAATTGAAGTTCTTTATTTTATGCACAAAGAGCTATCATGATTTTCCAAAGCATCACTGTCTTGCAGGATCCATTTAAGGAACAAGACTTAATCCAACTTGATGAAGCCGATATCCTTGGTGTACTGGCGGAAAAATGTCCAGGCCGTGTTTCCGAATCAGACCACGTGGTTCAAACACACTCAGCAAGAGCGGGAACCCTGGCCGAATTTCCGCGGGTGACTCCGATTGAGCTGCTGGTGACCCATTCGGTCCTCACAAGAGTGAGGAGGTAAAAGGTTGAGTGGCATCTTTCATTTACAAGTTTTCCAAGCAACACAGATGACTGGGTCATTGGGAATACTGCAAGAGTCAGAAGCTTACAACTCATTCTTAGCGTATCATCTAAGGCAGTGTGTTTTGTTTTGTTTTTTATCGGAAAGGCAGATACACAGAGAGAAGGTGAAACAAAGAGAAAGATCTTCCATTCACTGGTTCATTCCCCAAGTGGACGCAATGGCCAGAGCTGAGCCAATCCAAAGCCAGGAACCTGGAGCTTCTTCTGGGTCTCCCACATGAATGCAGAGTCTCAAGGCTTTGGACCGTTCTCCACTGCTTTCCCAGGCCACAAGCAGGGAGTTGGATGGGAAGAGGGGCCACCAGAATTAGAACAGGCACCCATATGGGATCCTGGTAGTCAAGGAGAGGACTTTAGCTGCTAGGCTACCACACTGGGATGCTACTGAGGAGGCAGTCAACACTTCAGTGTGGGTTTGGCAGACAAATTCAAGCAGAGATGAAATTTCAGAAGTTGATTATGCATCAGTTGTCTTGTTATTTTACTAAAATACTTGAAAGAAGGTTCTGAGGAGGAAGCAGGTTGATTTCAGCTCATGATTTGGAGGTTCACAAATCATCAGGCAGTCCTACTACTCAGTGTCCGATGGAGCCTGGCAATGACCAAGTGTGTGTGGAGGAAATTATCTTACATCGAGCCAGGAGGCAGAGGGACTTTGGGAGAACAGCCCCCCTCTACCCGCTGGATGCACTCTCCTTACAAAGCTCCCGAGGTTCCTTCCCAGGGCTCCACCCTAGCAACCTCATACAATTCAACAACTTCCCAAAAGCCTGACCATGAGACATCATAATTAGATCAAGACTCCACCTTAATCCGTCCCTAATCCATTAACTGTTGGCATAAGACTTGGGGGGGGGATTAAATGTCTGCATGATTTGGGAAGGCAAATCCTGTCCAGGCAAGACAGCTAGCCTGCTTTGTCACTGTGGCTGTTTTTCCCCTGAGCTGTAACATGTGATTCACAGTCATGAATCATCCATTGCTGCATCACTCCAAATGATAGAACACAAGTTACATAGCAGCTGTGCGGCCACAGTGTGCCTGACTATGGATTGACTGTTATTAATTAGCTTTGAGTTGAGACGGTGCTTAATTTTTAGCACTGTGACTTTGGTGAATGTGCTTCTGATGGATTGGGGTAAGAAAAATCAGAATGAGCACAATCCCCACCATAGCACGACACAGGCATCGCTGAAAATGCAGGCAAAATGGTTGTTGTTTCACTGACAAGTGGAAGGACTTTGACTACCACATTAGGAAAGCAAGTAATCAAAACATATTATACTACAACATAATGCTCAACAAGAAATTTGGGGCTGCAAACAGTGGAAAAGGAAAACAAAAATCAAGGCTGAAACTCACAAATTCTAGATGAGGGCGTTTTGTCCCTTTTCCTCCTCAACACACCACTGCTTGGTCAAGCCTAGCAGCCACTCAACAGTTCGGGCAAACCATACAAACACAAATGCACTATCATACGGATAGATCTGTTGATATTGGTACATGTATTGGCAGATCTATCTTACTGATTATCATATTTTAGATGGCTCTATGCAATTGATCATTATGTTTTCTGATTCAAACATTGAAACTTCAAGTTCCATGAGAGAACAAAGAAGAAACTCTGATAACAAACATGTTGATCCCTGGCAGTCTAAAGCTGACCCGTCAAGGTCTTACGACCATCAGGTTTGTACAGGTGCTTCGTGGCACCAGAAACCAGCAAGGCTCCCCTAATTCTCAGGCACTTGGGAACACAGGCTCAAATCATCTTTGGTTCTTTGACAATCAGCTCAAAACTGAAGCAGCATAAAATGAGGGGCTGGCACAGTGGCATAGCAGGCTAATTCTCTGGCTACAAATGCTAACATCTCATATGGGCACCATTTTATGTCCCAGCTCCTGGCTCCCAACTTTGGATCAGCTCTGCTCTAGCCGTTGAGGCCATTTGGGGAGTGAACCAGAGGATGGACAATCTCTCTGTGTCTTCCTCTCTTTAAAACTCTGCCTCTCAGACCAGCACTGTGGCATAGTACGCTAAGTTTCCGCCTGCAACATTATCATCCTATAAAGGCAACTGGTTCGGATCCCAGAAGCTCCACTTCTAGTCCTGCAGACAAGCTGATGTAAGAGCTCCCTGTATATCCTTCTCTTTGTAGCCCTGCCTTTCCAATAAAATAAATAAATTTTTAAAAACCCTCTGCCTATCAAGTAAAATTTTTATTTGAAAGGTAGATTTTTACCTTTTGTTTTTCCTGTAGAAAAGGTAGAAAGAGTCTCTATCCACTGGTTCACTCCCCAAATGGCCTCAAGAGCTAGAACTGAGCCAACCCAGAGCCTGGAGCCAGGAGCCAGGAGTGTCCTCAGGGTCTCCCATACGCACACCAGGGCCCAAGAACTTGAGCCATTCTCTACCGCTTTCCCAGTCCATACACAGGGAGCTGGATTGGAAGTGGAGCAGCTGGATTAGAACTGGTGCCAAATGGGATGCTGGCTCTTGTAATCAGAGGATTAGCCTGTTCAGCCACTGCAACAGCCCCAAAACAGATCTTTAAAAAAAAGCATAAAACTAAAGACCACTGATCTGTTCTGATAAAAACTAGATTTCATTTCTCTGCATATGTAGCAGACAACACAAAATGTAAGTACTGACATAGCTCACTCAGTCTAGAAGATTCTTGGTGAAGAAAGTGAAAAGTTTCAGGGGAGAGGGAATTTGCGGAGGAGATAAGGGAAATCCCAGAGCCTGTGGAATTGTACAATAAAATAAAAACAAATAAATAAATGTGTTGTGCATTAAAAAAATGTTAAACTTAATTTCTTGTTCAGAGAGCTAGGTAAAAGAAAAGGAAATGAGAAGCTTCCAACGTGCCTGGGAGAAGAGCAGAAGAGGGCCCAAGTGCTTGAGCTCCTGTCACCCACAGAGAGACTCAGACGGACTTCCAGGCTCCCCACTTTGCCCTTGCCCAGCTCCAGCCATCTGGACACTGATGAGTGAACCAGCAGACAGGTGATCTCTTTCTCCTCCTCTCTGTAACTCTGCCTTTCAAATAAATCAAAGAAAGTGGTGGGGTGGGGGACAGGGAGTAAGGGCAGGAAGGTGGGAAGGAGGACGGAAGGAAGAAAGCGAAGGCCTTGCTTGTCAGTGTGGACATCATGTGTGCAACATCCTCAAGCAAGGTAAGGTGTGCCCCAGACACTGAAGCTGTCACCGTGTGGTCACTTTTCCACTTCTCAAAAAGAAGTAACTTGATGAGAAGTGACTAGCAGCTCAGCTCTCGTCAAGCCCGCGTGAGACGGACTCCTGCAGTCAGTGCATTGTGAACACATCATGCTCAATGTTCTCTCGACAGAAGCATTCAGCGTGGCACAGTTAGGATTTCCGGTTTCCTCACCGCAGAAGGGAAAGGAAGGATGGATGAGAGACTGTGGGCAACTGAGCAGTGTTACTGGAAAAGGAAACAGGAAAAGCAAAAATATCTTATCGCATCATGGGACGGAAAGAAATGTTATGATTACTTTGTATTGAATACAGAGGGTAATTTTAGCTAGTATTGTACTTGTACTCTTGTATCTATGCATCTCATTTATGAATTTCAAAAATAGAGTTGGTCGGGCCCGGCGCGGTGGCGCAAGTGGTTAAGTCCTCGCCTTGCACGCCCGGGATCCCATATGGGCGCCGGTTCTAATCCCGGCAGCCCCGCTTCCCTTCCAGCTCCCTGCCTGTGGCCCCGGAAAGCAGTCGAGGACGGCCCAAGGCTTTGGGACCCTGCACCCGTGTGGGAGACCCGGAAGAGGCTCCTGGCTTCGGATCGGCATAGTATCGGCCCGTTGCGCTCACTTGGGGAGTGAATCATCGGACGGAAGATCTTCCTCTCTGTCTCTCCTCTCTGTATATCCGCCTTTCCAATAAAAAATAATAAAAATAAATCTTTAAAAAAAAAAAAAAAATAGAGTTGGTCTCTGGTCATGAGCTCTGCCGGGTAGACTCGTGGGAGCTGCTGGGCCTCCTCATTTTCAATTGTGCATGTTCCCCTTTTCCTCCCCAGCACCCTGAGCTCCGCTGTGCAGTCTCTGTCATCAGCAGTTGCTTCTCCTGGGAAGTTCGAGGTTGGCCTTGAGACTCTCGGCTCCCATTCTGCAGCAGGAGTAACTTCAGCCTGGACTTGTGAGCCTGGGGGGGGGGGGGAGCACCTTCACTACACAAGCCAGCCCAGCACCAGGCATGTCTGTTGCTTTTTTTTTTTTTTTCATTTATTTTTATTGGAAAGTCAGATTTATTGAAAAGAAAGACAGAAAGATCAGTCCACTGTTTCACTCCCCAAGTGGCTGCAATGGCTAGAGCTGAGTCAATCCAAAGCCAGGAGCCAGGAGCTTCTTACAAGTTTACCATGCAGGTGGAACAGCTGAGATACAAACCAGCACACACATGGAATCCTGGCACATGCAAGCAGAGGACTTTAACCGCTAGGCTACAACTCTGGACATGCTTCTTTTATTTTGTTCAAAGACAATTTTTGTAAGATTCTTAAAAAAAATTTTTTTTGTTACTACTTAAAACTTTTTAAGACTCTTCTCTTTAGATCTAGTTGTCTTGATCCCAAATCCCCACATCCAAACAGCAATTTCTGGACCATCTAAGAAAAGGTTAAATTATTTGGGGGTGGCCTTTTTTTAATGACAACATCTCATTGGTAAATCCTCAGTGTTAGAAGAGAGTTACAGGAAAGGGGAAATTAGCTACTGTGATACACACAGAACCCACAGACCACAAACTGGGGCGTCAAAATCAATGTAACAGCTTTCAGCACCTTATTTTTAAGTAAGTTAATATAAAACAAAGTCACCTAAAATGGGAAATGCTACCACAGCAGTAATTCTTAGCCTTGGCAATATACGGAATTGGTTTTTCAAATTCATATACTTTTAAAAAAATATCAATGTCTGAAATGAAACTGAGATTCAGGGCCCAGCACAATAGCCATGTGGCTAAAGTTCTTACCTTGCACTTGCCAGGATCCCATATGGGCGCCAGTTCATGTCCTGGCAACCTCACTTCCTGTCCAGCTCCCTGCTTGTGGCCTGGAAAAGCAGTTAAAGATGGCTCAAGGCCTTGGGACCTTGCAGCCACATGGGAGACCCAGAAGAAGCTCCTGGCTCCTGACTTTAGATAGGTTCAGCTCCAGCTATTGCACCCGCTTGGGGAGTAAATCAATGGACAGAAAATCTTCCTTTCTGTCTCTCCTTCTCTCTGTATACTTGACTTTCCAATAAAAATTTTTTTAAAAATCTTAAGAAAAAATTAGAAACAGATCAGATTTCACTGGTCTGCGATACGGCCTGAGCACTCTCTATGGTACAAGTCAGAGTATTTTTCTTTCAAAATTGCCAGCTTCCTTAGGAAAGCTGCCTTCTGTTTGTGACTGGACTGTTGTTTTGCCACCTCAGATTCCTCAGTGGCATCAGCTCCCCAATCACCTCAGCACATCCCCCGACACTGGCACCTGCCCGCACGCGCGCGCGCGCACACACACACACACACACACACACACACACAGCTCCTGACACTTCTTCCTTCATGCCCGTCACCAGCAGTGGACTTCTTGCTTGAATGTAGCCATTCTTTGGGAAGTAAGTCAAACAATTTGGAAAATGACATGTGACCTCAACTACCAGTGGTAGCTGTGGTAAGATGGGGCAGTGGGTGGCAACAGGGACAAGCAGCAGAGATGAAAGTGATTGTGGCCGCTGTGCTGGGAATGGCAGCGGGCGCCAAAGTGGGTGGCCCCAAGCCAAGACAGCTGCTCTTGTCCAGAGAGACTTCCCTCCTCAGAGCCCACTGCGTCTTCTGACAAGCAGCAAGTGGCCTTTACCAAATGACTGACAGAGGGAGTATGTACCACACTGTTTCCAAGAGACCCTCAGGCACTGAGGAGGACCCAGCTGGGCCAAGGTGATCATTTGCTTGACGACGCCCCTTCAGGCACTTCTTTCCCTTCCCGTCACTTCCCACTCCCCTGCCAAGGCCTTTTGGAATCATCTCCCAAGTCCTTGTTTCAAGGTCTGTTTCTGGTGGAACCCAAGCTGAGACAGTGCATGGTGAACCAAGGATTATGATTCAAGCACATATGGCACATGAACAAAACCAGAGTCTGTGCCAAGCCACAAACCTTCAGCAAATTTCAAGATTTGTCATATAAAATAATGCTCCCAAACTGCAATTAAACAAGATAACTAGAAAAAAATCCCCTTAAGTTTAGAAATTAATACAATTCCAAATAACATGAGATCAACAAAGAAATCAAAAGAGAAAGTCATGCTTTGTAGAAAATTTGAGTACGAGAAAAAAATGACTGGAAACCAATGAGCTAAACATTGGTCCCACAGAGAAGGAAAACAGAAAAGTAAATGCAAAGGAAGAAGGAAATAAAAAATCAAAAATAAATTCTGTGAAGATACTGACAAGATCCTGTTCCTGATTGATCAAGAACAGAGGGAAGAAGGTATATAGACAAGTTAGACATGAAAACAACTGCCATTACACACCTCCACAGGCCTTAAAAATGAAGATATTATGAAAAAAAAATTACAACGATTAGAAAATGTTACATACCTAGAAATCCACAAACCCAATCAAGTCCTGGAATTTCTTGCGGTGATTTACACAGGGGCACAGCTTAACTTGCTACTTGGCACCTGAAACCCAAACCAGAGTATTTGCTTTAAGCCCTAGCAATTCTGCTCTTGACCCAGCTTCCTGCTTAATGTGCGACTTGGAAAGCAGCAGGTTTAAGTACTGAGGTCCCTGGGGCCGATGTACGAGACCAGGATGGAATTACAAGTTCCCATTTTTGACCAGGTCCAGATCAGACTGTTGTAAGCATTTGAAAAGTACAGCAGATGATGCAAACTTTGTCTCTCTGTCTCTGCCTATCTATCTTTCAAATCAAAGTGAAAATAATAAATATAACATAAATTGCTTGCAATACAATGCCATCAAGATTGTGGTAAAAGGGCCTGGCCGGTAGCCTTGTGGCTAGAGCCCTTGCTTGGCACCCACCAAGATCCCGGTTTGTGCCACGGCTGCTCCACTTCTCTTCCAGTTCCCTGCCTGTGGTATGAGAAAGCAGTCGACAGACCAAAGCCTTGGGTCACTGCACCCGCATGGGAGACCCAGAAGCTCCTGGCTCCTGGCTTCAGATTAGTTCAGCTCCAGCTGTAACACCCACCTGCGGAGTGAACCATGGATGGAAGATCTTTCTCTATGTCTCTCCTCTCTCTGTAAATCTGACTTTCCAATAAAAATATATTTTTTAAAAAAAGGTTGTGGTAAAAGTGAAATCTTCAAGGTTTCCATCTTCATTCTCTTGGAGCCCTGAGATGACCGTACAAGAAAGTTGATTTAGTCTAATGGAAGAGAAGCCAATTAGAGGTCAAGTTCTAATAGGTAGACTGGAGCACCAATCTGTGTTTTAATCATACCTTTTATTTGCAAGGACCAGAATCCTGCTGAAGCTTACTCAAGAAAAGTAGGCTGGAATGAAAACATTCAAAGACCTAGGCTTCATGCACAGTCCAGAAAAACTGCAGCTGGCAGCAGAAAGCCACTGGGACTTCAGTGGTCCTTCCAGGGACTTTGGCATCTGATTGGCATCCTCCATGCACTACCTGGGTTTCTTCCCGTCTCAGCCACACACAGCATTTGCTGCCTTTGAAGCCTACCTCTATAGGACTTCCCTTCCAGGATCTTATGTCAAAAATACAGATGGATTTACTTCTTTGAAAGTCAGAGCTACAGAGAGAGAACATGAGACAGAGAGACAATTTCCTTTGTCTTGGAGATTAATTCTCAGAGGAGATTCCATGGGCTAAGCTCATTTTTTTGTTGGTTCATCTTTTGGTTTTTGTTTCAGCCAGAGTACGAGTCTTGAGCTTCAAACAGCTGATTACTCTGAATCCCAGAGGCCTGAGGTCCCTGCAGGGTTGAGCAATTTGTCTGAGTGTCAGCCATGGGCATGCTTGCTTTTGCTCTGGATTCTGTCTCCTGCATTCTTGCTCAACTGTTCTCTGCCCATTAGAACCTGACCCCTGCAGAGGGACTCGTCATCAATCAGCCATGCTCGAGGAGCTTGTCATCCTGAGAAGTTGTGGCAGCCACACTCGGTACCTGCCCAGGGCACGCAGGTGTCTCCTCTGCAGGCTGAGGACTGCTTTCTTGAGTCTGTCCTTCTGCTTGCACTTTCTGATGACAGCACAGCCTGCCTGTGGTAGGTAGGCTGGAAATACCAGATGGTCATGTGCATGAGACATGGGAGTAGGTGGATAAACATCCCAATTTTCCTGCCCTCCTGAGAGAATAAATGACTTATGCTCCAGGCAGACTCCCCAAGGTCCTGGTGGGATTTCACTCTTCTTGCCCACAGTGGTAACTGACTGGACAATGTACCTTTCACTGGCTGCCTTCCTTCTTCAATCTCCTACCCGCATTTCTGAGATCAAATTCCATATACACTATCCACTCAAATTCTCAAGGTTGGTTTCAAGAGAAACGTCAACTACGATACAAATCCAGTACAGAAGTCACCTTCTTCCAGGCTGTTGTTTCCAGTCAGAAAGCCAGTATATCCATCCCCATTGCTTAATGCCTTTGTCTATGTCGCTCAGGTGATCCTGAATTCAGCCAGGAAAGATACACTGCTTTTCTCCCATGCACATGTGGCAAGTGACAGGAAATGGCAATCTGGCAGCCTTAACCTCAACGAACAGCTGGAGTACCTTGCCACCACGCTGGCTACTCATTGGTACACCGACTGAATCTGGGGAATGGAGGACCAGGGATTCTTCCTGGCCAGCTCTCCTGGGGCCCCCTCAGATGCTGAAAGCAAGATTCAAAGCCCAGTGTGTAGTTTCATTTATTGGGAGTCCCGACATTTAGGAAAATGAGGGCTCCAATCGTCAACTCTTCAGAAGTGAAAACACCAAGGGACCACACACTCCTGTCCAGCTTTCCTGCAGTCAAAGGAGTCCTCAAGAGGCAGGGAGTGGCTGTGCCTGCTGAGAAAACACATCAACATTTACTGGAACCTCTGTCAGCCCTGTGATCATAGCTGGCAAACAGAAGCTGCCCTTGTAGAGTTCTCAATCTCAAGGGAGAGGGTGTCAGGCAATGACCTTGACCATCTAGGTGAATTAGGAGCAGGGAAGGCATCATTTGGCCATATTTGTTGGGCACCTGCTGCATTTTTGGCATTGCTGCACATCCGTGGGATTCAACAGGGATGGCTAAAACCTCTGACCCTGGGGAGCCTCCAATGAAGAAGACAATGTATAAACAGATGTGTGAAATACTGAGAAGTTCCATACAGAAAACTAAATGGAATAAGAAGCAAAGGTGTGTGTGTGTGAAGAGAGGGAAAACGTGTAGCACTTTCAACTAGCAACACCACAACCTTGACATAGCCCATAATGCCTTTCTATCTTGTTGCAACAAGAACAATTCCAAAAGCTCAAACAAAAACAAACTCATCCTTAGCCTTGCATTCCATTTTTGCCATAAACATTTAAAGTGCCATCACAGGAGATGAGACAGAGTGTGTGTATGCTATTTAGATTCAAGAATAGAGGAGGTCCCAATCTCATTGCCCCGACCAGGGAGGAAAAACTATCACTAGGAGGCCCTCACCAGCAGAGGCCTGGGGGTTACTACTCCGCGCACACTGGAGAACCATGAGGAGGTCACAAAGGGAGAGATCTGACCTGACTTCCATTTTTAAAAGTTCCTTTGCCTGCCAGGAAAGAAAAGCCAGTTAGGGCAGGGGTGGCCACAGCAAAACCAGGGAGAGACAAGTTGTCTGTCCCGGAAGGAAGGAGCACTTGGCCCTCAGATGGCAGGGTGGGGTCTTAACTGTGCAGATGCCATCAACACTTGGAAAAGAAAGGAATATCCCCAACAGATGGCTGGCTGAAAACTCGTGGGGATCATGTGGAGTCATGGCTGTTTCCTGAGGAGCCATTCCACTCCTTCCAGCTGGTTTCTGAAGCAGCCAATGGGAGGGAAGTGACAGGATATGAGCCACGTGGGAGCCTGTGGGCCTCCAGGGTCCGGGATGGGGCATCAGAGGAGGTTTTCTGAGGGATGGGGCTGTCCAGCCTACAACAGGAATTAGTCGGCAGATGCCAGGGCGGTCCAGGCACAGAAACAGAGCTGGACAAAAACAGGAGAGGCACCCGGTGCTCATGTTCACCAGGCCTAGAACAAAGAGCTCAAAGTGGCAGGTGGATGACAGATGGGGCCAGAGGTCCCAGGGGCTACATCCAACAGGGTCCTGGAGGATGGGTCACAGTGACAGACATGCTACCAGTTCTAAACAGATGCCACACCAGCCATGGGCAGAGTTCCAGAGACCACCATGAGACCACCAGAGAGAGTGGACTTTGAAGGGTCAGCTGGAGCACAGAGGTCTGAGAGAAAGATAGTCAGGAATGAGGGAGAAGGCAGGGTTACAAGGACAGGGAGGCGGTCTCCACAGGGGCTGCGGAAAGACGGGGCCTGTGTCTTGGGAGTGCAGAGGGTAGGGGAAGGCGAGAAACACCTAATCACTGGAACCCCTGCAGAGTCATCTTAGTTGGTTTTCAGAGTCAGCCCACCCATGAACCAAGTAAAATCCACGAAAGTTTAATACACAAGTACACGGTATATTTTATGCTTTTGTACTTGAAAGAATTAAGTCTGTATCTGTTTTGTTTTCCTTTGTGTGACCCATCGTCTCTGTCAGGGAGGAGGTGAGCCTGCAGGCAGCTGGGTTTTTGTTCTTGGTGTGACGAGGAAACCATTGGAAGGGCATACTGTAACTACATTTCAGTTCCTGAGGCTTGCCCCAGCCTGTATAACGAGGCAAGGTAAGAGGCAGGAACCCTGGCGCTGGGGTGAAGGGGAAAGTTGGCTGAACTAAGCAGAGGCTATGGAGAGACAAGTGGTGACCATGTTCTGGAATCTCACCTTACAGCAAAGTGAAGGCCTCGGTGGGCGTGGGTTGGCCTGAGGATGACTTTGCTTTTTTTTTTAAACCTACACAGCTAGAATAATGAAGGGGAATTTGGGGGGTGGGGACGTACAGGGAGCCTCCCTTACCTCTACCGTTGTGGGTGAAGGCGGCAGCCGCACCTGCTCAGCACACTGCAGGAAGCGGCGCACGTGTTCCGCACAGTTGCCCACCGTGGCCTCGTTCTGGCGCAGACACTCCTCGAAGGCCTCAAACGGCTCAGCACAGGCCTGGCGGATCTGGCGGATGATCGGGCTGTGCAGACGGGGCATGTCAGATCCTGGGAGCCCTCATGCCGCCTCCATGCCACCACCCAGCCCTCCACCTCGCTCCCCGTGTACCTGCCCCCACTCACTGGGTGGATGTGCACCGAGCAATGCTCATCTTCAGGTGGTGACAGTCCCGCTGCCAGGACTCGGGCTTGGCCGCCACACACTGGCCATACTGTTCCAGCTCTCGGCTGCAGTAGCGGGCAGTGATCTCCAGGGCTGCCTGCCTGTGGGAACAGGGTGGGCTGAGGATCATTTCAGGCTGTGGGCCAGGAGAGGAGTTCTCAGTGAGGTCAGAGTTAGGGCTGGGATTCATGCGAGGCTGGAGATCCCGAGATGGAGCCAGGAAGATGCAGCAGTCAGGCTTGACGTTTGGGGAAAAGGGTGGGTGGGAAGCCTAGAATAAAGTCTGGTTATTATAATCTTTTGAAGATTTATGTTATTTATTTGGTTTTTATTTTTTTTAAAGATTTATTTATTTTATTGGAAAGGCAGAGAGGAGGAGAGACAGAGAGGAAGATCTTCCGTCCAATGATTCACTCCCCAAGTGATCACAACGGCCAGTGCTGTGCCGATCCAGAGCCAGGAGCCAGGAACTTCCGAGGCTCCCACACGGGTGCAGGGTCCGGAGGCTTTGGGCTGTCCTCAACTGCTTTCCCAGGTCACAAGCAGGGAGCTGGATGGGAAGTGGAGTTGCCGGGATTAGAACTGACGCCCATATGTGCCCAGATGCTGACACTGCTGATAGCAGCTTAACCTGCTATGGCACTGACCTAAGGTCTGGTTATTCTAATGCAAGCCTTGGCTGGGACAGGAGAGTCCTTCTGCCGTCAACAACCTTCAAGAAAGATCTTGTGGGTTAGGTACTCCCCAGTAGTTCTGGCAGAAGGCTGAGCTTTTAGAACTAAGATTCAGGGAGCCTGGTGTGGTGGCCTAGCAGCTAAAGCCCTCTCCTTATACGCACCAGGATTTCATATATGGGCGCCAGTTCTAATCCCGGTGGCCCCACTTCCCATCCAGCACTCTGCTTGTGGCCTGGGAAAGCAGTGGAGGATGGTCCAAAACTGTGGGACCCTGAACCCCTGTAGGAGACCCAGAAGAGGCTCCAGGTTTCTGGCTTCAGGTTGGCTCAGCTCCAGCCATTGTGGCCGCTTGGGGAGTGAAGCATCGGATGGAAAATCTTCCTCTCTGTCTCTTCTCCTATCTGTATATCTGAGTTTGCAACAAAGATAAATAAATCTTTTCTAAAAATTTTTTTAAAAAGTAAGTTAGGGACCAGTGCGATAACCCAGCAGCTAAAGTCCTTTCCTTTAACGCGCCGGGATCTCTTATAGGTGTGGTTCATATCCCAGCAGCCCCACTTCCCATCCAGCTCTCTGCTTGTGGCCTGAGAAAGTAGTAAAGGTCAGCCCAAAACCTTGGGACCCTAAACCCGCATGGGAGACCCAGAGGTGGCTCCTAACTCCTGGCTTTGGATCAGTACAGCTCTGGCTGCAGAGGCAGCTTAGGGAATGAATCATTGGACGGAATATCTTCCTGTCTCTCCTCATCTCTGTATATGACATGCTGATAAAAATGAAATAAATCTTAAAAATAAAAAAGTAAGGTTCAAAGTTCTAGGGAGACATGCGTTTGCAGGTCCTAAAAATGAGGCTTAAAGGTCTTGGGGAAGGAACGCTCGACAAGAGGAGTTACAGATTGGAGATGAGAGCTGAGGCCCAGGAGAGGTTGGAGGATCCTCCGGTGGGACTCGGGATGCTGTCCTCTGCTTGGGTCTGCAAGCTCTAGATGCGGGGTAGATCTGCAGAGTCCTGTGAGCTACTGACGTTTGCGGGACTAGGTCTGAGCAAACAGGACGGTCACAGGGGACTGGGAACAACTGTGACAGCCGTAAAGGAAACATCTGGGCCCAAGGCCCTGGCGCTGACGGTGCTGCCTCACCTCCCAGGCAGCTCCCTGCTGTTGCGCCTGGGAAAACAGCGGAGGACAACAGGCGCTTGGGGTCCCTGCACCCCCGTGGGGACCGGGACAAAGATCCTGACTCCTTGCTTCACACTGGCCCAGCTTGATCGTTGTCGCTATTAGGGGAGTGAGCTAGGGTACGGGAGCTCCCCGTTTTTTTAACTCTGCCTGGCAAGTGAAAACGTTTAAGAGGTTGCAGCTAACGAGCCAGCAGGGAAGTGGAGCCTCCTGGTGGAAGGGGGACGGGCCCAGAGCAGCTTAGGGGCGGGCCTCCGAGTCCTCGGCTCTCCCAGCAGATCCTTCCCGAGACCCCAGGCCAGGCCGAGGAGCAGGCTCGCGGCTGCAAGGGCGTATGGGCGCTCCAGCTACTCACATGGCCGGGAAGTGCCGGTGTGGGCTCAATCAGGCAGCGACAGCCCGCCTCTTCCGGTGCAGGCTCTCGTGGCGGCGCACGGCTCAGCCCGCCCTGCCTCGCTTTTCCGGTTGGTTTTGCTTGTTGCTTCTAGCTGCGGATTGACAGCCCCGGACCCTTTAGAACCCAATGCGTCATGGCGACGCCCTTGGAGGCCACTTCCGGCACCGGCATGTCATGGCGGCGCCCATTCTAATCCCTTCCGTGCTAGCGGCCTCACAAGCTATTTCCGGCTCGTAGCGGCGTCGCCCGAGGTCACCGGAAATACACCTTCAGCGATGCGACGAAGCGCCAGCCTCAACGCAAGTGCCGCGCCTTGTGGGATGGATATGGCGCTGTCACGTGTTCGACAAGTCGCCTAGGTGACGTATTTCTGTGCGCGCCCAGGCTTGGCGGGAAGGGGCTAGTATGGCCAGGTCTCCTGTGTCCCCACCTCTTGTGTAGAAACTGTAAATCCTAGATGCTGGTGGCTTTTAGCGCAGGCATCACGGGAAGCGCCACCGTTTTCCCTCCCTTCTCCTTCCACAAAGTGCGCGTTTAGATCTGAGCGTGTGAGCATGCGGCCGTGCCTTGCTGAGAGAAGGGAGCGTAGAGAGATTTTGCAAAACTCTAGCTAAACCGAGCAGGAAACGCAGTAAATCATCGTGTTTCAGGTGACACGCCCACTGCCAGCTTGGTTTTCCATCCATTTGGGGATGGTGACTGTTGGGACCTCTGCAGCCCTCCTACTGGTTACACCCACTCTCCCCTTGATCTCACATGTGCTGGTTGGGTGCTAATGGCCTTGTCCGGTACATATGCCTCGCCTCACCTCGGCATTTGCCAGTGGGTGCTGTAGCCTGGCCAGGTCCGGCCTGTCCCCTGTTCCAGCTCATGCTGGTGGGAACTACAGCCTAGCCCAGCCCAGCCAGCCCCCCCAGTTCCAGCCCTAGTGTGAACTGGCTGGTATTGAAGCCCGACCTGGCATGACCTATATACCATTCTGGTGCTTGGATTTGCTAGAGGGTGGTATGAATCGGTCTTTTCTGGCTCACCCCAGACCTGAGCCCATGGGTACCGTAACCTGGTCTGTTCTGGGCTGCTCCTGTCTTGGTTCTTGCACTCACCAACAGGGATTGTGTCCCAACACAGGAGTTGCCAAGCTCCTCCATCAGAACCTCTCCCAGTGCCAGATGTCACACACACTGGTGGATCCATGGGCCAACCCTACTTAGTAAACCTCCTGTCCTAGCAGGAACAGTGGTCTTTCCTGACTGGCCCTCACCATTCTGGTTATTGTTGGGTGCTACAGCTCAGCCTAGCCTGGTCCATACACAGACACAGCTATATCCTCCTTGTGTACCTGGATATGTTGTCCACTGCTCCTCTGAGCCACCGAGGAGGCTCAGCTTAGACACATGCTCTCTACGGTCAGATCGTGGAATCTGAAATTCTTTTCATGGTTGGGGTTCTGAGCTTACACACACACTGGTGATTGCAATTGCTGGGTCAGTTCTGTCTCTAGCCCCATGTTTTACACAACCCAATGGGTATTAGAGCCCATTCTGATCCTACCCAGCACTCACTTGGCCCTCAACGCAAACTGGCAGGAACTGTAGCTCAGTCAGAGCGACCCACAATAAACCCCTCCTGGCCCATCCCTGCCCTGGTTCCTGTGCTTGCCAGTATCTACAGCAGACTAGTCCAGTCTGTCCCACATCCCATTCAGCTCTCATACATGTCAATGGGCACTGAAGCCCAGTTCAACCCATCCAGCCCCACAATCCAGCCCACACATGTGCCAATAGGTGCCATTCTGTCTAGCCATTGGCAAACAGAAGATCTTCCTGTCTTTCCTCCTCTGTGTATATCTGACTTTCCAATACAAATAAATAATTTTTTTATTTCCTCCCCCCCCCCAAAAAAATAAATCTTTTTTAAAAAAGAAAAAACACTCTTAGCCTGCTAGCCATATAAAAACAGGTGGCAGGACACGTTTGGCCTTTAGAACATAGCCTGCCAGCTGCTGCTCTGGGCTTTCATTGCATCCATTTGTGATCCCAATACTGCATTCCTGGAGCTCAGTCACATGATCACTTGATCTTATGCACAGTCCTACGGATGCTAAGTAACAGTACTACTACTCCATTCCTAGAGACAAGCAACATATCAGTTTTGTTGTGTAGTTTGGGATTCATTGAACTTCATGGATCTGGGGTATAGAACTTTCATCAAATATGGAAACATTTTATTTATTATTTTACTTATTCCTCAAGAGAGGATTTACTTTTGCTTCTGGAAGGCCAACAGCCTAGAAGTCCCAGGTGACATCCAGTTGGGGGCCAAGGCAATCTCAGTTTGCAGTGTTCTGTTTCCAGTTCGGTCTCAATTGTGGCATTTAGCTTTTTGCTATTCCTGTGTTAAGCCCGGGAAGCTGGAATGTGAGGGTGATCTACAAGCTAACATGCTGGCAGCCCATACTGGAGTGCCTGGGTTTGATCGCCCACTCCCCTCCTTCCCATCTTCCTGCTAATGAGTCCCAAGAGGCAGAAGGTGACTGCAGCGGCTGAGTCTCTGACACCCATGTGGGAGATCATGTGGAAGAGTTCTTTCACATAAAAGTATTTTAAATAAAAAACTGGGCATGGCATGATAGTCTAGCAGCTGAAGTCCTCACCTTGCACACGCAGAGATCCCATATGGGTGCCAGTTTGTGTCCCATCGACCCTGCTTTCTATCCAGCTCCCTGCTTGTGGCCTGGGAAAACAGTCAAGGATGGCCCAAAGCCTTGGAATGCTGCAACCAAGTGGGAGACCTGGGAGAGCTCCTGGTTCCTGATCAGTGCAGCCCTGGCCATTGCAGCTACTTGAGGAGTGAATCAGCAGACAGAATATCTTCCTCTCTGTATATTTGACTTTCTAATAAAAAAAAAATAAATCTTAAATTAAAAACTAAGAAGGGGGGATAACACAGTTACCCCATCCAACTGCAAGCAGCAGCATCCCATATGGGCACCAGTTCTCCCAACTGCTCTTCTAAGACAAAGGGAGAGAGAAGTCCTGCATCTACCATTGGTTCACTGCAATTCCTGGGGCTAGGCCAGGCCAAGATGAGCCAAGAGCTCCACCTGAATCTCCCATGATGGTGGGAGACCAAGCACTTGGGGCACTTCTGTTGCTTCCCAAGATGTTTCAACAGGAAGCTGGAGCAGCTGGTACTTGAACAGGCATTCCAACAGGGGATGTTAGCATTGCAAACAGTGGCTTATTGAGCTATGCCACAACACAAGGTAGGCCTCTATCTCACTGTTTTTACAGCCATTACATGCTGAAATGACATTTGGCTGTATCACGTTAAAATATTAAAATTATTTCTAAGATATAGAAAAAAAAAACCGTAATGATGGGTGAATAAAGAAATCAGGATATTACAGAGTACAATATTACTCAGCCATAAAAACAGAGGGAAGGCCACCACTTGCTTACATAATGAACCTTGAGGACATCGAGCAAAGTGAAATCAATCAATCTCAGAAGGACGTTAAGACCCCAATGTGCGGGGCTTAGGCAGCTAAACTTACACCAACAGTGTTCACTGAGGTTGAGGGGAAAGGAAACAGGATTGTCGCCCGACGGGAATGGAGCTTCAGCTAAGCAGGATGCAGTCTGCAGGCGCCTGTGGTTAGCGGCCCACAGTGACGCCACAGCAGAACCAGAGGGGCACGGGAATTTTGGAGAAGCAGCATATTCATTGCCCTGAACACACATCCCGCTTGCTCAAGTTCAAACCCATCACGCCACCCACTCTCTCCACACTCCATATATGCAGGACTGTGTAACACCTAGCCACCAATAATGCTGTTAAGCAGGTTTCTGTTCCTTTGTACTTTACTACAACTTTAATAAAGAATGTTCATGGTTTGTTCTATTTGTATCTCTCTGCTCTCCACATGGACTAACAGCCGTGACAGCCATGACAGCCATGACCTATGTAAGGCATGGTAGGGGACCTGTGGCCAGAGAGGAGACTTCTCCCTGAATACCTTTCTGTTCATCAGTGTCTCTTCCTCTCTCCTTTGAGAGGCACCCCGCCTCCCGCCTCTCTCTCTTGGGAGGTGCTTTCCTCTTCCTCCCCCACTGCCAACCTGGTCCCTTTGCAAATAAACTTCTCTGTCTGCAAATAAACATTTGTAAGGCAAAACAACAGAGAAGGGAAGAGGTAGAGATCTTCCAACCACTGGTTCATTCCCCAAATGGCTGCGACAGCCAAGGCTGGGCCAGGCCAAACCAAGGGGCCAGAGCCTCCCAGTGGGTCTCCCACGAAGGGGCCCAAGCATATGGACCATCTTTGCATCGTTCCCAGGTACCTTAGCAGGAAGCTAGATTGGAAGAGGAGCTGTAGGGACTTAAATATATGATCTGATACAAAATGCTGACTCTGCATGTAGTAGCTTAGCTCACAGTGCCAACACTGGCCCAAATATGTAATTTTTTTAAGAAGATACAGGTGGAATTTTGCAAAGAATACATCAGAAATTGACTTCGTAGCTATTATACCAAGCCAGACCTCAAATTCTTGGTCGACAGTTTTAAAATCCTTGGGGGAAAAAAATGCAAGAGTAGTGTTTAATGAATGAAAGTTATAATTAAAAAATATATATGTATTTATTGATTGATTTGAAAGAGTGACAGAGAAAGGAAGACAGACCTTCCATCCACTGGTTTACTCCCCAAATGGCTGCCAAGAGCCAGGGCTGGGCCAGGCTCAAGTGGGGAGCCAGGAGCTTCCTCTGGGTCTCCCCTATGGGTGCAGAGGCCCAAGCACTCGGGTCATCTTCTGCTGCTTTCCCAGGTGCACCGGCAGGGAGCTGGATCAGAAGTGGAGAGGCTGGCACCCATGTCAGATGTGGGCAGTGTGGTGGCTTAACCTGCCACAGCACCTGTACCGTGCGTTTTCATCTCCTAGAAGAGCAGTCTCAGATTATGCGACATCCAGCTTCACCTTGATGTTCATAGCTGCCAGTTCAGCTACAAAATACCGGAACACGTAAGGCACACATACGGTGTCGATGGTGTCGCTGCGCTTACAGAGCGCACAGTGGTACTTTCTGTTGCGCATGGCAGACCACGACGGGGGCGGCTTCTCCAACAGAGGCGAGAGTAAGCTGCCACACTCTACGCACACGTGGGCTATGGAGCGGTCGGAGCAGTTGAAGAGGCGGTCATGAAGCAGGAAGGACGTGCCATGAGCCAGCAGAGCGTCCCGCTCCATCTCCCCGAAGCGGATACCACCCTGGACATTCCTGCCCCCGATGGGCTGGTTGGTGACTTTGTCCCTGGCTCCGGTTGTTCTGACCTGAAATTTGTCTGAGACCATGTGGCGTAGGCGCTGGTAATAGACCACGCCTATGAAGATGTCGGCCTCTAGTTCCAGCCCGCTGATGCCGCTATACAACCTCTCGGTGCCATAGAAGTTGTAGCCGGCGGCCTTGAGCATCTCACCAAAGTACTCCAGGGCCGAGTTCTCCTCGGAGAAGGTAAAGGGGGTGGCGTCGTGGCAGAGGCCGTGCAAGGCCGCGGACTTCCCCGCCATGCTCTCAATCAGCATGCCGATGGTCATACGCGACGGGAAGCCGTGAGGGTTGAACAGGATGTCGGGGACCATCCCACTCTCGGTGAAGGGCATGTCCTCCGCCGGCCACAGGCAGCTCAAGATGCCCTTCTGCCCGTGACGACTGGCGAACTTATCTCCGATGGTTGGCCCCCGCGGGACTCTCAGGGTGATGCAGATGCACTTGAATTTGCCAGTCCCACTGTCGTTACTGCACACTTTGACGTTGTCCACAATACAATTTTCTTTACTCCTTAGGAAAACACAAACCACACAGAAACGTCAAACTGGTGAAATTCCCAAACACAGCTTCGTCCATGTAATCAGTGCTTCATAAAAGATGTCTGTGATTGATTCTTACCTCTACCCCGCCCCCCGCACTGATACAAATACTTGGTATCTCTTTAAGTAATCAGGAGCAAGGCTTTTGATTCTGTTCTCTACAGAAGAGTGTTCACTTGAAGGGATGTGAGCAGCAAACACTGCTAAAGAACTATGATGAAAACCTACTGAAATAAACACTATTGCTGTAACAACATAAAAATTATTATTTTTTTTTTGAAGTTTTATTTTTATTAGAAAGTCAGATACACAGAGAGGAAGATCTTCCATTCGATGATTCATTCCCCAAGTGGTCACAACAGCCAGTGATGTGCTGATCCAAAGTCAGGAGCCTGGAGCCTCTTCTGGGTCTCCCCTCAGGTGGCAGGGATCCAAGGCTTTGGGCCATCCTTAACTGCTTTCCCAGACTACAGGTAGGGAGGTGGATGGGAAGTGGGGCTTCTGGGATTAGAACCAGTGCCCATATGGGATTTCGCCATGTGCAAGGAAAGGACTTTAGCTGCTAAGCTACTGTGCCAGGCTCCAAAATTTATTTTTTTAAGAAGAAACATACGGCCCAACATAGTGGGACTAAAGTCCTCGCCTTGCGATTGCCAGAATCCTGTATGGGCGCCAGTTTGTATCCTGGCTACTCTACTTCCCTTTCAGCTCCCTGCATGTGGCCTGGGAAATCAGTAAGGGGAAAACCCAAAACCTTGGGACCCTGAACCTGTGTGGGAGACCTATAGGAAGCTCCTGGCTCCAGGCTCCGGATCAGATCAGTTCCAATTGTTGTGGTCACTTGGGAAGTGAACCAGTAAGTAGATCTTTCTGTGTCTCCTCTCTGTAAATCTGACTTTCCAATAAAGACAAATAAACCTTAAAAAAATCGCAAGTGATAAATTTGCAAATATTTATAAAAAAGAAAAAAACACACTTAGTAAATGCAACATTTTGGCTGGGAAGCATTCCTGATAGCATGCCTGAGACAGAAGATATAACTTGTATAAAAAAATGTATTTTTTCGGGGGAAGAGAGGAACCTCCACAAACTCTAATGAACCAAAAGCAAGAAATAGAAAAACTTAGCACAACAGACATGCAACTCTCTCTGCTTTACACAGTGACGATTCAGTTATGACAAAGACCACAGCAGCTACGGCCTGAATGTTTTCCCCTCCGCGTGTGTGCTATGGCTTTTAGGATGTGACCAAGTCATGAGGAACAGATTAGTGAGCTTATAGGAGGCGGCAGGCAGCTGTTGGCCCCTTCCTCCTCCTGAGGACAGTTGGGCAGTGTTATCTCTGAAGAATGACACCGCATCTGCCGGTGCCTCCATCCCGACTTCCAGAAAGACACTTCAATTTCCTAGCCTCACTGGGGCCTTTTGTTATAGCAGCACATACTGACTTAAGACAAGTGAGCTGCCACTTGGGTTCCCCCCACCTAAAGGAGAACTGCCACTGACTGCCAGCACTTGTACCAACAGCTTCTACAAATCGGCGAGACACTTACTTATAGTACACCACAAAGCTCTCCCCGGTGTTGAGGTTTAGGTAGCCATAATATGGGTCCCCATACTGCAGCTTCGCTCCTATGAATGGCAAGCCGTCATCATTCAACGTCTGTGAAACCCGCGGGTCGCCAGGTTTGACTCCAAACACCAAACTATCATCTCCTTGCTTGATTTTTTCAGAGAGGTCTATGAACTCAGACTTGTAGACGCTTCCGTAGGCAAAGCCCCGTTCCCAAGAAGCCTTATTCACGATCTGTGAAGGGGAGGGTTTTGAAATACTGTATAAGTACTTTCCTAGTCACCAAAATCAATAAAACCCAGAAGATTTAGATGTACACATGTAAAGGGTAGCCATATCCAAGAATACGTTCATCACCAATTATTCATAGCATGTGCTTAAACATGCATGCCTGAATACTCAGTTACTATTCCTCAAGGCTTGCCCACTTTCAACTTAGACCAGAAACCACGTTATAGAACGTGCCAGACACTCAGTACTGGAGGTCACAAAATATTTCTTCAGGGATCTCACAGTCTTCAAAAAACTCAAGAACCGTGAAGCTGTGCACTGCGTCTGCCGGCCACACTCACCATGGCATCCTCCATGTCGTAGCCAGTGTAAGAAATCACGGCCACAATGGCATTGGTCCCGGTGGGGTAGTTATCCATGTCATAGTAGTCGTACATGTACGGCCTCACTAAGGGACTCTGTGGTGTCTGCAGACGGTACAGTTTATTATCCGATCGGTCTTGGTAAGTGAGAAGTGGAAAGCCCATTGTTTGTTTGCCTACAGAGGAGAAAGAAAACACCATCTTACTGCTTTCTGCTTTGTTCTGATCATAAAGGTCACAGACCACAGCATCACAAGGGACTGAATCAATCAGTGATTGTGGCTGTGCTTATGACGAAGTAGAGCTTAACAGGACCGGATGGGAAGAACTAGAGTGACATTTCCTATGAAACTCCCCATGTCCGTGTATGAACACGTTCCCAACAACCCTGTCCCCAGCTCAGAGACACACAGTCTGCAGAAAGGCACAGAGAGATTTAAAGGCAAGACAAAAACACGATCTAGCACTACTGGAGGAAAAGAAAGGAACCCAACTCAAAAAACAAACCGTTCCTACATAACCAATGTGCAGACATGTGAGGAGAAATACATCCAGAATTGAAGAAGGTATGAAGCTTCAGAAAACAGAAATGACTACAAAAAGAAATGAGAATTGTAGACAGAAACATAAAAGGTGTATTTGCAATGAAGCAGCAAACGGTCCTGAGCATGATGCAAGAAGGGAAAAGCAACTTAACTGGCTGTCAGACAAACTCACTGGCTGAAGGTAAGGCACAGCTGAGCCTCAGCAGGGGAAACAGAGACCCAAGCAGAAGCAAGAGCTTTAGAAATAATCATATGAACAAAATTCAATAAACCTTCCAACGTTCACTATATTTTTTTCCTAACAGATGGAAGACCAGCAATCAGTAAGCAGAATAAAGGAAACCACACGTGGCCAACCATTAGCCATTCTCCTAAGAATTAGAAATGAAGTGGGAAAACCAGCACAGAGAGATGCGAGGAGACCTAAATCCACTGCCTTCTGAAGAGAAAGGACATAGACCAGGACATGGGGGCACTAGTGACCGGAGAGCACAGCAAAGCACTCATGAAAAACTGGAATTACATTTATATTTTTGAAGTCCAAAAACAATTCTTGATTCACATGTATAATTTCTTTGTGATCTGCATTTTTAATGAATCGCTCGAATATTCTTTGTGTGCAGTTCAAACATTTTTGCACCCAAATAAACTGATTTCAAATTCCTTTTGCAGAAACTTTTTTGAAGTATCCTACTCCATCCAGTAATGACTTTCCTTGAGTGAAAGTGAAATAAAAATGTTTTAAGATGAATGAGAACCAAGAGAACATGTGGCCAGTGATGTGTACTATAAATATGCTACAGGAAGACTTTCGAGGGAAGGGAAATTCCAGGTAATGCTAACTTGAAGCTTTAGGCAGGAAAGGACCCCGGGTGCGGACATTACACAGGAAATCACCACAGCTCACGAGCTTCAAACATGGAGACACAGTGTCTCAAATTCAAATGGATGCACACTCTTAAAAAAATTTTTTTTTTCTTAAATGTCCATTTCACGAAAGAATGAACAACGTGTCATCTTCAGCTGGGTGCTTGCTGCACAGAATATCTGATTTTAGGCTGGACTGGCCAAAGTTTGAATAAGAATTACGAAATGGCCGAACAGTACCATATGAGGTCTGCAAGTCCCTATTGTCAGGAAGACATGTGGAAGCATCTCGGGTGAAAGTGTCCTGTGCCTGCGTCCCACCTGGGCAGTGGGCTTGGGGGAACCTAGGTACTGTCCCCTACCCCCTGCATCTTCGCTTCTCTAAGTGCAACTTTACCAGCCCTCTGTGCCGCCTTACCCATCTGGCACTGGTACATGTTCCGGGGACTCTGGTTGTGATCGGAGAAAGGGATGAAGTTGGCGATCACGCTGAGCATGCTGTGAGGGAAGAGCTCCTGGTGCGTGGTGACTCCGGCCAAAACGTCACCTTCAAAGATTGCCACATTCATGAAGAGCTGGGGAGGGAGGGAGGAACATGCTAAGGGCCCATGTCAACAGTGCCCAGGAGCACCTCAGCTGACTGCTCCTGCAAGACGCCGAAAAGCATGGCCAGCCCAGCGTCGCGAAGGGGAGGCCTGCCGTCAGCAGTCACATCTGCCTCATGTATTCTTAATCAACGCTGGTCTAATTGTAAAGGGAGAACTTTCTAAGCAGCACACAGTTCCTAATTTTGCAACTGCATGCATGGTGGCAAAGACTATAGGCAAATCTCACGGGATGTTTCCATCTCACCAGCCACTTCAGACAGAGCCAGGCACAAAGGGGCTCTGGGGCTGAGTGAGAGGGGCCGAGAGCAGAAGTCCCTCCCAGGTTCCCCGCAGTGAGACACACATCTGCCTAGTGCTGGGCACAGGCGGCAGAAGGTGGTTTACCTTGCTTTCACATGTCTCCCTGTTAATGTAACAATGGCAATAAAGCCGCCTCAGGTTTCTGAAAGTCCCACAGAAGCACACCCCTCATCACGGACAAGGCATACCTGCTCCATAGTTCCAATCAGCTCTTCTCTGCCTAGTTCCACATTCTGCACAGGCCGGACGAGCCTGCAAGGAGTGGTAAAAAGGTACAGACCCGGGTACAGGCTGGGTTTTCCCGTCATGGGGACAAGGGCCACCTCCATCCAAGGGGGGATTCTTTTTTCTCTCAACACCTGTTTTGCAACAAAGAGAGTGTAAGTAGTATGCCTGACATTAGACATGCCCGATTGCCACCATGCTGGTAGATGGGGAGACTGGAGGAGATCTAATATGAGAAGCAATACCCCATGAACTTAAGTTACGCAAGTAACAAATCCAGTGCCCCAAATCCAATGCCATCCGAGCCAGTGTCATCCCCACACAGTGCCAACGTCAGCATGTCCAGAAGGACAAAGGCTCTACCTCCTTGGGAGCTCAGCCCTTATACCAGGAAACCACAATGACTGACATTGGGCATAAGGACGACCAATAACATGCACAAGGATGTACTACATGAAACCCCAGCTCCTGGTGTTAAAAATGCAATAGATTATCAATATTATTTTGTTCCATTTATCTGCTTTAAAGGTTAGTTATCTGGCTAACTTGCCAAGTACCTGCAAGGGTTAGGCAAGGCTGAAGCCAGGACCTCCACCTGGGTGTCCCGTGTGTACCAGCAGGAGGTGGAGGTAGAATTCCACCCAGGCACTCAGTTAGGCGTAGGATGCAGGCATCTGCTACATAACGCCCAACACTGGCTTTAGTTTTAAATGTTAAATGGGAAAGTCCTTCTCGAGAGGTAAGGAAAACTCAAAATAAAACTAATGTCCTCAAGAAACTACTCCCCAAGAAAATGCAAGAGTCACATGAAGGCACACCTGAAGAACAGCTTGATTAAAAAAGAACTAAAAGACCCAGCATGATGGCTCAGTTGGCTAAAGATCCCCTTGCAAGCATGAGATCCCATAAGGGCACTGGTTTGTGTTCCAGCTGCTCCACTTTCCAACCAACTCCCTGCCTGTGGCCTGGGAAAGCAGCAGAGGACAGCCCAAAGCCTTGGGACTCTGCACCCGCATGGAGACCCAGAAGAAGCTCCTGGCTTCAGATCGGCTCAGCTCCAGCCTAAGCTATCTGGGGAGTGAACCAGTGGATGTAAGATTTTTCTCTTAGCCCCTATGTGGCATCCTAGTGGCTAAATTCTTCGCCTTGAACACACTGGCATCCCATATGGGTGCAGATTCACATCCCAGCTGTTCCATTTCCTATCCAGCTCCCTGCTTGTGCCCTGGGAAAGCAGTTGAGGACGGCCGAAAGACTTGGAACCCTACACCCATTTTTGTGATTTAGTTCTCATAGATCTTCATTTAGTATTACCAAAATGTTCTTATTTTGAAATAATTTATATGCCACTGGTACTAATTAATAAGGGGAAGCAGCTAAAATTTATTACACTGGGGTCTTCAAGAGACCATCCTAACCTGCCAATGGGCCCGATGTGCCCCAGATCCAAACCAAGGTCAGTACAGATCAGGCCTTTGCCACCCATGGGAATAAATAAGCACCTCTAGAATGAGCATCAACCCACTGACTGCTTGATCCATTTTTGACTGCCCTGGACCACTCAGAGACTCTCCTAGAGCCAGCTCTCAAATGACAAAGGACAAAAACTCAAGTTTAGGGGCGGTGATAATCCACAAAGACTCATGCTCACCTTGAAATGACGGAGAGTATCTGCAATGCCAGGAGCCAATTCCTGGTCCACCCAGCCCATCATGACGCCATCCAGCAGGACAGGGTAGCACTCGATGTGCGGTCGCTGCGGAGTCCCATCGACAGGTGTGACCCCTGGTGACGGAGCAGACAGGACAATCACGTCAGGGTGCTCTAGCCAACTCCTCACACGTCCACCACACCTTCTTCAGTGTGTAGATATCAACCATCATCTTGGAACAGGTAGCCCTTTGCACTCTTTCGGAAATGAGTTGGGGCAGAGGGGTGGAAAGGCAGTCTCTCCGTGGACCCACAGACCCACTGTTTACAGCCTAGCATTCAAGTCCCCAAAACATCCAACTGCTCTCAAAATTGTATCATTCTTATTTGCAAGGCCCATATTTGCAATGAGTCTGGATAATCACAAAAGCCAACACTAAGGGTATTTTCAGGGTCATTCAATGACACTCAGCCTGCTGCATGTCTTTCCAGCTAAGATGCGGATGCTCTGGGTCCAATGACACTGTCAAGCAGCATCCTTGTGGCAGTTGGCACGGCATCTCAGGCACAGCACTGCTCTGATGTCAGTGCTGCTCAGGGCATGAGGTTGTGCTGCACTGTTACGGGGATAAATAGATCAGGTAAACTCAGTGTCATGGTGCTGATGGACAGCGTGACATCCACAGTCCACCACATCTTTCAACAGAAGCACAAAAAGCTGGGCTGGATACTGCCCAGTTGCTCAACACGCTGTGACCAGAGGCTGGCAGGAACTGCTCGCTGTGATTCCCTGAGAACTTACCAACTCAGTGTGACAGTGACTTGACAGAACACAAGCGCCACTACTAAGAACTAGCTGTGATTACAAAAAACAGTCTTGCTTGTCCAGGAACCCTGCACACATTCTGAAGACAGTCAATGTTTCTCCTCTCGGCCACCTGACCAGCTCAGCTCCAACAAGCCAGCGTTTTCTGCTCTACCTTCTCCTCCACGCCAGAGCAAACAACCCTCGCCGCTCCCCTGCAGCAGTGGGGTGTGTGGCCCCATCACGTTCCTTTTTTCTTTCCTCCTTTCTATCCTTTCCTGGGCTTTGGTCACTAAAATCGCTGGTGGCAAAGTTAGCCCTTTGCTTGTGGAAGGTGAACGTACACATCATACTGCTTACATTCTCAATTTGAGCATGTCTTGGCTTCTTTCTCTGGGACTCCCTCGTCTCAGGCCGCACTGTAACTGGAAGGAATCCTTGTCAAGCTGACCCTTCCGGACCTCTGACTCAAAGCTCTCTGCTGCTGGAGAATCCCTACTACCACCTGGCCTCTGGGAATTGGAAGTTTTACCCGTCTAATCATTAATCCTGCTGGAGAACCAGACAGTGAACATGCCTGGTCTCCAAATCACAACCAGAGAGCCCAGAACTGCAGGACAGTTAAAAGGCTATTGGGGCTGGTGCGGTGGCAGAGTGGCCTAATCCTCCATCCCCTAGTGCCAGAATCCCATGTGGTTCCTGTCCCAGCTGCTCCATTTCTGATCCAGGTCTGTGTTTATGGAAAAGCACTGGAAGATAACTCAAGTCCTTAGGATTCTGTACCCAAGTGGGAGACCTGGAGCAAGCTGCTGGCTTCTTCAGGTCAGTTCAGCTCTGGCCATTGAGGCCAATTGGGGAGTGAACCAATGAATGGAAGACCTTCTCTCTACCTCTCTGTAAAACCTGCCTTTCAGACAAAAATGAATCAATCTTTGGGGGCGGGGGAGAAGCAAAGGCAATCTCTCCTTAAGTATGAAGGTGAACTTGACCCAGGAGCAAGCTGCACAAGAGCAGGTCACGTACCTAAGCTGCAGAGCAGTGGTGCGATGGATGTCGTGTACACAAACTGCGTGACGACCTCGCAGATGGCAGTCAGGTGGTTCATGAGGCCACAGGGCTCGCCGTCAGGGGTGTGCACGGGACACAGGAAGCCCCAGGACTCCGGGAGCAGCCTGCGGACCGTGGTGGTCCTCATCTTGGCGAATGCAGCCCCTCTGTGCACGCAGCGGAAGTGGGAGAGGTAGCGTATGAAGTTCAGTTTGTCGGCCACAACACAGAGTCCAGAATCTTGCAGGATGCCCAGACCTTAACAAAACAGACATCACTCAAAAACGGGTCAAACGTAATGAAACAAAACCAGTTCCTAGAGAAGATAAGGCCTTGGGACACTCAAAAGATCAATAGAGTGGGTTATTCTGACATTCACTCAGCTCGGGTGAGTGGAGCATAACAAAAACAGTGAAACAGAAACACAACACAAAGCTCCCCATCACATCCGCTGGCTCCCCAGCTCCTCCACCACCAGCTCTTTGGTGGGAGAACATCAGGTAACTCGATTCATCTGAGTGAGGAGCCGGAGTCACAGCATGACTTAGCCTGCTAATCACAGCACCCGCTTTAGCAGCATCTATTTAAACAAGAAAAAGCTGGCACAATGCCTCAGCTGGCTAATCCTTCACCTGCAAGTGCCATAGGCGCATCTGTGTTCCAGCTGTGCCATTTCTGATCCAGCTCCCTGCTAATGCACCTGGGAATGCAGAGGATGGCCCAAGTGCTTGGAACCCTGCACTCATGTGAGAGACCCAGAAGAAGCCCAGGGCTCTTGGCTTCCGATCGGTTCAGTTCCACTCACTGCAGCCATTCATGGAGTGAAACAGCAGTTGGAAGATCTTTTCAGGAGGCACAAGAGATGTATTTAGCCCTAAGAACTGGGTTTAAGGTACCCATACGTCTTGGTGAAAGCCCTCTAGACTGACAGACGCTTGTCAAAAGGCAGCCCGTGAAATCAGACTTCAGGGAAAGCAGGCAGTTTCCTTTTAAAGAAGAACCTCCTTTGGCAACTACACGTAATTGCACAGCATGTAAGTCATTTGAGAGGCCTCTCGGCTTAATTTCACCTGTTTTGGAACGCAGGTTCCCAGTAGCCAGAAGATATTCAAATGGCCTGGTCAGGTCAGCTCCCATACTAAAGATCTTTTGCAAATTCTCAGTGTTAATGGACACGTTGGACTTCTGAGCTTTCTTATCCAGGGCAATTTTGATAGATGTTAACCAAACTTCCATCTTTTCCTAAAATGAAGAAAAGCAAATTTTCAAATGCTACATGCTTTCATCATTGCCAGTTCTATCTTGATGCTGGTACGAGTTTGTAACACAAAACCCAGGCTAGCTGTGAGTATACTTGCCCTGGGAAGACAATGAAGCCCTGACACCTGAATGGCAACTTTTCAGTACACAGCCACACCAGGTTCCCTGGACAGAAGACACTAACTTACCAGACACCTGGGCACCTGCACACCAAGAACACGCTGTTGGAAGGGGCCGTCCTGAGTACTGTTGGTAGTTAGCAGCATCCCTGGCCTGCACCTGCCAGAAGGCCAGCACCCCCTTCCCACACCACACTACACCACACCACACCACACCACACACACACACACTCACCCTCTCCCAGGTGGTAACAACCAAAGATGTCTCCAGACATTGTCAAACGTCCCTGTAAAGCGAGGAGGAACCACGGCTCTCCACACACTGATGGGGACAGAGCCACTTCTCTAAGGCTGACCCACATTAATGGGTGCTGGGGTCTGCACAGTGGGTGTGGATGACACGAGGGTGTGATGAGAACAGCTCCCCTGTGCGGCAAGGCCCGGGGGAGCTTCCAGCTGTTTGGCAAGGCCCAGCGGACTTCTCTCTGACCACCTTGACACAGTTTTACCACCTGTTTGCATGGACACTCAAGCACCCCACTAAGAATTCTGTAATCTATTGAGGCATTGTTTGCCCCTGTGGGATGGCTTTTATCACCAACGTGAGCTTGAGAGTTAATGTTATTGATAATGTCTTGGTGAGTGGGCCTTTAACTGCGCACAGGAGTACAATTAAACCCATGCCATTTCTGGACACCTTATTGTGTGCCTACCCATTGCCCTGAAATCGGACCCAGACATATAGCACACCTTCTGGGAAGGGGCTTGAAAATATCCTAAATATTAATACAAGTGATGGGAGTGAGAGCTGAAACTGCTATGGCAATAAATATAGTTATTGTTATCTCAAAGGCTAGCCTGTCTTTGCAATTTTTTTGGAACATAGAAAATGTAACTGTTTTAGCCGCTTTTATAATTTTTAGCTAGAGGAATTAAGGATGCTTTTATTAAAGAAAAATGCTTTTGATTATTGTCATATTGTTTATGGGGTTGTAGGGGTCTATAGTTGTAGGGAGATTTAACATTTGAAGTTTCTATTTTAGATTTTAGGTTTTTTCCCTTATAACCTATTTTCCCATTAAATGATGGGTAAATTGTAGAAGTAAAAATGTGGTGGGAAAGTACTACTGATTAGCAGATAATCACATGTGCCTTGGCCTTGGAGTCCTGGCTGTTGCTCCATGGCTACTGTTGAAGAATAAACAATAGCTTGAAGAATATGAATACAGTATTTTGCAAAATTATCTTTAGGAGCACCTGCTTAGCCTTGAAGTGCAGACGGAGTGACCAAATTTCTGTACATGCCCCCTTAATTTTGAAAAGAAAAAAAAAATAGAATAGTTGCTTGTGCAGAAGCTTGAGAAGGGTTTTTAGTAAATAAAAAGGACAGTTTTTTCCTGAGCTGTTGTGAGAACGCATCAAGTGTCTGTGTCTGTGTCTTTCTTTATCGCCGACTCTATGCACCCTTCCCGAGCTCCGAACTCGGCTGGAGCTGGACTCTGGCAAATGGGATCAGTTGTTTGCTTTGGCAGAAACGGGAACTAACTGCAATTTTGAACTGCAAGACTCTCATCAAGCAACTGCCACAGTGCCATGCCAGAAATCAGCAATCGCCACCACAACGACACCAAAGCAGCAGCTCCCGTGCTCCCAAGAACAGAAACCACCAGCAAGCCCTCAAAGGCTCCAAATCAGCCAACCGGCCAGTGGGGACGAGGCAAACTTCCTTCTGCTACGGGATCGGAAACATAACAGGAAAACAAAAACGCCCAGGAGGAGAGACGGCCGGGGAGCTGGGCACAGGGATTCGGGCACAGCTGCAGAGCAGGCAGCCCGCTCCCATGCTGGCCTGCCTCGCAAGCCTTGCTTTATTTTTGATTGACATTTAACAACTGCACAAACTTACGGGGATACACATGGGGCTCCTACACGTGCACAGGGTAATGACCACATGAACACAGGGGCCTAAGGACTGGCCCATCCGCTGCTTTCCCAGGCATCTTAGCAGAAAGCTGGGTCGAAAGTGGAGCAACCAGGACTTGAAGCAGCTGGTGTTACAAGGAACAACGTAAAGTGCTATGCAACAATGCTGGCTCCTCACATATCTTCTGAAGATGGCTTCTGTGTCTCAAACTCAGGTGTTTGGAAGCTTAAATTACGCTGGCAATGGGCAAAACAATGAGGTGTTCCTAAGTGATGTCTTCTCCCAGAAAGTCTCAGGCTTCCCAGTGCTTAGCCCGTTGCTGAAACACATTGCCCTACTTAGGAAAACGCTGTCTTGCTGCTAAGGATACATTTGTAAGAGTGTGGCCATAAGACAACCGGTGACCTGCCAGGCTTTAGCTTAAGCAGATAGGAAGTGTCAGTAGCTGTACTTGAAAAAAACCAGCAAGAGTCCACTGCAATGGCTCTACCGGCTAATCCTCTACCTCCAAAGACTGGATCCCAAAAGGGCACCGGTTCTAATCCTGGCTGCTCCACTTCCCATCCAGCTCCCTGCTTGTGGCACGGGAAGCAGTAGAAGATGGCCCAAAGCCTTAGGCCCCTGCACTCACATGGAAAACTCATAAGAAGCTCCTGGTGCCGGGCCTGGCGTAGTAGCCTAATGACCTTGGGACCCTGCACCCACATGGAAGACCTGGAAGAAGCTTCAGGCTCCTGGATTTGGATCAGCTCAGCTCTGGCCATTGCAGTTGTTTAGGAAGTGAACCAGCGAATGGAAGATCTTTCTCTGTCTCTCCTCTCTGTATCTGCCTTTCCAATAAAAATAATAAATCTGTAATAAATAAATTAATAAATAAATTAATTAAATAAAGGAGCTCCTGGTGCCAGGCTTCGGATCGGCTCAGCTCCAACCATTGTGGCCATTTGGGGAGTGAATTAGTGGATGAAATATCTCTCTCCATGTAACTCTGCCTTTCAAATAAATAAAAGCCTTTTAAAAAAATAACAAGAGCCTGGCACGATAGCGTAGCAGCTAAAGTCCTTGCCTTGAATAAGCCAGGATCCCATGTGGCCGCCAGTTCTAATCCCCGCAGCCCTGCTTCCCATCCAGCTCCCTGATTGTGGCCTGAGAAAGTAGTCAAGGACGGCCCAAGGCTTTGGGACCTTGCACCTGCGTGGGAGACCCAGAAGAAGCTCCTGGCTTTGGATCGGCTCAGCTCCAGCCGTCGTGGCCACTTGGGGAGTGAACCATCAGGTGGAGGATCTTCCTGTCTCTTCTCCTCTCTGTATACCTGCCTTTCCAATACAAATAAATAAATCTTTAAAAAGCACATTAAAAATATGAAAAACAGGGCACTAAGGAGACCCTGAAGACTCCTCATGGACAGTGTTGGGGCTGAAACAGGAAGAAGATGTCCTGTTGGCCCCAGCTGGGAAGGCAGCATCCAGGGACGGACTGCAAAAGCTCCAAGCATTGTGGGCCACGGGGGTAGGGAGAGGTGACACCAATAAACTTGAGCCAGCAAGTGAATCCACAAACAGGGAGTGTGTAAAGAACAAGAGTGAGCTCCAGGTACACTCCAGCCCGTTCACACTTAACTGTTCATGATGTGACCACGATTTGATGCTCTCAGCTACAATATCGGATGGTTTCTTAAAAAGAAGAAAGAAAAAGAAGAAATATTTATTTATTTTAACTGGAAAGGCAGATTTATAGAGAGAAGGAGAGATGGAAAGATCCTCCATCTTCTGGTTCAGTCCCCAAGTGGTTCCAACAGCTGGATCTGAGCTGATCCAAATCCAGGAGCTTCTTATGAGGCTCCCACTCAGGTACGGGATCCCAACGCTTTGGGCCATCCTCCACTGCTTTCCCAGGCCACAAGCAGGGAGCTGGATGGGAAATGGAGCAACCGGAACACAAACCAGCGCCCATATGCAGGAGGATCAGCCAATCGACCCACTGCAGTGGGCCCCTCTGTTTTTACTACTAAACAACAAAAACAAAATTGCACACTCTAAAATCGGGCATTCTGAACATGCAGACACACTCTACCAGGTGCCACCACCTTCCTCCATGAGCACACGTGGCGAGGACTGATGCGCTTACCTTCAGAAACATAAGGAAGAGCTGGCCAGGTGTGAGCACCTCCTGATTGACTAAACTGTCAGGATTGTCCTCCATGCACTCGCCTTTGGCTAAAGCAAAGAGCTTCCGAGTCATGAAGCAAAGCAGGTAAAACTTCTCCGTGTTGGATTTCAAGTGGATACAGATGCACTGGCTGCCAAAACAGAAAGAAAACGCTTTAAGAAACTCAGCTGCTAATACTTCTTAATGTCTTTCTGACCAAGATCATCAGTAAATACTTCATGTATACTTATAAACAAGAATCCTTACTCAAGCCGGGGGGGGGGGGAGAGGCTTTTCCTTGGGTGATATGCATCGTACAGAACAGAGGTACAAGGTCTAGCACCGCACCAGCCAGTTACAGGAGCAAGCAGTCCCACTTGGCTATTTCCGCTTCATTAAAACTAAGAATCGTTTTTCAGTTTACTGGCCACACTTGCCATGTTCATCTTGCAGCCTGCGGCAACCTTCTTTTTTAAAGATTTATTTTTGTTATTTTTTTATTGGAAAGGCGGATATACAGAGAGGAAGATCTTCCGTCCGATGATTCACTCCCCAAGTGAGCGCAACGGCTGACGCTATGCCGATCCGAAGCCAGGAGCCTCCTCCGGGTCTCCCACGCGGGTGCAGGGTCCCAAAGCTTTGGGCCGTCCTCGACTGCCTTCCCAGGCCACAGGCAGGGAGCTGGAAGGGAAGAGGGGCCGCCGGGATAGAACCGGCGCCCATATGGGATCCCGGGGGTGCAAGGCAAGGACCTTAACCACTGCGCCACCGCGCCGGGCCCAGCCTGAGGCAACCTTCTGCACAGAGCTCGCCTGGAGCTGAACTTTGGGGACATGAACAGACACACAGTAGCTGCAACTATCAAATAGTGCACAAGGAAAAATGTGTATCTATGCACAGGATAGCCATCCAGTGAATGTGGTACAATGTGAACAGTCAGCCAAAGTACTACCTTGGACATGATTTTGGAAATCTGAAACAATTTAAAAATAAATGAAAAAAAAAATGCAGTACTATCAAATGAAACCACCAGAGAGGGAGGAAGACAGTGAGCAAGTTGAGAGACAGAAATGTAAGGCTGGCTAGAGACTCAGCCAGCCCCTACCAGCAGGATCTGCATTCTACCCCAGGCTCACCCCGACTTTCAGAGCAGCACCAGCCCAAACTGCAGGCAGGGCAAGGAGCCACCATCCCCTTCTACCCCAAGAATGCAGACATGGCAAAGCATGCATACTTAAACAGGAATTCCGCAGCCTGCTCATTCGGGTACCAGTCCGGAAGGTTGAGCTTTACTCGGAAACATTCGCCGAGATGGTTAAGGACCTGCTTCTGGGTAGAACAACCCTCCTCCATGACAATCCTCAGCATCTGGGAGACAGAGTTCCGGAAGAAAGAGTCGTCCTCTTTCCCTCTGATGAGCTCCTGGAAAATCTGGTAATCGGAAAAGCTGACAAGGGCCTGCAATAAGGAGAAGAAGGTTAGCCTGAGCTGCTCGCAGGTGACAGGCAAGACATTTTACTCCTTTAGTAGCAATTTTCTCCTCTGATGATTTAACTACTCAAGTAGACTGGGTGCTCCACTACTGCCTCTCCTAACTAAAACACAGTGATGAGTGGACGACAGCCTGGGCGGGGGCCTCAGCTGCAGGCACTTCACAACCTGGATAGACTCCTCCCACAGTCAATCAGCTGAGGTCCACAGGACCAAGAGAATAAGGTGAGAAACACGAGACACCCCAGGTAAGTCAGCCTCTGCCATGTTCTCTGGAACCGCCAGGGTCAGTCCTTCCAGGTTCCTGATATAGGGGAGACACATCCTACTGGACATGGAGGTAAAAGCAGCAACAGACAACTAGCACAGCGTCCACTTCCCTGGGAGAAATCCACGCAGGGAAATCTGAGGACTTCCTTCCCACCCAGCAGGGTCCCCCAGGACTCCTTCCCCAAGCACACAGGGACCCCCAGGACTCCCTCTCCAAGCACACAGGGACCCTTAGGACTCCCTCTCCAAGCACACAGGGACCCTCAGGACTCCTTCCCCAAGCACACAGGGACCCCCAGGACTCCCTCTCCAAGCACACAGGGACCCCCAGGACTCCCTCCCCAAGCACAGCAGGGTCCCCCAGGACTCCCTCCCCAAGCACACAGGGACCCCCAGGACTCCCTCTCCAAGCACACAGGGACCCCCAGGACTCCCTCTCCAAGCACAGCAGGGTCCCCCAGGACTCCCTCTCCAAGCACAGCAGGGTCCCCCAGGACTCCTTCCCCAAGCACAGCAGGGTCCCCCAGGACTCCTTCCCCAAGCACAGCAGGGTCCCCCAGGACTCCTTCCCCAAGCACAGCAGGGTCCCCCAGGACTCCTTCCCCAAGCACAGCAGGGTCCCCCAGGACTCTCACCCTAACCACAATCACATCCATTTGGAGAGTCACACCTTAAGTGCAAATCCCAAAGGAAGAAAAAATAGCTCCTTCCGGTAGATGAAGTTCAACATGACCGTGCCGTTCTCCAGGTAGTGCAGGTTCATGTTCACTGCAGAGTGCTCCTCCCTCACGCAGTGCATGGACACCCCTGTGGAAGCAAGCGGCACACATCACACATGAGCACACCATGACTGGCCACCGAAACATCTGTAGGTCTCACTAACTGTCCACTGGGTGCAAAGTCAGCTTTTTACATCTCTACTATCCACATGCGAGAGCTCACATGGAGAAAAGCAGGATATTAGGTTTTTCAGCGTGTTATGGTATCAATTGATGTGAAGGACTACATGGCTATCTGGCCGTGCCGACACTGCATCTGGGTGTGGTGTGCACAGCTACAATGAAGGGCTGATCTTTACCTCAGTCATCAGGGGGAGCTGTCTGGATGCAGGGGTTGCTGGTTGTCGGCCTGGAGAAGCCAGTCGGTGCCACAGAGCACTTGGGGGTAGGGTGACTGTCAGCCAGTGACACCTCCAGGGGCACTGTCACAACAGATCAGCCCAGTCTTCACTGCCACAAGCAGTGGCATAAAAATACATAATACAGAGGCTTGCGCAAAGCCCTAACATCCCACAGAAGGGCCAGCAGTTCTGATCCTGCTGTTTTTTTGCCTGGAAAAACAGTGGTGGATGGCTCAAATCCTTGGGACCCTGCACCTACATGGGAGACTGGAAAGAAGCTCCTGGCTCCTAGCTTCAGATCAGTTCAGCTCTGACCATTGCGGCCATTTGGGAAGTGAACCAGCAGATGGAAGATCTCTCGGTCTCTCCCCTCTCTGTAAAAATTTCTTCCAAATAAAAAATATTCTTTTTTTAAAAGAAGAATGCACTGTTGCAGGGAAGTAGGTTTCCCAGGATTATATTAGGATTTTCTTTTAAAAAAAAATCTTAAGACCACTTTGAATGTTGACCTCCTGCCGGGCCAGGTACACACAGCATGAAGGGGGCTCCCGGTCAGTGACGCAGCCATGAGGGAGGCAACCCCAGCTGCACAGAACCACATGGCCTGCGTGTCAGCCCTGAGCTCTGCCTTCTCACATTCCACTGTGCCTACAGAACACCCACCTGGCTGTGTACCCGAGAGGGGTACAGGCCTGGCTGTGGGCTCAGTCAGGTGTCCCGAGCTCAGACGGCTGCACCTAGCTTAGTTACACAGCACAGCACGTTCCACTGCATACCTTCATCTTTTTTTTTTTTTTTAATATATTCATCTTTTTTTTTTAAGCTTTATTTTTTATTGGAAAGTCAGATATACTGAGAGTAGGAGAGACAGAGAGGAAGATCTTCTGTCCGATGATTCACTCCCCAAGTGAGCACAACGGCCGATGCCATGCTGATCCGAAGCCAGGAACCAGGAACTTTTTCCGGGTATCCCACACAGGTGCAGGGTCCCGAGGCTTTGGGCCGTCCTCGACTGCTTTTCCAGACCACAAGCAGGGAGCTGGATGGGAAGTGTAGCTGCCAGTTTTAGAACCGGCGCCCATATGGGATCCTGGCGTGTTCAAGGAGAGGACTTTAGCCACTAGGCCATGCCGCCGGGCCCTGCATACCTTCATCTTACGGTGGATTTCTTGGGATATGACCCGACCGCAAGTGAAGGAATGAGCCATGTGTACTTTGGGTAATGACAGCCACAATAAAGCTGGGCAAAACATCAGTCATGACCCACAGTTACCATCTGTGTGTGTGTGCACACGTGTGCAGGAACACATGTACATGCCCTATAGTCAGGATACTTGAAATCTATTCTCTTCCAAATCACAAAGAAAAAAAAGCAGTGTTATTGACTGTTATCACCAGGCCCTGCATCAGACGCCCAGAACTGACTCGCTTAGAACTGAAAGCTCAGCACCCTCTAACCAACATCCTTCCATTTCCTCCCTGCCTTCATTATCAGATCTTTGCATAGAAATGCAAAGCAGAAAAAAATCAAATAAATAGGAGAAAACTCCCCCCTTTTTTTTCCCACCTATTGCACCTGTTGAGGGTGCATGTGTTTTTTTTTTTTTTAAACTGGCTTAAAACTTTTCAAAGAGAACTTACCATACTGAGTGTAGCCAGGTCCTCTGCTTTTCCATTTTGGCCGTACCATGGCAATGGGGAAATTTCTCCGAGGCATAATCAACATCCGGATGACTTTCTCAATGCCATTGATTATAAAATAGCCTCCCATTTCCTATCAGAGACGAAGGAAAATTTGCTAAGTAAGATACCTCACTAGCTGTGAGCATGAAGCCACTGTAGAAAGAATCGGTGAGAAGGCGTGTAAGTTCTCCTACATCTGCACAATCCTACTGTCAGAAGCAGACACTTGGCACAGCAGTCCTGTGCATTAAGATGGCCAGAAACACACACACATTTCCTGGAAGTCTAAAAAATGCATGACTCAGAAAATAGGAGAATAAACTTCCAGTTCTTGCCTCAAAATATGCCTCAGGGGACAATCTCAGGAACCCTCAAGCCTGTGAAGATGAGGTGTTAACCTCTCATTTGTCCCTGTCCGGGAAGCCTGGCTCCCAGCCCCGAGCAGCCAGCTAGCCGGCCTGGAGTTACCTCTGGCTCCTCGTGGTGTTTGATGAGGGCCTGGGGAGGAAGCCCATACAAGTTGCAAAGCTTGGATTTCACCATGATGGGGACATGGCCAAGAAACTGTTTGATGATTCCTCTGGAGGCGCCATTTACTGCCCAGTTGATATCAGCCTAGGTGCAAAGGAGAAAAAGCAACTTCTGAGAACAGTGAAGACTTCCAGAGTAAGGCCCCGTACCATGTCGAACAACCGAGTGCTTGCACAACAGCACGAAGGAGGTAGAACTGTGGGCACAGCCCTTCACGGCTGGCACTCACCATCAGCCTCCCGCGGTAGGTGCTCCTTCGGCCACGGCACTCGGCCGGATACACATTGAGCTCTTTGCAGATGGTCCCCTTGGGAACTGTGGGTGGGCTGATCTCGGCGCCCACAATGGTAAGCGTGATGCGCTCATCTTTGAAAGCAAACTCAAAGGGAGGTATGGCCTGAAACACAAGGCACATGATTATTCAGTTCGCCCGGCCAAGGCATTTTTTTTAGAGACTCCTGCCAAGCCCAGCTGCTCCACGAGCATGGGTGCCTACAGAGCCAGTGCGATACAAAGAAAATGATCACACTTGCTTCTATTCCTAACTTCATGAAGAACCTAAGGCTGTCATCTAGGACCTGCTCCGTGGCGTAGTGGAAAAAGCAACCTCCTGTGGCACCGGCTCCAATCCTGACGACTTTGTTTCCAATCCAGGTCCCTAAAAAAGCAGCCCAAGATAACCCTTCCACCTGGACCCCTGCACCCACATGGCAGACCCAGAAGCTCCCGGCTCCTAGCTCTGTATCAGCTCAGCTCTGACTATTGAAGGAGTGAACCAGTGCATGGAAGATTCCTCTCTAACTCTGCCTTTCAAAAAAACAAATCTTAAAAAACAAAAAAACGGTCATACATTAACTCAAGATTTTTTCTTAGCCTGGGAGCAGAGAAAAGCTCCTGGTCTTGGAACCAACTGTCTGCCTTCACTAGTCCTACCATGTCCCCTCCGATTCCTGCTAAGAGAGCAAGGAGACGGGAACAGCCTTCGAATCAGGATTACTGAGGCTTCCACCTGCAGGCAGTCCCAAGCAAAGCGGAAGGCAGCGTGCCCAGGCACGTCTCTCCTCCTGCAGCCCCACACTCCCACTGAGGACACACCAGCTCTGGCCTGCCCTCCTGTACCAGCCACAGAGCCTAGAGGGAATACACAGGTCCCTTTCTTCATGAGATTCAACCCAGATTTTCCAAATTTTTACCTATACATTTCACATCCAAGGGATGGAGCATTAAACGGGGAACTGTAGACAAATACAAGAATGACTATTTGCCACGGGGATAAATATTTCCCAATAGTGTGATGGGTACCGGCTAAGGTACATCGTTACCTACGAGGAGCAGATCCTCTTCACCTACTTCAACTAAAACAATGGCCTGAGAGGCGCTCGCTGCTGCTCTACATTACACACCCTCTCAATCCTGGCCTGCCTTCACTGTTTTCGCCACCCCTGGGTCCAGGGACCACCTTTCCAAGAGACAGGACCCTGTGAGAGCACAAGCCCCCTGGGGGCTCGCAACCTGCTCCTTCCCAGGAACTCCCCTCATCCTGTCCTCCTCCACCACCTGAGTTAACGTCACCTCCCAGGTGCTCCCACCTAAGCCTGCACAAGCCCTGGGCAGGGCAGTTCTCTATAGGATGGGTACTGACTGCCCCAATCGCAAAAGCCCAAGAAGGAGCGCGCCAGAGCGTCCACTGCCTCCTGGTGCCTGGGGAGCCAGGCGATGCTTATTGTAGGAGCCCGTCCTCCGCCGTCCTCACCTGAGCTTCGCCAGCCTCAGCCACCCACCTCAGGTGCACAAACACTCCCAGACAGCGGCTGGTGCCTCTCTCCGGCTCTGCTGGCTTTTCCAGCTCAGGTACCCCTTCCTCTAACTTGTTTGTCATTGGCTACAGGCACCCAAGAGTTCCTCTTTGGAGCTCGGGAAGGAGGAGATGAGCAACCTTACAGCCCACGATGCATCCATTCAGAGGTTCAGGCGAGTCTTTGGATGCGTGGTGGAGGGCGGGACGCGCCACTTCCTCGCTCCTCCAAAGTCACGCTGAGTTAAGCACAGGTGCACCGATGCAGCGCCCCCTCCGAGATGCTGGGGCGCCCCGAAGCACCACCACAGAGCCATCAGGAGCCGGGGCTCCCGCATCCCGCACCTTCTCCATAGCCCTGCAGGCACCGCGCTCACCTGCACCGCCTGGCTGAGCCCCTCGCGCACTGCATAGTTGAACGACTCCACGTGCGCCCGCGTCAGCTCCTGCAAGGCTGCGTTCTGCTGCTCCCGCGGGACCCCGTAAGAGGGCTCGGTCAGATGCTTCAGGGTGGGCCCCTCGGGCAGGCCACGCCACCGGCCGACCGGATCCATGTGTTCGCCCAGAGGTCCAGGGAAGTCGGCGACTGCAGCACCGCACGCGGGCGGAACTGCGGGCGGGACTCGGCGCCCGGCGCCTGCTGGGAAATGTAGTTTCCCGCCCTGTTCCGTCGGCCCTGCGGTAATACAGGGTCGACGTGGAGCCAAAACCGCACCGCGAATGGGCCGGTTGAAACTGTACAAAACCAGCGCTGGGCCACAGCGCCCCTGCAACTGTGTTCCGACCCGGCTCACTTCCTTCCTCCCCCAAATACCGGAAGTGAGACTCCAAGCGCAATTGAAATGTTAACTCTTCGGTTCTACTCCCTTGCTAAGGATCGTCCAAGGGCCATCTGGATAGTTTCTATTGTGTGGCCATTATGAATGATGCTATGCATGTGTGCACACGTTTTTGTGTTGGATGGATTTTCATTTTTAGGAATTATAGCTATTAATCCGTACTTTATGTTTACCTCCACCCACTGCCTTCTGAGAGGCAGAGTGGGAGACGGAGAACATCCATTCATTGGTTCATTTCCTAAAGGCAAGCAACAGCCAGGCCTGCACCAGGGCAAAAGTGGGGAGCTAGGCCTCTTACGTGGGTGATGGAATCCAGTTTATTTGATCTGCCGTGACTGTTTGCTGGGTTTGGCAAGCGCAGGAAGCTTGAATCAGGAATTGGCGCTGAGAAAGGAACCCGGGAACTCCATCCAATGGCACACGGACCTCCTAGACCCTGGCTAAACAGCTGTCCTCAGGCTTAACTTTATGAGGTTGTGAAAAACTGTTTCCTAAGGGTGCTGCCCAATCTGACATTCCCCACACAATGTCTAGTTTTTCCATCTCCTTACCAGCACTTACTATTATTTCTTCTGTATTGTAAGCATCTTATTATGTTTCTGATGTACTACCTACATCAAATTGGGGCTTTCACTTGTATTTCCTTAACAACTAATGGTGCTTATTGTTGCTACGGTCTTGGGCAGCTAGTTCAGGGTCATGAGCTTGAAAGCCACACCTCCCTACGTGGTCCTTTCTGCCCACCTGTGAGGCTCACCCATCACCACCTGGAACCTGAGAGGGGGCATATTGTGTTGTTGCAGAACCTCTGCCCTCCCAAGCCCCTCTAAAGGGCCGAAATAAGGAAGGGCTTTCTCTTGGTCACCTGCTTCCCTCACTCTTGCACTCCAACTCCTGGCCTCACCAGTACTTGCTTGCTGTGAACATCAGCCCTCAAGATTGACGAGACTCCCATCATTTTGGACCTGCCACTGCTTTAGATAGTTGCTTCCCTTGGATTTTAGTTCCCCTAAGTTTCAGTTTCATTTTTTTGTAAAGTCTCACGCTATTTAGTTACGAGCCCACTTTGTACCTGACAGCCGTATTCCCATGGCCCTGGACTCCCCATACGTGCCCCTGTGTTCTTTCTCATTCTTTCCTTTCCTCATTCTCTCTTTATCCTGCTGGCGCACACTTGTGGCTCTCTATTTCTTTCCCAGGGCAGGAGTCCCTTCTCTCCTCTTCTCATGCTCTTTCTGCTCTACGCTGCTCTTCTCTGTCTCCCTCTCTGCCTTCATCCCTTCCGTGTGCACACAGTCCCTTTCTGCTCTGAATAAACATCTCCTGTATGGCTCACTGGCATCTAGTGTTTTTGGTTGATGGTGAAAACTCCTAAAACTTGCTCTCTGGTTTGCTGCTGACAGACTCCAAGGACAGGTATTCCCTGAGCATGGTGCCTGTGTGTCTGTATTCCTCACTCTCTGTTCACTGCTTGGGTGCCTCGGTGAAAGATGCTTTGTGTTTCTAATCTGTGTACTTTCAAGAGTTCCAAGGGAGGTGAGGCCGAGTAGTAATGGAGCATGGACAGAGAAGCCAGGAAAAGGTGAATGCTAAAAGTTACAACTTGTAAGTGTGTAACATAAATCTTCAGTGTAATGAATGAACTTTACCATCATGACCATTTGTTTGTTTGTTTGTTTGTTTGTTTCTTGTTTTTTATTCAGACTGAATTGTCCTGTGGACTTCTCACTTGCTAAATTCTAGTGGGCCCTGCCATCACCAAGCTTAGTTAATAAAGACTCCTTAAATAAAGACCGCCTCAACTTGTCTGCATGAGCTACCTTACACCCCACAATTGACCCATTTGTATCTATACTTTGGAGAAATAAATATCTTGAACAATAATATTTTACTTACTTTGAAATTGGATTTTAAAATTATTGAATAATTATTTAATATATTTTATGATCATCATATGTGATCTGAAAATATTTTCTCTCATTCTTTCAGTTGCCTTTTTACTTTTGCGATGGTGTCCTTTGAAGCAAAAACATTTTTACTTTTGATTAAGTGGTTTCATTGTTACTTGTGCACTTTTTTTTTTAAGATTTATTTTTTATTATGTTTTTTTCTTATTGGAAAGGCGGATATACAGAGAGGAGAGACAGAGAGGAAGATCCTCCATCCGATGATTCACTCCCCAAGTGAGCACAGCGGCCGACGCTATGCCGATCCGAAGCCAGGAGCCTCTTCCGGGTCTCCCACGCGGGTGCAGGTTCCCAAAGCTTTGGGCCGTCCTCTGCTGCTTTCCCGGGCCACAGGCAGGGAGCTGGAAGGGAAGCGGGGCTGCCTGGGATAGAACCGGCGCCCATATGGGATCCCGGGCGTGCAAGGCGAGGACCTTAACCACTGCGCCACCGCGCCGGGCCCTTGTTTTGTTTTTTAAGAAAAAGGGATTGTGCTGAATAAATAGACATTTCCTCCACGCTCCCCAAAGAGATAACTTCTCACAGCAAAGGGAGCCAGCATCCCCAAGGAAAACATTGTGAAGGCCTCACTCTTGGGTGCCTCATCTCATCACTCTTGGGTGCCTAAGTGGCTGTGTGCCTGGCTGCTGCACCCCGCCCATGAAATAAATCTCTATGGAGTTTCATGTCAGCTGTATCCCAAACTATGGTGTCCAAGCTCGGGTTTCTGAATATGGAAGGGCCTTCTCTGTGCCAGAAGTGTGTTTATTGAGTGGAAGCAGACACAAAAGGCAGACCAGCTGAGCATGAGAAAGGAGCCCCAAAGCATCAGAGGCAATATGCAAGTTATAAATTAATGACTTCATTCAAATGAAGTCCTTTCTATCTTGAGACTAAGTGCCTAAGGTAGGTGACAGCTGTGGGCCTTTACAAGCCTGGGGTAAGTGAAATGCTCCCTAAGGACCTTGGCTTCTGGCCAGTTATGGAAATCTCATTGAGAAGCCCTTCCACTTTGTCCCATACTAGAAGCACACCTCAACCCTCTCTTACAACCTTGGACTCACTTTACAATGGGCATTGTGCCTTGGCCAATAAAGAAGGCCCATGGGAAACAAGGCCTGGGTTGTGGACACTTCATTTTAGAGTCCATTTCTGGAAGGACGATCTCTGGTCACATCTAGTCTCTTTTTATATGGCTTATGAGTCTGGGACTGCTTTTGCACTTTCAATGAAGAGTTAGGGACGAAAAAAAAAATACAGATGGTAACATAGAGATCCTATATGGTTTGAAAAACCCTGGCCTATTTACTACTCATTTACAGGAAAAAATCACCAGTGACATCACAGGGCTGTCAATGCACACAGTAAGATGACAAAAGCAAGGGGAACACACACAGCTGGAATATCATCCATTTAATGCTCCAGGCATTTTGAACATTCATAAACTGCCTTATTTTGGAAGTCATTGCCTCTGAGCTACAGACTCTCTGTCCGGGATCAGACATGTGCATACTGAATGTTGTCTACAGCATCCACATGCTAGATCCGGGGTCCACTTCAGTGCTCTCACTTCGCTAGTGGAGCCCCATTCCACCCACTCACAGGAGGGCTGGATCCACCCCTGCTAGTACACAACCTTAACTGTGAAAAGTTTTGCAGCTTCACTGCTACTTGGCTGGTTTTGTCCCTTCCAGCTCTCCCAGACCCGGCATGCATATGTCATACAAACATGGAGGCACTTACAAGATGTTGATAAAATGGAGTTTACACTTAGCACAGGCATTGAGTACAAGGGAATTTATTCGCACATAAATAATTCATCTCAACATATATTTAGAAGATTTACAAGTTCCTATCTATGTACATCAGTTGCCAAGGCTTCATACACTGGATAAATGAAAGCACATTTTGAGGTTTTCAGGTGCCTGGTGAGAAATAGAGAACCTGCTCAGATAGTACTTGATTAGACCATGAACAGATATGTCAACATCTGGTCATTCCTAAAGAAATGTCTGTGTTTCCAAAAAAAAAAAGGATTTTTTTTGTTTAAGAAGTTATAAGCCATACACAATTCACGATTCTTCCAAAGTGTGTGTCCTTCCTTTCTCAGGCAGAGGTTTGAGACATCTTGGGATGAATTAGTTGCCTGAGGTTTTGATTAATTGGCCAAGGGCAAGAGGGAAGGCCAAGTGTGGGCATCAATGTTTTTTTTTTTAAAGACTAGAATCTTCCCTAGTTAGTCCAGCACACAGCCAGCATTGATAACCTTAGCCCTAAAGGCTTCTGAGTCTTGCGACACTCCTCTGTCCTCACAGAAAGCCCTTGAGGTAGTCCTTGGGTCAGGCAAGGGTCTCTTCCATGAGATAAGAAACTAAGGCACACAGAGGTTACGGGCTTGCTGACACTCGCACAAACAGGGCCGAAGCCAGAAACAACATCTCCAAACACATTTGTGCCTCCTTGCCCAGCATCCTCAGGGACTCGACATGTGAACACTGACCAATCGGTGGGGTGGGGCTAGGGGGACACACAGGAGTGACCACTTATGCCAAGGACACCATGGATACATAGGGGACAGTTCTGAGTTGACCATTCTGCTGACTTAAAAAGGGCCTGACGCAGTAGCCTAGTGGCTAAAGTCCTCACCTTGAACATGCTAGGATCCCATACGGATGCTGGTTCTAATCCAGCTCCCTGTTTGTGGCCTGGGAGGGCAGTAGAGGAAAGCCCAAAGCCTTGGGATCCTGTACCCTCTTGGGAGACCTGGAAGAAGTTCCTGGCTCCTGGCTTCAGATCAGCAGAGTGCTGGCCATTGTGGTCACTTAGGGGAGTGAATCAGCGGATGGAAGATCTTCCTCTCTGTCTCTACTCCTCTCTGTGTATCTTACTTTCCAATAAAAATAAATAAATCTTAAACAAATCTTTCAAAATTTGTAAAGCCATATGAGGAACAAACACCAACTTTTCCTGTTTTTTTGTTTAGAGTCCCACTTCCCTCGTAGATACGCTATTGAAGTTCCCCAGAAAACCCATCAAGATTCAGACTTTCCCAAAACACACACTCTAAGCTCTGCTCTTGCAAGAAGGGGAAAATTGCAATGTCACTGTAATAAAAAGGTTAAGTTCAAGCCTATGTTACAGGTGACAGTACACAAAGACCTCCATACCTTCCCTGATCGCAGCTCACAGCACCCTCCACTTTCTAAATGACTGCACTGTGCCAAGATCCGATCAGATGGCAGTCCCTTCTCAAACCCCATCAGCTGCAGCACACTCAGGAATGACTCTTAGCCATAGACGCAGGCTCTGGATGCCAACTTGCTCATCTACCTTCGGGAGAACTCCCAGGACTTCCCTTTGGTAATTCCAAATCCCCAGTGACAGTCCCCTCAGCAGGGCCTTCCTCCCCTTCCTGCCACAGCCACCTGTCCCACCACCCACTGCTGCATCTGCTCCATCAGGGCTATCTTGACCAGCCTTTTCACTGCATGCCTCTTTTGCCTCATCGTACTGGAGGTGTGGCTTTCCTTTCTCTTCTGTACCTCAGTGCAGAACTATCTGTTCCAAAGCGAGACAAATCATGGCGCACATGGATGCACAAAGAAAGCGGACGTCATGTTCTGGGCCATGTGTGTACGCATGTGCACTCAGCTTCTGCATGGGTCTGCTGTGATTTCTAGGAAACTCAAAGAAGGGCTTACGAGGCTTGCACAGAAAACAAATGACAGCTGCTCTTCCCACTGCAAGTGGTGTGGCTTCTGAAAGGCTTACCGAATACAGAGTTACTGCTAAAGGTTCCTGGAAAAGATAAGCTTATTCTAGTGCAAAAACAGCTCAAATCCATGCATAAAAGGCATCCTTCCATAAAAATATTGTCCATGACCTTTTAGAAGATTTCGCATCTGCATGGATCTCAACTGCTTTCTGCATCAAAATAAACTTAACCTTTTAACTCCATTCCCACTGCACATCTCAAAGCTACCCTTGTATTAGTCGATCTAGGCAAACAAATGTCTGACAGTACGCGTTCTGCTCACACTTAGAAGGCGACTTGTGAAGGTGGGACACTGTGGCATTCCCAGCAAGAGAACAAGCCCACTGTAGACCCCGAATCCTTCTGGTGAGGAAGGGGCCCCTCCCGTGGGTGCCTGCAGTGGGCGCCTTGGGCACAAGAGGAACCAGAAAAAGGGAACAGGGAACCGGGTTGGAGCTGAGACATGCAGGGAGCAAAGGGCGTGCCATTCTTTCTCCTGAACGGAGAAGTTTGTTCAACACACTTTTTGTTTCTGTTTTTTTTTTTTTTTTTTTTTTTTCTTGAAAGGGGAGATGATGGGGAGGGAGGAGAGGAAACTTGCAAAATTGCAATTTAGCATTCTGGCTTTAAAACAAACAAAAAAGAAATAATTGGGAACCACCTTCTGTCAAAGTCTCACCAGAGCTAACCTATCAAGTAAAGCAAGACGCTGTTTCATTTTTTTTCCTCCCTGCCGGGGTGGGGGAGGGCGGGGGGGTGGGGGAGGGTGTGGGGGGGTGAGTGAGTAGATTTCTTGCTGTTTGTAAAACATGCCGAGAGCAGTCCAAGCGCACAGTGCGCCAAACCTCAGGAACCTTGGCAGGTGACAACCCTCGGCCATAGCGGAAGGTGATGAGGGGAAGCTGCTGTGGCCAAGGCTGGCCGGCCGAGGGCAGGAAGCAAAGGGCCACAGATACATGCTAGGCTGGAGCGAAGAGGGCAGGGCATCGTGAGCTGGGAACACAGGCAGGCAACCTCCAGGTCTGCTTGAGCAGCTGATCCCTGCCCCGGGCGTCGGCAGGGCTGCGGCGGGGCGCAGAGCTAAGGCACTAAGTCTGCAGCGAGTGGAGAGACCCCTGCCACAGTCCCAGCCGTCTGCCTTCCCAGGGAGGCGAGGGTCTGCTTGCAATGCTGCCTTAGCAGAGAAAGAGTCCTGTACAATCACCAAACCCTGCTGGGTTTCTTTTTCTCCTCTTGGGAGAAACGCGGTGCTCCGCTCAGAGCCGTCAATTCCACCGTCAAGAGCAGAGCCGAGTCGTGAGCAGCGTGCTCTTGATCCAGTTGGCTCCTCTTCTGTCTCGTCTGCTCCAGCTGCCCTTTTTTCCTCCTCCATGTTGGCATGATAGAGAGCAGTCATCTCACCTTCCCCGGGGAAGGGCCCTGCGTTCTTCCCAGGGCAGCTCTGAGCTCACCGTGTAGCTCACAGCTTGATGAAGGCAGCTGGCGGGGGCTGTGGCTGCTCCACGTCAGGGGGCGGGAAGACCCTGGATATGGCTATGTCCACGATGCCCTGGCACAGCTCGGAGTACAGCTTCCTGAAACGCAATTGAAAACTGTCACTGAGGATGGTCACCAATGGACAAGTGAAAAAATAAAATTAGTGCTTTGGTTTTTTTTGACCAAAGTCAGCTCCACCCAGCCTGAATCATAACGACATTTATAAAACTGGTTCCTATTTGCTATATTTATATTGTAGTAGGCAGTGGAGGAAGATAAACAGTTGAATATTCTCAGATGGCCTTGTACTGAGTCACACAGACAACCTTTGCCCTGACTGACAGGGAGAATGGGGGCAAGTACAACAGCAGGGGAAGGGCCATCTTGTCCACCTGGGCAGGTGTCCATGGAGGCTTGGACACACCCAGGACAGGGACTGGCTCCGTAAGGTTGAGAATACACTGGGAAAGACTCCCCAGGAGTAGCAGTTGAGCTGACATACAGGAAATGAACAGCAAGACAGAGGATGAAGGAAGAAGAGAGAGAGAGAATTGAAGTAGAGAGATTCAAGGCACTGGAGGAATTCGGCAGACGGTAAGCTGGCTGTGTGGGATTCAGGGCGCAGAGCAGGAGTGCTCAGTCCCATCCCTAGAGGCCTCTGTTGGGTGCTGCACCATAGGCTCCCATTGAGTTCTTAGTGAAGCAGGTACACGTCTAGGGGAGGGGGTGGGGGCAGACAGTACTCCTGGCAGGAAAATCAAGGTTCTAACCATGGCCCTCCAGCACAGCTGAGGAGAAGGGACCATCTCACCACCTTCTTGCTTTCTTACATGGATGAAAAGGGGCAGCCCCTCTTGGACCGATGCGAAGGCAAGTGTTCAGCCTAAAGGACTTCGAGAGATGGCCTGCACCTTGACACAGGATGGCTCTACCGACAAAGAGCTACTCCAGAGGAAACCATCTGGTTAACATTGAAGCAAGCTTCAGAGGGACAGAGTGAAAGACCCTCTCACCTGCTCCCAGCCCCCAGCAGCGGGACCACCTTACTCCTCTCTTCCAGGAATACTTTTTTCCTTGACTGTATTTTAAACTCTGCTCCTTGATCCACCACTGGGATGTGATGGCATCCCTGTATCTGGGACTCCCATTATGCCATTCGGACACTCTCTAAGTTCCTTCCCTCCATCTTATATAACAAGACGGCCCGAGTGAAAAAGCTTTTGTACTTTAATACTAAAATCATGAGGAGCAGAAAGATGACACAAAGACACTTCTGTTGAAGCAGAACTCAAACAATTACTGAGCCAGGTGATTATACTGTTAATGAGGAAGGAGCACCTTGTGCATTTAACCTATGCATTACAAGAACTCCGTATGCCAATGCTGTGCTGTAGGACTCGATGAACAATAAGGAAAAGAAGGCCATTGCCTCCACGGGGCACAAGTTCTAGAAAGAAAACCAAAAATGAGTTTAAGACATTCAGTTCAGTGAAGGAAAATGACTAAGGTGAGACCTTCAGACATGGCACTGTTCAGGGATGGCTTCCCTGAGCTGTCGCCGTGGTACAGAAGACCAGCCCTGATAGCACAGGTGCGGAGGTGACAGCAAGTACACAGCCCCATGACAGACAGGAGCACAGAAGGTGGAGGATGCCCAGGGTGTCCTAAACAGGGAGGTGAGGCAGGGATCCCAGAGGTGTTGGAGGGAGATGGCTTTTCTCTCAGATGCCATGGGGAGTCTGGTCCCCGGGGCATGGCTCTGGCTCCTCCTGGGAAAATGGGCTTTAGGCAGGACAAGAGCAGAAGCAGAGATCCCAGCTAGGCGCTCTGCCAAAGCCTCCGCAGTGATGGCACAGGGTTTGCGCAAGGGCCACAGCAGTTGGTGGGCGGGGGTGTGTGGCACCTGAAGAGGAGGCAAGCCACAGAGTCCACAGGCCTTGTGGCCAGGGCCTGAGGATGACAGAAGCGGGAGGCAGGACCTGGCTGCAGTTCTGGGCACTGGGCATTTGGTGGCCACTCACCGAAATGGGGCAGGAGCCTACTGGGGGTTCCTCATGAGATGCTGGGAAGGCAGGAGCGGACGGCAGTCTGTGACCCTGTACTGTGTGTGATTTGGTGGCTTTCAAATCCTCAGGTTGAGTGAGATCACAGGGTCAGTGTAAGCAAGAGTGGACAGGAACAGCTGGGGCTGAGCAGAGGGTTTATTGAGCAGGAGGAAGGGGACACACTTGCCCACATGACCGCAGGCAGATCTGCCCAGTGCACAGTGCATTGAAGCCACAATCCCAGAGCGGAAGGCAAGGGCTGGCCAGCTGCTGCCAACCCTGCCAGGGATGTGATGACAGAAAGGAAAGGCTGCACTTGGCAACAAGGGCACAGCTGGTGACCTTCCCAGGTCAGTGCCTGTGGTGTGCTCAGGTCACCTTCAAACAAAACATATCCTGCTTCACTCCACTGCCAGGATCTTGCCCACTCACCTGCCACCTGAGAGGGTCCCTCTGCCCATTACCAACCACACCAACCTTCTAAGCAGGAGCTCCACACAGAGAGGAGAGAGATGGCAAGGCAAAGGACTCAGCCAAGTCCCCTGCCAGCTGGCATCCTTCCAGAAGACACCCAAGGCCTACGACTCACCCTTCCGGCACCCAGACGGATTATCCCCATTGCCCGGCCAAGTCGCGCTAGGCTCAACATGAGGCCCTTCAGACTTACTGAGCACAAGCAGGGGCGCCGTTGACCTCAATGAGCCAGACCTTCAGTTCCTCATCCACCATGAAGTCGAAGCCAAAGAGCTGGAAGCTTTGGTAAGGGAGGTTCTTGGTGCTAATGGCGGGCTCCACACTCAGGAGACAGCTCCTATGGGACAGGAGGAGAGAGCTCCCTGAGAATGGGGTGGTTGAGGGACAGGGGACACCTGAGACGTGCATGGAAGACGTTATATCAAGTGCATATAAAAACTGGCTTTGATTCAATCCTCTCTTTTAAATCTATCACCAGGGACTAGCATTGTGGGTGCAGTGTCAAGGCACTTGTGCAGAAAACCCGCAAATGGAAGATCGCTCCCACTCTGCCTTTAAATAAATAAACATAGAAAAAGGAGAAAACTGTTAGCCAGAATTCATTAAGAAACTAAATATAATTTTTTTATCTACTGGAAGTCCAAATGGACGCATCAAAGGACTTCTTACTTTAACCATTGGAGACGTCACAGCGTGTCTTGTTTTGACTGCTGTGGGAATCAAGTGGGTGCTGCAGGGAGCATGCCCAGCACCCAAGTGGCAACCCTCTAAACTGCTCAGAACAAAGAGGGGGCTGAGCAGGTTTCCAATATAGATCTTGCCTATGGTAGGAATTCTTTTTTCCAGCAAGTTTCATTTTTCTAATGTCAGAATTATGAGCACTCAGAATTCCTGAAAGAAAATCAGAGACGCTCCAGCTGCTGTAATAATTCTGCTGGACTTCTCGTAAAAATTTTGACAGTCAGGCAGTTTTTTCATAATACATTTTTCTCTTGAATGTTTTTGAAGACCTCCTCATAGGCCTGGATTTCAAAATCCTTTTTGCACCGAAAGTTATCTCTTAATCTCACTTTCCATAAACTTTCTGAAGTTCTCCTACACATTAAACATAAAACTAGCTGACTTCTCAGCAGAAACGGATGCCATGAGACAGGGGCAGATATTTGCAGTAGTGACAGAAACTAACTTGATCCACTGATCTACTACCTGAGTAAATTTGCTTTAAAAACAATGACAAGGTCCAAGTGCCGTGGCCTAGCAGCTAAAGTCCTTTGCCTTGAACAAGCCAGGATCCCATATGGGCGCCAGTTCTAATCCCGGCTGCTCCACTTCCCATCCAGCTCCCTGCTTGTGGCCTGGGAAAGCAGTCTAGGACAACCCAAAGCCTTGGGACCCTGCATCCACGTGGGAGACCTGGAAGAAGCTCCTGGCTTCAGATTGGCTCAGCTCCAGCCATTGCGGTCACTTGGGGAGTGACTCATCAGACAGATCTTCCTCTCTGTCTCTCCTCCTCTCTATATATCTGACTTTGCAATAAAAATAAATAAATAAATCTTTAAAAAATACAAAACTTACTAACAGATACTTCATCACTTGGTAACCCTACTTCAAAAGTTTCAAAAGGAGGGCCCTCCTTGCCCTCTCTGCACCTCTGCCTTCCAAATAAATATTTTTTTTTAAAAAACTAGGGTTAACCCTTGAAGACATTGGAATAGGAAATAACTTTTTTAAAGTACCAAGAGCAAGGTGTTTTATGTTAAAAATAAGAAAAACAATCTAGACAAAAGCAAGGAAACACAAGCAAGAAAGATGCAATGTAAAAGGTTAACAAGGATCCTTGTTAGATTTTTACAATTGAGTTGAATTGGTAAACTATTAATCCAAGAAGGCTCCGAAATATCAGATATATATTAGGTATATATATTGTAATCCCTAGAGCAGACACAGAAATAGAAAAATCATGGAAACATGCCAAGCATAAACAGGAAAAATAAAACTAAACATTTTCAAATAATTCAAAAGGCAGGAAAGGAGAAAATGGAAAACAAAAAGGAGGGACTTGACAACCACAATAAAATGGTATATACTGAGTCAATGAAAACAACAATTACAGTAAACTTGAATGACACAGATATGCCAATTAAAATGCAGATTGTCATACTGAATACGATAAAAAACCAAAACTCAACTATACATTATCTATCAGAAGTCTATTTCATTATTATTGTTTCTTAAGATTTTTTTGTGGGGGCCCAGCACGGTGGCCTAGCGAATAAAGTCCTCGCCTTGAACACACCGGGATCCCATATGGGCACCGGTTCCAATCCTGGCAGCTCCACTTCCCATCCAGCTCCCTGCCTGTGGCCTGGGAAAGCAGTCGAGGATGGCCCAAGGCTTTGGGACCCTGTACCCGCGTGGGAGACCCAGATGAGGTTCCTGGCTTCAGATCGGCATAGCATTGACTGTTGCGCTCACTTGGGGAGTGAATCATCGGACGGAAGATCTTCCTCTTTGTCTCTCCTCTCTGTATATCTGCCTTTCCAATAAAAATAAATAAATAAATAAATAAATAAATAAATAAACGTTTTTTAAAAAATCTTTTTTTTTTACTTGAAAGTAGAATTACAGAGAGAGACACACAGAGATCATCTGCCAGCTCACTCCCCAGGTGGCCACAACAGCTGGAGCTGAGCAGATCTGAAGCCAGGAGCCAGGTGCTCTTCCAGGTCTCCCGCACAGGTGCAGGGTCCCAAGGCTTTGGGCCGTCCTCGACTGCTTTCCCAGACCAGAAGCAGGGAGCTGGATGGGAAGTGGAGAAGCTAAGACTAGAACTGGGGCCCATATGGGATGCAGGCAGAGGATTAACCTATTAAGTCATGGCATGAGAGCCTCCCAGAAGCTTACTTTAAATGTAGAAGGGTCTAATATGGAACGTAATAAAAATAAAGAAATGGAAAGATACAAACCTTGGTAACACTAAAAGCCAGACAAAATAGCATAGAAAATAAGAAATGCTACCCAGAGGTAAAGACATATTATGTAACAGTAAAAATGGCCAATTCCTAAGTAAGGGACAACATCCCCAAGTGTGCACGTCCCAAAGACACACCTTCAAAATGCAGGTAGCAAAAACTGAGCAAACTGAAGCCAGACACTGACAACTCTCAAATTCTCCTTGGAGACTTCAACGTTCTTCCTCTTGCTCATGATCAGAACAAACAGAACAGACCGCTGGTGCGGCTTTCCAAGACTTGAACAGCTTCATCAAAGCGCTTCGACCAGCCTGCCATCAGCTGGAGTCTGTCCAACCCCAGCAGGAGCCCACTCCTTCCAGGGTACAGGACCCATGCACTCAGACCGCATTCTGGGCCTTGAAGCCATGCCAAGTGCCTTGACCATGAAGGACACATCCTCAACCATCTGGCTACCAAACAGAAAGTTCTACATCACCCGTGAGTCACAGACGAAGTCACAAGGGGAGTTAGCGGGTGCTACAATTAGCTGCAAAAGTTTCTGAGGTGCAGCAAACGCTGTGCTCGGAAGAAAGCCGACCGCATTAAAATGCTGTCTTTTATTTCAAGGAAATCTTCCTAGTTAACAGTCTCAACCTTTACCTTGAGAAACTAGAAAACTAAAGAAAAAAAAAAGGAAAATAATATAACGCAAAGAAATTAAAAACAATAACAATAAAGTCAAATGCTGTTTTTCTTTTAGAAAAGATTATTAAAATTAATAAACCTCTAGCCAATGGAGAAACAGAAATGATCAGTATCAGGATGAAATCTGTGACATAATTAGAGACTAAATGCTATAAGTAGCAAAAGGAAGAGAAGGGATATTACAAATAACTTTTACTCATGAATTTGACAGCTTACATGAAACAATTTCGTATAAGGCATAAGCACGCCGACCTCCTTCAAGAACCGCACAACGAAAAAGAGATGCAACCAAGTTACCTTATGATGTGTTTGATTTGAACCAGAATGCTGTTTTCCAGGGTAACGTTCAAAGCACTGGTCAGGTACTGGTTGAACTCCTCAAAGAACATCTCATTCCCTTCTTCGTACTTCCCGTAATTCTTGGAGTACTCCTTCTGAATGCAGTGGTTGGTCAAATGGCACGTCTTGTCCTGGAAGTTGTCCATGTGATAGGGTTCCGACGCCGTCCGCAGCACACCCTCCCTATAGAGGTAGATGTTGTACTGATGGTCCACCAAGACCCAGCTTCTGCAATTCAGTAAAACAGGGCGAGTCAATAGACTCCAATCTCAGAGTACATGACAGTATTTCAAAAAGTTACTGAGGCCAACAGAACCCATACCTATGAGGGAATCCTCAAGAAGTTCATGGACAAGTGGGTACAACTTAAATTCCCCTTTCGACAAACTTCCGGAAGCACCCTTGTATATATCTTTATATAGCCCATGCTCACATCATCACTTTTAGGGGGAAGTGGGGAAATGAGCGGGAACGGAGAGAGGAGGTGAGTTCTAACATTATACAGACCAAAATGGTGTGTTATCACTATAACGATAGCATTGTAAACACACCACTGCACCCTATGTGACAAGGGTCACATTGGCCCATTGTGAAGAGCCTCGACGGGCGATGGCTTTGGGTTAGCCCATAAAAGTCCACTTGTCCGGGGTGTTCCTTGAGGAAGGTCAGAGAAAGCTGGCTCAGGGCTGACCTGCCAAACGGCTGAGCAAGAGGCAGCCGCGGCAGAGGCCCACGGTGCTTGGAGAGCGGTGACAGTCAGGCAGAGGGTGAGCTGAGGGACGCTGGAAAGCACCCCATATCTTTTTCCAACCTACACCTTTTTGCTTGAAATTTATGGTCTGCCATAACCGAGGCATGCTCAGGAAATCCCTGACACGCGGGACCCAGGTGATGCGGCAGGGCCACGGGGGGCTTGTAATGCAGGCTCTTCTCTTTGGAAAGCAGAACATGAGGTAGGGAAGCTCTGCTGCGTTCGGTTGCACCACCCAACACTTGCTAAGTATTTAACATGGTACCCCATTTCCTCACTTTGCGCTTCTCAGTCCTTCCCGCACAGCACAGCCTGCTGAGGGCCTGGATGCGTTACCGAATGTCGAACTTGCGATGGCCCGGCTCCAGCAGCAGAGGGCGCTCGAGGTATTTCTGGATCACGTGCACTTGGCCCTGGGCGTCTATGAAGTCCAGAAGCTCCGTGGCCTCCGACGAAATGAGGATGCCTTCGCCTAAGAGACCAGAAGAGGAACAGGAAAAAGTACAGGTGGTGTCAGGAGGAAAAGCTTGATCTGTCGACAAAGCCATGGAGGAAGCACTGACGGTGAACATGAACATGGACACGCACACACGTGTGCAGCCAAAACTCAGGTGCTTTGGCTGGCTCATGTATTCATTCTCATTTTTCCCCTCCAATTTTTCCATATTCTTTCCTCTCCGGCAAGAACATCCAGTGTCATGCAAGAGTCTCTGTCTAGGATTGCCAATACTATTTGGACAGGCGTTAACGGTGAAGGTCCAGTTTTATAGGTACTTAAAGGGTCTACAAGCTGTCAGCCCATGTCACTTTTATTGCTCACTAGCTGCCAAGGGAAGAATGTTCACTGCCTCTGACCGAAAAACTCACCGCTGACATATTGGAAAGATCAGGACGTTTAAGGTATAAAGTAGACCGTCTGAGTCTGGTACAATGGCTCATCCTCCATCAGCAAGGACCAGCATCCCATACGGGTGCCAGTTCATGCCCCGGCTGCTCCACTTCCCATATTGCTCCCTGTTAGTGGCCTGGGAGGGCAGTGGACGACGGTACAAAACCCCGGGACCCTGCAAACATGTGGGAGACCCTGAAGAAGCTCCTGGATTTAAATCGGCTCAGCTCCAGCCATTGTGGCCATTTGGATAATGATCCGCAGATGGAAGATCTTTCTGTCTCTCCTTCTCTCTGTAAATCTGCCTTTCCAACAAAAACAAATATTTTTTAAAAAGGTAAAACAGATCATTTGGCTAACTTCAACATAATTCCTTAGAAATTTGCCCGTGGTGTATCAAGACTTCATTGCTTTGTATGGCTGCATAGTATTTCATTGTATGACAAGATTTTGAAAGGAGATTCATTAAAGAATGAACATTTAAGTTGTTTCCAATATGTAGCTCTTATTAATGACCCTGTTATAAAAATAGTTTTTATAAGCTTTTGTGTGGAAATGTTATTTTGATTTCTTGGGACTATATGTAGGAGTGGAAAAGACAGACTTTGCAGTAATTGTGTTGAGCTTTCTGAGGAAGCATTTCCCAAAATGGCCGCACAATTTGGCATCCTCACCAGCAACCCCGGCTCTTTACATCCTGGTAAGCACCTGTCACTGTCTGCCTTCTTGGGCACAGCCGTCTTCATGGGCAGGAGGTGGTACTGCTCTGTATTTTGGGTTTGCATCTCCCTAGTGACTGATCATGCTGCACTTTGCATGCACTCACTGGCTATAGGGACATGTTCTTTGGAAAAATGTCTACTCAGGGGCTTGCATGACAGCGTAGTGGTTAAAGTCCTTGCTTTGCATGTGCCGGGATCCCATATGAACGCCGGTTCTAATCCCGGCAGCCCTGCTTCCAATCCAGCTCCCTGCTTCTGGCCCGGGAAAGCAGTCGAGGATGGCCCAAAGCCTTGGGACCCTGCACCTGTGTGGGAGACCTAGAAGAGCTCCTGACTTCTAGCTTTGGATCAGCTCAGCTCCAGCCATTGTGGCTGCTTGGGGAGTGAACCATCAGACAGAAGATCTTCCTCTCTGTCTCTCCTCCTCTATATATCCGCCTTTCCAATAAAAAAAAAATTGTCTACTCAGATTCTTGCCTATTCCCCGATGGAATCATTTGTCTTTTTAAAATATGGATATTTATTTATTTATTTTATTGGAAGGGATGGGAAGTGGAGCAACCAAGACATGAATCTATGCCTATATAAGATTCTGGCACTTGCAAGCTGAAAATTTAGCTATTGAGCCATCACACTGGGCCCTTCTACATTACTTCCTTTTTACATATGGGCAAAAAAATCCTGGTTCAATCACAATGAATTCATTTTGCATTCTTTTTTCATTTATGTTGTTAACTGTTCTTATGACTTAATGTGGGTCCATGAGAGCAAGAGATCAAATCCATCTTGTTCTTACAACTCCAAACATCCATCCACTCATGCACTCAGGATAAATGCTGAACCTCTGCCGGCCGCAAGGTGCTGAGCACAGACGTGGCACGTTTGGCATGGCTGCCTGCTTTCTCAGGGTCTTTGCCTGCTGTGCCGTTGGTAGGCTCTGAGCAATGGCCAAGGATGGGTAGCAACATTCCTGTGCAAAGTGAGGGTGGCTGAGGTCAGAGATGGGTGGCAGATGTGATGAACAGGGCCTTGCTACTGAGTAGAGTTTGAAAAACGACCCAACTCACCCAAGCATGTAGTAGAGACTAAGTAACTATTTTGTTTAACGTGAATAAAAAGTTTTTATTTACTCTACTGGATTCATTTCAGTTTCCCCCAACAAAACAAACAACCACCATGGACTGCAACCCTTAAAGTAAAAACGCAGTGTCTGCCAGGCTGCAAAAGCCAGGCACCTCCACTTCATCCTTGACCACTCTTTGCTTTACAGTCCTGACCTAATGCATCCGCTGTAGTCTTGCTAGCTAGCCCTACCTTTCAAAAGACATGTTCTTAACTGGACTTTTACTTGTCATTGCCATGGCTGTCACCCTACATAAAAGCCACCATCTCTCCAATTTGATGTAACGACACTGCCTCCTCTTGGCTGGCTAGCCTCCTCCCAGACAGAGCAATGCTTTGAAAACAGATATGATTATGTTGCTCCCTGCCCAAATCCAGCCAGCTGGCTTCCTAAAACAATTAGGATCAATTCCGGGATCCCGGTGGTAGCCTGTACCATTAGACAATTTGGCTGGCATGTTTTGGTTTCATCTCCTTCACTGCACTGTGTGGATGCCGAGACTGCCCAGGGATCAGCAAAGACTCAGGATTGGTCTCTGTACCTGGAATGCACATACACAGGGGATTATCTGTTTATCTCAATTCAGATGTTGCCTCACCAGAAAAAGCTTTTCTCCTCTACAACAGGCCCTAGCTGCGTTCTTTCTCTCCCTTCACTCTGCCTTTCTAGCCTTTCCTGGCACTGCATCACTCATTTCTCTGTCTCATGAGCTCAGGACTTTGTGCCATGCGAACATTTGCCTTGTTCATCCTGTAGACACTCAATAAATGAGTGTAGAGCAGGAGCAGGAAGAGGTGAGGCTATAACATTATTTTAGGCATCAAACACGCCTGAATTGATGTAGTGATCATGCCTGTTTTGTAGTGAGCGCATAACCAGCCCTCCTTGGTGTCGACCGTGATTCTCTCCTTAAAAAATGTTCCGTTGTGAGCATACATAAACCAGTATCTAAAAAAATATATATATCACATGTTGCCATTGAGCAAAGCACTTTGGGAACCTCCAGGGGACAGAAGGGCTGTGACAGAAACTTACCCTTGGCACCAGCTGATGACTTTGCAATCCAAACATTGCCCTCCCCGTCCTCTTTCTTTTGGTTGTAAGAAGTCAGGAAGAATTCCCTCTCATCTGTTCTGGAGCTATTGACTGGCAGCTGGATTCCATTCTGCGCTGGGGCCACGGGCGTCTTGAGTGTCGTTGGGTAAATGACATAGGACTCAGGGAACCATGTGCAGGACTCGGCCAGTTCTGGGCTCGTCTTGATCAGCCTGGCAGGTGACAGAGGGTCAGTTCCCTTCTCGGTGCACTCCCCCCCTGTTGCCCGATTTAGAAAGGACACTACTTTGCCACTGAGCTTCACAAGGAGACAAGGCATGGCCTGGTCTCCTCCTTACCCTTCTAATTTGCCCTTGACCTTGCTGAACAGACATCCCAATGCACTACAGAGCAGCACACAGCTGGCAGGTGCAATGTTAAAGGGATGTTCTGGTTCATTCAAAGGGCTTGACACTCAGAACTTCAGCTTTTTTGCTAATGCATTTCCAAGGAAACTCAACTTGATGTAATCCTGAGCTAACATCTTTTCAGCAAATACGCCAAGGATGAACCAGATTCACACAAGAACATAAAGTGGGAAATGAAGGGAAATATTGGAACCATGAACAAATGCACTATCGTAGCTCAAATCTGGGGAGCAAACGTGCTTCGAAAACAGTGCTCTAAAGACATCTTTAATTTTTTGTTCTTCGCCTTCAGCTCAGTCTGGCTTAACAGACAGATGAAAGAAGGAATCTTTTCATGGGACACCAGTTGTCATAAACAAATAGATCTCCTGCTCCCAAAATAACATGACAGCACGGGGGCTCAAGTCAGACCCAAGCAAGGGACTCGATACCCGGAAGGGCTTACTGCAGACTTCCTCGCTGTCCCGAGCCCTGCCCAGGAGCAGCAGGCCCTGGCATTCCATCTCACTAATTAGGAACTGGGTCACACAGGCATAAATATCTCAGGATCACACAAGTGGTGAATACTGGCCAGGATGCAATCCTCAAATTCCCAACCCCCACCTCCCCTTCCTTCCCCAAAATCAGAGCTACTCAAAGACACGGGTGGGGCTTCTCTAGGCAGCATGCCCTCTTGGGTCTAGATCAGAAACATTCATGTCAAGACTCAGCTCTGGAGCCCAGACAGGGGAGCGTGTACTTAGCCCAGAGGTGAAGACACCTGCCTTCCATCTCAGAGCACTGACCCCCGCTCTGCCTCCGGACCCCAACTTCCTCCCTGTGCAGGCGCTGGGTGGCAGGAGCTGAGGACTCAAGCATCTGGATTCCTGCCACCCCATGAGAGACCTGGGATACGTTGCCAGCTCCCAGCTTTGGCCTGGTCCAGCGCTACTCACGCGGGAAGTGAACCAGCAGATAGAAATCCTGTCTCTCTTCCTGTCTTTCCTCTATTCCTCTCCCTCTCAAAAAAATACAATATGGAAAAAAGGGTCACACACACAAATCCTAGTCTGTGAGCAATAGACATAATGAAAACATTTAAACTAAAACTATTACACATTAAAATTGTTTCGAAAATAAAGGCAGTAGAATTTGAAAGTTATCTGAACTCAAAGGAACAAGAATGTATCTCTAACATGATGAATGTTCACATCTGTATGTCACTGTCCCTTAGGCTGACCACTGGCCACATGTGGCTGCTGAGCCCAGGAAGCAGGAGCCCAGTTTTGAATTGTACTGAATCCATGCTAAGTTACAGTGCTAGCTGTGCAACCCAAAACAGGAGACTAAAGTGAAATGTAATTCTGTGCTTTCCTAAGTCAAAAGCAATAAGACCGGGGGGGAGCGGGGGGCAGGCTTTGGTGTATTAGTTAAAACACTATTGAGCCTCCTGCACTCCATACTGGGAGTGCATGGGTTTGAGTCTTAGCTCCTCTCCAATTCTAGCCTCTTGCTAAAACACACCTTGGGGGTACAACAGCTGGTGGCTCTAACAGCTGATTCTTTGTCACCCAGGTTGGAGCCTCAGACTGAGTTCCCAGCCCTGGACTGGACCCGGCCCAACCCTGCTAGTGGCAGACACTTGGGGGCGCTCTCGTTCTCTGCCCCACAACCCATCTACCCCTCTGTCTTTAAAGTCACCAAAATAAATTTGAAGACATTTTTCAGAAGTCTGAATAAATTTTAAAATTTAAAATAGGGCCCGGCACGATAGCGCAGTGGTTGAAGTGCCTTGCATGCACCGGAATCTCATATGGTTGCCAGGTCTAATCCCAGTGACCCCGCTTCTCATTCAGCTCCCTGCCTGTGGACGGGGAAAGCAGCGGAGGACAGCCCAAGGCCTTGGGACTCTGTATCTATGCAGGAGACCCGGAGGAGCTCCTGGCTCCTGGCTTCGGTCGGCTCAGCTCCAGCCATTGTGGCCGCTTGGGGCCGGACGGAAGATCTTCCTCTCTGTCTCTCCACCTCTCTGTCTGTATATCTGACTTTGTAATAAAAATAAATAAATCTTAAAAAAGAGAGAGAGAGAGAGATTCTTAGCTCCTAGCCGTGCACAATCTCACTTTGATTTAGGGCTCTACCCACAACAAAACACTCTGAAAGCCTTTCTTAGATAAGCTATAAGCTACATTTTAATAATAATAATAATAATAAATTTAAAACAAAGGCCAACTACTATTGTGGAACTGGGATATACAGAAGTTCAGACAATGACCAGGACAGTAAAGCTAAAAACAAACAAAAACTGAGAAATTAAGTCACAAATTCACAGGGAATAGCAACTGCATGTGCTGTGACAGAGTGAAATGAACATGTAATTTATCATGCTAAGGAGATATTTTCAGTAGACACATAATCACCTTAATAAGAATTCTCTCAATGGTGAAAAACAGGATCAAGGAACTAGGCTAGAGGCGGGGGTTCAGTGGAAATGCCACTGAAGCCCGGATTTCCTTATCATGTTCTGGGGTTCAGGTATGGGCTCTGCTGCACATTCCAGCTTCCTGCTAATGTGCATCCTGGGATGCAGCAGGTGAGGGCTCAAGCAGCTGAACACCTGCCACCCAGAAGGGAGATGTGAACCGAGGATGGTTCCCGCCCGGTCCAGCCCTGGCTGGTATAGGCACCTTGGGAGCAGTAGCAGCTGAACACTTGCCACCCAGATGGGAGATGTGAACCCAGGATGGCTTCCGCCCGGTCTAGCCCTGGCTGGTATGGGCACCTGGGGAGCCAGTGTGCATCCTGGGAGGCAGCAGGGGACGGCTCGAGTATTTAGGCTCCTGCCACTCAAGTGACAGACCCAGACCGAGCTCCCAGCTCCCAGCCGTGGTCCTGGTTGGTGTGGGCAGCTGATAGAAGATCTCTCTTGCTCTTTCAAATTAAGTAAGATTTTTTTTTTAACTGAAAAAAGAAATTGACTAAAATTATAATTATCCATGGAAAGGTTTTTTTTAACAGGATCTGAGCTTATAACTTTGGTCAACTATAAAATGGCTTGGATTCTTATACACATACAAAAAAAAAACATTTTGGGGGGGAAATATGGTGACAAAACTTAACAATATATTTACAAAACATAAAGCATCTTCAGTTAAGCCTAGCTGTCATAGAATATAAAATACTTTCAACCAACAACATCAAAGTTTGACTCAAGGTTAAATATCTGGGGCCAGTATGATGGCTCTCTTTCCTAATCCTACACCCCCAAGTGCTGGCATTCCATATGGGTGCTGGTTCGTGTCCTGGTTGCTCCAATTTTCATCCTGTTCTCTCCTTATGCCCTGGGAAAAGCAATGGAGGATGGCCCAAAGCCTTGGGACCTTGCAACTGTGTGGGAGACCCAGAGGAGACTCCTGGCTCCTGGCTTTGGTTTGGCTCAGCTCTGGCCATTGCGACCATTTAGGGAGTGGACCAGCAGATGGGAGATCGTTGTCTCTCCATTTTTCCATAAATATGCCTCTCCAATAAAAATTAAAAATTACATATTTTTTCAGATTAAGATAAGTTATGTGACATCAGCCTAATTGATGTTTTGGGCATCCCTGGTCTTGGAACTTCCACACACATGAAAAAAATAATGGCAAATAGCAGCCCGCCAGATTTCAAATTCTTGGTATAAATATTTTTGAACCTTTTACATCTGTCAAAGAATTCTACCTGTATGTTGAAAACCCGCCTTAAAAAAATTAAAATGTGTTTATTTTCATTGGAAAGGGAGATTTACAGAGAGAAGGAGAGACAGAAATATCCTCCATCCTCTGATTTACTCCCCCCCAAGTGGCCACAATAGCCAGAGCTGAGCTGATCCAAAGTAGGAATCCAGAGCCTCCTCTGGGTCCTCCAGGTGGGAGCAAGGTCCCAAAGCTTTGGGCCACTGTTGACTGCTTTCCCAGGTCCTGAACAGGGAGCTGGATGGGAAGTGGAGCAGCCGAGACACAAACTGGTGCCCCATGGGATCCCAGCATATTCAAGCCAAAGATTTAGCCTCTGAGCCATTGTGCCAGGCCCCGGCCCCTATTTTCTGTCTTGACAAGTAGCTAAATACGAGTAAGTATAGATTTGCTGGGATTTTCAATGGAGTTTCCTTCCTTCCTTCACTTTACTCTGTGATACATATTGGAAACATTGTCTGGGTGCACTGGTGGAAGCCTCTGTGTTCAGTTTCCTGAAGCTGACTGCTCAAGCGGCTACAGTCACGGAGATGGTAAACTGTGTGGCACTCACAGATGTTACAATGATGCGTCAGTTGGGACTGTTGAAAGAGACAGGAGAGGACAAATAGAATGATCCAGAAATCTTTGCCAATTGCCGATTGAGAAGATGAGACATTTATACAGAAATTTACTGTTAAGTCTCAGACTTTTGTGAATAAAAAACCTGCTTGGCAAACCAGTACTTTGACTCAGTAAATATTTCATTCAATAATCAAAGATAAACACCGCAAGTGTGATTTGCATGAACTTCCCACTGTATCTGCATTGCATGTTAACCAACTAAAAGCTCCAAGCAAGGCAGGGAAACAGGTGTTTCACTACAGTCAAGATGCTCCTGTCCCATACCTGAGTACTGGGATTTAATTCCTAGCTGAGCTTCCTGCTGAGGCACAACCTAGGAGGAGCAGAAATAACTCAGGAGCCTGCTACCCACGTGGGAGACCTGGATTGAGTTCCAGGATCCTAGTTTCAGCTCTGGCCTTCCTCCAGCTCTTCTGGTATTTCGGGAGTAAATCAACAGATGGTGTATTTCTCTGTTTCTTTCAAACACTTATTTAAAAGTCAGACTTACACAGAGAGAGCTTTTATCCACTGTTCACTCCCCGCTGACCTCAGGAGCCAAGGCTGAGCCAGGCTGAAGCCAGGGCCTCATCCAGGTCTCTCTCACCAGTGGCAGGGGTCCAAGCACTTGGACCATCCTCCACTGCTTTTCCAGGCACATTAACAGGGATCTGGATTGGAACTGGAATAGCTGGGACATGAGCTACATGGGAAGCCGGCATGGCATGCAGTGGCTTTGCGCACTATGCCACAACTCCAGCCCCCTTTCAAATAAATTAAAAGTTAAAAAAAAAAAAAAAGCTCCAAGGGAAAGTTAGACAGATGTGAGAATTTATATTTGTTCACAATAGAAATCAAATTATAAATAATCATTTTATATATCTATTACAGGGCTCGTTGTGCAGATGATTTTATTTATAAAACACTATAAAAACTAATCGCAAAAACTAAAAAACAAATTGAACACGGTGACACCTTATAAATAAATAAATCTGAAAAATGGGACAGCTGAATTCAGAGTGGCACCATCGGGGTCACATGTACATCCCAGAATCTAATTGAGACGCCAGCTGTGGGTCTCTCTACCGCATAGATGCCCAACACACCCACGTCAGCACAACATTCCTCTCCACAACAGCCCATCCTCTGCTCCCCGCTATCGGGGAGTAAAAGTCCACCTTTGCCTTTAGAGAGAAAAATTGTAAGGAAAAAAAATTGAATATATTTCTCAATGAATAACCTCCAGGAAATGCCCTGTGCCGCGTCCTTCTTGCTTCTGGTGACACAGTTTTCTGTCTTGAAACCGTGTGAATAGATGCTAAGATGACTGTGGGCCTTTCTCCTTAGGATCATGGAGAACCACACTCCAGTTCCAGGGCTACTGAGTTTGAACACAAAGCTGGAAACAGTCCATGAACGCCCAACCTAGTTATTAGTTAGACTATAAAAAGAAACCCAAGTGGAGGGTCCAGCACAATGGCTCAACTGGCTAATCCTCTATCTCCAAGTGCCAGGATCCTATATTGTCACTGGTTCACATCCCAGTTGCTCCACTTCCCATCCAGCTCCCTACTTGTTTCCTTGCCTGGGAAAGCAGTAGAAGATGGCCCAAAGCCTTGGTATCCTGAACCCCCATGGGATACACAGAGGAGGCTCCTGGCTCCAGGTTTCAAATCAGCTCAGCTCTGGCTGTTACGGTCATTTAGGAAGTGAACGAGCCATGGAAGATAGTTCTGTCTCTCCTCTCTGCAAATCTGCCTTTCCAATAAAAATAGATAAATCTTAAAAAAAAAAAAAAAAGAGAAAGGAAAGGAAAGGAAACATGAGCAGAATAAAAAAAAAAAAAAAAAAAGCATTGTGCCTGGTGTCTTCTCCGTTACCTGATCTGGCCAGCTACACACACATTCCCTAATATTGTAAAAGGATCATCTGGGGCCAATCCCAGTTCACCAACACATTAAGCCCAGTCCCCATTAAGATGGCAACATAATAGCCAGGACGGCCACCATAATGGAAGAAGGGGAACACTTGCAAGGCAAAGCTTTTTTGTGCATGAACTCAATTACCATTCACAACAACCCTGAGGTCTTTCCCATTTTTAACAATTGTTATGTGCTTATTTGAGAAGCAGAGGAAATGGGGAGAGGCAGGACAGGCAGGCGCATGGACAGATAGTCGCATACACACACACATCTCTTATCGACTAATTCACTCTCCAAATGTCTGCAGCATCTAGGGCTGGGCCAGCTGAAGCCAGGAGCCTGAAACCCCATCTGGGTCTCTGTGGGTGGCAGGGGGCCATGTGCTTGAGCCACCTGCTGCCTTCCAGGGTGTACGTAACCAGGAAGCCGCAATTATGAGCATAGACAGAACTTGAACCCGGGCACTCCCATAGAGGGTGCAGGCATCTTGACTAGTGTCTGAAGCACCAGGTGAAATACCCCACCCCCAAGGTTGAGTCACTCTTACCAACCTCATTGAATGGAGAAGAAAACCAAGGCAGAGGGTCAAACACTGATTTCCCGATCAGCCTGCTGGGTTAGATACCACTATACTGCTGCATCACATTTACTTGTCACAAGGAGGGAGGGACAGATGCTTAGAGAGGTGGGGTTTGCCATGAGAAGAGGAAGAGCCAGGGTTCAGTCCACACTGATGACCCTAGATTAGTTGCTGGGCCATACCACCTCCTTAAGGGCCATGTCCCCTTATGATAGATATTCTTGTGACACCTGCCATCCCCTAAGCACCCAGAGATGAGTAAGTGCTGGGTTATTTCCTGTTACACTTGCCTAGACATCCTTTCTAAAAATGCCTTCACAGCAGCATCCTCTGGCTCTTCCCAGGGCCAGTGACTGATGGGCTCTGGTCCCTCAGCTTTAACATGCCACCACCCTGCGGTGACACTGGCTTAGGCGTCCTATGGGATGGGACTTTCCCTAGTACCTGTTCTTGGCCCGACTCCTGCCCCACTGCGTCCTCCTTGCTTTCTAGTGCGATTCTCTGGAAGAGACTGTCCCATAAGAAATCACCCACTCAGATCCCCACCCCACCCTGAGTCAGGCACCGCCTCCAGGGAGTCCCCCCTAAGAGGCCTCCGCCCTCAACAGCAACATTTGTGACTGCCAGTCACTGCAGCTCAGGGAAAGCTCCAGCCAGCGGAGGATCTGACCCTTCGATTCCACATGTCTGCGTCCATGCACGCTTCAAGATGAATGCTAAAGACAGCAATGTGAATAAGTGACACGGCGAGGCTCCAACAACACTTACTTCACCAAGGACGCTTTGCGGCACAGCTTGTCGGCCCCCCGGTAGTAATTGACCAGCTGTGCCAGCCCAGGCTCGTAACCTAGGAAGGAAAGAAGAGGCTCAGAGGGCTGAGGACCACATCAGCACCAACATGCAGCAGAGACAGAGAGAGTGGCCATGTCATGCCCAGCTTTTCTTCCCTTTGCCAGACTGCTGGTTAGAAATGGAATCAATTTTCCCCCTTGTGCTACCATGTTTCCACCAGCTGTCAGCTACGATTCCTCCTTCCCTTCACAGTGAACATGACAATCTCAGCATTGTGGGGCTACCCAGGAACACTGCTGCTGCTCCCTTTGCTTCTCCCTGTTAAAGTGAAGATCATCAGGGCTGTTTTCTATCTCACCCATCCATGTTCCTCACCATGCCTCTCTCCCGGCTTAACATGCCCAGGTTTTCAAGCCCCCGTGTGGTCAGGCTACTTAACAGGGAGCCATACATGGCACGCCCCTTAGCATGCCATCCAGGAAGGCAGCCGAGCCTCTGGAAGATGAGAGGTCATGGAGAGGCCACGCCCATAAAATCAGAAGCTACTGGAACTTTCCTCTTGGCCTCGCCCCCACAGGAATATCAATTTTGGTAGCTCTTATTACAGTTCCTGCTCTCTAGGCAATTAAAGCAGGAAGGGCATGAGTTGATGTTAATCTGTAATTTAAAAACTTTTCAATGCTGCCAAAAGTCATTGCCATTTCCAGCAACATCCAAGCAGGAAAAAAACCAGAGACTCTGAAGTGCAGATGCCAGCAGTAAGAGGAACTCATCCGAGAATGGCACACAGTCCAGTCTCTGGCACCAGAAGCCTGCATGGGCTGCCTGGGGTGGGCACACCTGCTTCCCACCTAACTACCTGCTTTACCCCCAAGCTCCTGAGTGTACCTCTATCTGAGTGTTGACTTGGCTCTGTAGCTCTCCTCGAGTCACATGATGCCTCTAAGCAGGTGGTAAATATCTCTATCAGCGATGACATGCAGCCATTTCGGTTGTGGGCTGTTGTCTTTTGTCCCACTGAAACCAAGTGCCTGCTGCCTCTGGGGCACCTGCTCAGGCTCAGGACCCTCCAGTTTTTCACTTGTCATCCCCACACTCCGGTGCCACAGCAATGCCAACCTTCCCTGCCTGAGCTCAAGGAAGCTCTTTCGATTTGCTTGTAGCCATTCGATGTTGGTGTTGGCATTCCACCCCAGCTTGGCCAGAGAGGACAGTCAGGAGGAGAAGCAGACCGCCCAAGGAGAAGAGAAAACCACCCCCTCTCCATTACGGGCATTTTCTCCACTCTTTCCTGTAGGAAAGGTGTTTTTGTTTGTTTGTTTGTTTTTATTTTTTGCCTTCCAGAAGAAACCGTTTACCGTTTACCAAAAGTGCATCTCCGGGCACAGCTCTGGTATGCTGGGGAGCGTCAGTCACCCTCTCCATGCAGTCACCACACTATAGGATAAACTGGAGCTAACAGAGGTGATGCCAAAGAAGAAAGTGCTATGAGTAACCAGCACCCATCTAGTCCAACTTGGTCCAACCAGCTCAGCCATGGTCAACGCACTGCAAACGCCCCCTGCGGACCTGCGCCCCTCCAGCCTGGCCACACCTGTGTCAGAACCCTGCCTGGACTCCTGCACATAACAGCCCTGCTCTCCAAGACACATCGGATTCCTGCTCTGCCTCAGGTCTCCCCTCTTACTGTGTGGAATGCAATCAGGGCCCCTCCCCAGGTGAAACTCAGCCAGGAATGCGGCGGCTCAGGGTTGAGGCCGACCCCACGCAGGTGCAAGAGATGGGCTCCAAGCCATCCGCACAACTTACGGGTGACGTCATCGAGAAGGAGCCGCCGGTCTCCCCTTCCTCCAGCAGGCTGAGTGCGCACGGTGGTGCCAAGCCCGCTCCCAGACTGCAAACCACGGCAACTCCCATCCGGAAAGCCGGTCACATACCCGGGGACACAGGGCAAACTCTGGCTCACGTGAAACCGTTATTCAGAGCCCAATTGAGCAAGCACGCTCAATGGAGATGGGAAGAACGTGCCCTCAATCAGACGCCCGAGGCTGGGTACCTGCTGGGGCTCCTAACTTGGGAATCCAGGTCTTCTCCCAAATCCCCTGGCCCGTCCGAGCTTTGGGGGGTGGGGGTGGGAGGGGCAGAAGGCGGCACGGCTCCCCACACCCGCAGGGCGGAATTGCGGGAGCGGGACAACCGCAGAAGGGTCCGGGATGCCTGCCGGCAGAACTGCGCCCCGTGCAATCCCCCGACTTGGGGGACCTGGACTCTTCCGCCCCCAGGGGCTGCAGGGTCAGGTTACTGTCCCCGCGTGGCCGCAAGCCGACTCCGGCTCCAAAGTCGACTTGAAGAGAAAAGGCATTGAAAAATGACGGGTTTCAGTCTGTCCCAGAAAGGATGGCCGGGAAGATCCCATGGCCTTAAAAACAAAAGCGCCCGCCGCAGCCGGCGTGGGCGGAGTGGCCGGGCGGCCCGCGGCGCGGGGAGGCGGGGAAGGGCGCGCGGCTCACCTAGTCTTCCGAAGGGCAGCCGGTTCCTCTCCCCCAGCATCAGGTTAAAGCGGGGGTTGTCTCGCCGCAGTCGCTTCCAATGGCCAGTGGCGAGCAGCAGCCGGGAAACCTCGGCGTAGACGCTGCTGTTCTCATCGCGCACCACGAAGGTGTACATGGTGGAGGCCGCGCCCGAGCCGGGCCCCGGGGCAGCCGAGGCAGCGGTGCAGCGACGAGCCGGCCCAGGGAAATAGCTGCTCGGCGGGGACCCCGAGGGCGCCGGCGCCCGCGCTCCGGCCGCGCCTCCCGGCCCGGGCACCGCCCCCGTCCCGCCTCCGGCCCGTGATGCCGCGCGCTCCCCTCCCTGGCTGCGCCGGCCCGGGTCGCCGGGGGCTGCCGGGGAGCGGCGGGCGCGGCTTCAGCCGCAGTGCTTGGAACGCCTGGTGGAAAGGCCGGGCCCACGGCCTGGGGGCGGTGCAGGCGGAAGTGCCGTTTTTCGGGGTGCGCACTCTAGGGGCGCTTCCCTAGGCGTTTGCCAAGGACTTTTTTTTTTTTTTTTGGCTAGAAACATGGATCTTTAAGGCCCTGGATTGTGTCACGGAAAGATGCAGTGCTCTCTCCCCTCACCATGTGCCCTTGGCGTCGTTTTCTCTTTCTTAGAGAAATAGTATCCTGGGGGTCCTCCCCATCCTCGTGCCCCCTGAGCTCGCAGCATCCACAGAGCATCTTGCACAAGCTGCCTGCTGGGCCCTTCCATGCCCACGTGGGGTGAGCACTCCACTCGTTTTGCACACGCACCTGCACCTGTAGGCGTGCGTCAGCAGTGGGGAAGCTGCTGAGGGAAGAATCAGGGCTGGGCTCCCCGCACCCGTTTGCCAGCAGCTCTCGAAGTTAAGAGCTGGTCGGCGGTCAGCTAGGAGTTGGTCGGCAGCGCTAGGTTTTCTCCCAGGCTCCCAGGGCGTTGAGTTCGCCGGTGGGCGTGTTCCCAGGTCCCATTTCAGGGGATCTCTGCACGGTGCAGCTCCTTTGGCGCATAGCTAACAGCTCTGACTGGCTTGCTTCCTTTCCAACCACTCCACTAGAGATTGGGTTGGCCTCCAAGATAAGCCGCCGGCCCTCACGTGCTTGTTCCAGGGCCACCTGTTTGGGGAACTCAGGCCAAGGTATTCCCATCTGTGGTACCTCTCCACAGTGGCACACACGCTCACTGCCCCTCCCTCCCACGCTGCTTCTAGTCTTGCACCTCATTTAGTCTCCCTTTGCTGCCTCACAGCCATGGATCCGGATCCCGTTTGAAACATCGGTGACCTCTGAACTTGCAAATTTAGAGGGTTCATTTCTCCTTTGTCTCGTCTTGCAGTGAGCACCATTTTTGTCCTTTTACAGCAATTCTTATCCTTTCTTATTTGGTAGCAGAATTTGGGGAACCCACGTTTGTGACTCTGATGAGATTAATGCCCTCCATTATGGGCCCAGAAAAATGAATAGCTAGGCCCGGTCTGGTAGCCTAGCGGTTAAACTCCTCGCCTTGCACGTGCTGGCATCCCATATGGGCACTGGTTCGTATCCTTGCATTCCACTTCCCATCCAGCTCCCTGCTTGTGGCCTGGAAAAGCAGTCAAGGACGGCCCAAGGCCTTGCGACCCTGCACTGGCTTGTAGGAGACCCAGAAAAAGCTCCTGGCTCCTGGCTTTGAATTGGCTCAGCTCTGGCCATTTCCCCCACTTAGGGGGTAAACCAATGGATGGAGGATCTTTGTCTCTCCTCTCTGTAAATCTGACTTTCCAATAAAAATGAACAAATCTGAAAGAAAGAAAAGAAAGAAAGAAAGAAAGAAAAAGAAAGAAAGAAAGAAAGAAAGAAAGAAAGAAAGAAAGAAAGAAAGAAAGAAAGAAAGAAAGAAAATGAGTATCCACGACGGATTCGGCAGGACAACTCCATCCCATTTGGCGTAGTGAATAGTAAAGTATAAGAAAATGATCTAAGTCAGATGAATCCAATTATTTATGGAACTATTTTTCTACCAGAGCTACAAGAGAAATCCTCTCTCTCTCTAATGCAGTTGCTTGGATGGAAGGTGGTATGGGCCAACTTGCTGCTGTGTTAACTTACAGAGGGAGGACCTGTCTGAGAATTTGATTTCCCTCCTTCTGTTGCATTAGGCCTGGCTATTTGTTTTTTTTTTTTAATATTTATTTTTATTGAAAAATCAGATATACAGAGAGAAGCAGAGACAGAGAAGAAGATCTTCTGTCCATTGATTCGACCCCCAAGCAGCTGCAACAGCCAGAGCTGAGCCAATCCAAAGCCAGGAGCCAGGAACCACAAGCCTCTTCCTGGTATGCCACACAGGTGCAGGGTCCCAAGGCTTTGGGCCGTCCTTAACTGCCTTCAGGCCACAAGCAGGGAGCTTGTGGGAAACACAACTGCTGGGATTAGAACCAGCGACCATATGGGATCCCAGGTGCATGCAAGGTGAAGACTTCAGCCACCAGCTCTCTGTGCTGAGCCAGGATTTTTCTTTTTTCTTTAATTATTTGTTTGGAAAGCTGAGCAGCAGAGAGAGAGAGTGAGATCTTTCATCTACAGTTCATTCCTCTATGTGGCCACAACAGCCAGGGCAGGACCAGGCTGAAGCCAGCAACGTGAATCTGCACTTGGGGCTCTCATGTGGGTGACAGAAGCCCAAGCACCGTCTTCTGCTTGCCTCCCAGACACGTTAGCAGGCAGCTGGATCAGAAGCAGGGCAGCTGGGACTCACACCAGCACTCCCATTTGGGAGGTTGGCATCATAGGCAATATCTTTATGCTTCGTGCCACGTGGCTATTTGAACATATTCTTGTCAACATACACGAGTGAGGCATGCCACTTCCCAGCAAGCACTTTCCAATGTGGAAATGCCTTTTCCTTCTCTGAGAGGCAGGCGCTACTAATAGGAATAGTAGAACAAAAGGATGTAAAGAATTGAGAAAAACCAGCACTGTGTTTAATCATAAAGCGACCCTCAACAAATTTTCAAGCGATTAAATAATTCTGAGCATTTTTTCTAACAACAGTGGAATTAGGCGTTGGAAAATTAAGTCATGCATTTATAAATAACTCATGAGTCAGTGAAGCAGTCAAAATAGTATGAAGAAATGTATCTTAAATTAATAATAATGAAGCTATGACACATCAAAACCAGTAGAATACAGCTAAAGTTGTGCTTAAATGGAATTTTACAATCTAAAAATACATTTAAAAAGGAGACTGAAAACTAGTTATCCAAGATCTCATCTCATGGGACTAGAAAAAAAATCAAACCCAAGATAAGTAGAATAAAAAATTAACAAAAGGAGAAACCAAGAAGATGGAAATGTATTACAAAGAAATGAACAAAATCCAAAGAAGGGTTTAGAGAATGACCAGTTAACTTGTTAAACATTCAGGCGCAATTCAGGAACCAACAGGGGCACAGGTAGTCAATGTTAACATGGCAAGACAGATGTCAACGAAGACAAATACGATACAATGAATAATTCTTACCAATTCATTTGACCATTGGACAAAATAGACAAATGGCTTAAAGATAGCATTTATACACACACAAAAAAAATAGAAATACAAAATCTGAATAATCCTCTCTCTCTTTTCTTGTCTCTCTCTTTTTTAAAAGGTTTACTTATTACAAATTTGCTGAGGAGAGACAAAGAAAGATCTTCCATCTGCTGATTGACTCTCCAAATTGCCACAATAGCTGGATGGAGCTGAGCTGGCTCCATCACAGTAGTAGGAGTTGCCAGGAGCCTCCTCTGGATCTACTATGTTGGTGCAGGGTCCCAAGGCTTTGTGCCATCCTTTGCTGCTTTCCCAGACCATAACTAGGGAGCTGGATGGGAAGGGGAGCAGCTGGGACTTGAACTGGCGCCCATATGGCACCCGCATGCTAAAGCCCATATGGGAGGTGGAGGATTAGCCAACTGAGCCAGCGTACTGGTCCAAATCCTATCTCTATTGAAGAGATTGATTCTGGTCGCAGATGGCATGTGTGCAGAAAATGTTAGTGAATCAAGGACTAAAGACGGACTACCTGCTACTCCCTCACCCAATAAACTGATACACAAAATCAGAAATAAAGAAAGTTTCATTGATAATAGCAACAAATCCCCAGTAAGGCAACATTTGAAAAACATTAGTGTCACAAAGTCAGCAGGCCAGCAGGTCAAATGCAAAATATCCACTGGGTTTTTAAATATCAGCAACAACAAAAACCCAGAAAATTTCAAAAACATAAAATTTGTATTAGAACTAAGAGATGCCAAGTACTTAGGACAGTAATAAAAGCTGAACAAGACTTCTAAAACAAACCCTAAAAAAATGCAATTCTTTTTTTTTAGGATTTATTTTATTTTATTTTTACTGCAAAGTCAGATTATACTGAGAGGAGGAGAGACAGAGATAAAGATCTTCTATCCGATATTCACTGCTCAAGTGACCACAATGGTCAGTCTGCACTGATCCAAAGCCAGAATCCAGGAACTTCCTCCAGGTCTCCCACGTGGGTGCAGGATCCCAACGCGTTGGGCTGTCCTCGACTGCTCTCCCAGATCACAAGCAGGGAGCTGGATGGGAAGTGGGGCTGCCGGGATTAGAACCGGCACCCATATAAAATCCTGGCGCATTCAAAGCGAGGACTTTAGCTGCTAGGTCACTGTGCTGCGTCTGCAATTCATTTTTTTAAGTGTATTTATTTAATTATTTGAAAGGCAGAGTGCTAAAGAGGGAGAGACATATTTCTTCCACCCTCTGGTTCTCTTCCCAAATGTCCTCCAGCTGCCAGGTTAGGCCAGGCCAAAAGCAGGTGCCAGGAATGCCATCTGGGTCTCCCCTATGGGTGGCAGCAACCCAAGTACTTGCCTCCCAAATGCACTAGTAGAAAGCTGAATTGGAGGAACAGAGTTGCGAGGTGGGTGTCTCAAGCAGCAGCCTCACCCTCTATGCAACAATGTTGGCCCCAAGAGAAGTTTTCAAAGCACAAAATAAATGGAAAGATGTGTCACACTCATGGCTGAAAGACTCACAGTTGCTAACCTCTCAGTTCTTGCCAAATTGATCCAAACTTTCAATGCAATCTGCAGTCAAATCTTTATGAAGCTACCCATGGGAACTGAACTGGCAATTCCAGTATTTATCCAGGAATTCATAGGATCAAGAGCGACGAAGACCGGAGACGTTCGTGAGGCTGGCAGAGCTCAGATTCATTTACTTCAGAAGGGAATTCTATGAGGATTGGGACTCCTGACTCTTGAGCATGCCATGCAAAATAAAAGGACGACTCTGCTTGTGTCCTGAGAGAACAGTGAAGGACAGCCCAACGCGTTGGGACCCTGCACCCACATGGGAGACCCAGAGGAGGAGACTCCTGGCTCCTGGCTTTGGTTTGCCTCAGTTTTGTTGTGGCCATTTGAGGAGTGAACCAGCAGATGGAAGATCTTTCTGTCTGTCTCTCCTTTTCTTTGTAGATCTGATCTGTTTTTTTTTTTTTTCAAATAAAAATAAATCTTAAAAAAAAACCCTTATTTTCACTCTAGTTTAAGCCCCATTTCTTTCCCAGGAAGCAGTAACTAGCCTATTGAGTCACAAATTCTTGTGAAAATTGACCACAATGAAAATACCAGTGGACAGAACAAGAAAAAAAAAAAAAAGCAATTAAACTGCTCAGTGATTCCTTACGTGGCCTTCCTGCATCCCAGTGCCTTCAATTCGTCTCAGTTCCCTACAATAACACTTTTCTGCAGAGCCACGGCTGAAGTTCTCTGCATTTGTTTCTTGCTCTTGCACAGAAGCTGGGCCTTCTCCCACAGCAGAAACAGGAGCCCTCCCTGGCTGCATGCATAAATCATGATGTTTGCTTGTTAGCAACACTAGGCGTGACGTCAGCCCCAGAGTCAGCTAACGGTGGCTGGGGGATGCTTCCACAGTGAGGTGCAGCTGAGCTGTGGCTTGCCCCCTGTGAACGCGAGAGTGATTGCAGTGATCCGAGCTTTAGCAGGAAGCAGGCAAAGTGTCTTTCCATCAAGGTAAGTAAAAAAGGCCTTATTTCCCCCTCCCTCCCCTTTCTTTTGGTTCTCTGCAGGTGGCTACACTCTCACCATTGTCCATCAAAGATGCATCATAGGATTTTGTGAGCTTTGAGTAAGATGGTGTTGGCTGATCCCTCAGTGTTTTCCAAAGCAGGAATAATCCCACTCCCTTTTTCTTCTCTGTTAAATCCTTTGTTATCTGAAGTATTAACCACACATGGTGAGGTGCTAAAATGCCTGTTTACCAGGGTTCATGCTGAAAATACTGTATAACTTATCCACTTGAAATGAGAATGCAGTATCCACTAAAGTAAAAACCCCACTCCCTCTTTCTGGGTTGTGAAGGAGGTAGGGAGGCGTGAATGGGTTCTGCCTGTCTACCCTTCATTGGCATTATGTGTTTGCCAACTGTAGCCGTGCAGAAAGGCAGGTCTGTGGGGACAACACAAGGTGCATGGGATGACAGAACGGCCAACAGAAACAAAATGGCTTAAGGGAGAGAAAACATGAGTTAGAGGACAAATGTTGGCTTGACCCTTGGGGTTTGAGCAGTGTCCCCAGGATTTGGTTTCACTCTCTCCCTTGGTGGCACTGTTTGCAGTGCTGGCTGTATCCACCATGGAGGTGGGAAGGAGGGTTAGGGGAAGTGGCCCCCAGCCCCGAGCGCATAGTAGAGCTTTCAGCAGGTTTGGGGTGTCAGCCCTAACTGGAGAGTCTAGCATCATCTTTCCTCCGTGAGTCCACCCGAGGAGTCCAGGACAGGGTCTTCACTTTCCCCAGAGGTGGAGCCCGAGACAGGTGGAGGTGCATGTAGGAGAAGCCTAGTGGGGAGGGAAGGAGCCAAACTCCAGCCAAGTCTTCCCTACTGCAAGCTACAAGATATGGCCACAAGTTATATCCTAGATGGTCTTTCCCTATGGGTTGGGGTAGAAAGAGTGGTAGCGGTGCTGACCTTCTCTATTCTATATCCAACCTGGCAGAGAGAATTGCTCCTTGGAAAGTAGCTGGCATTGTCTCTCTCTTTGGCCTGCTGCCATGTGGTGCCTTCCACCTGGTGAAGTTGTATCAAGCAGGCCCTCGCCTTCTAGAAGGCTGAGCCAAACCATTTCTGTTCATTATAAATTACCCAGCCTGAGACGCTTTGAGAGCAGATTAAGACTGGAAATGGGTCCCAGGAGCTAGGTGGTGCTGTAACAAATACTTGAAGATGTGGAAGCTTTTGGGGGTTGGGTACCGATCACAGAGGCTTAGCAGAGTGCAGCAGTGAACGCTGGGAAAGCCTAGGTTGCCCAGAATGAAGCACTGAGGGCAATTCCTGAGAGGCTCGGAAGAAGAGGAGAGCTGTAGAGAAAAGTCTGGAACTTTTAAAGGTTACTTAAGAGGTCGTGACCTGCATGTTTGTAGAACTACAAGCAGGAAGGCCATTCTGATGAGGTCTTGGGGTAGGAATGAGTAATAAAATACTGGAAACTGGAGAACGGGCCATCGTTGCTCTAAAGAGGCTAAGAATCTGGCTGAATTGTGCCCCCACCTGAGAGCTTGGCAAAAAGCAGAATCTAAGAGTAGTGAACTAAGATATCTTGCATAAGAATTTTTTTTTTCTGCAGAAGCATTTTCTAAGCAAAAGGTGTAGCATGACTAAAGCCTATATAGGAAAACACCAAGAACAAAGAATTTAAAGAAGGAATTTACAGTTTATGTTCGCTTCGGCAGCACATATACTAAAATGGGAATGATACAGTTTAAATAGCAGCATCATGCAAAGCCTTGGTCAGCTCACAGTCTGGCCGTCTAAAAAACTTGTTTTCTTGGGAAAGAATACCAAGGTGACCCTTTTGAAAGGGTTTAGGAGGAATAAAAGGAGGAAGGGGTTGGGGGATGACTCCTCTTCAAGATAGAGAGACAGGGACCCCGTGTGATGGCCTCCTAGTGGTGAAAGTCCCCACCTTGAATGTACCAGGATCCCATATGAGTGCTGGTTCTAATCCCAGCAGCCACACTTCCCATTCAGCTCCCTGCTTGTGGCCTGGAAAAGCAGTTGAAGACAGTCCAAAACCTTGGGACTCTGTACCCATGTGGGAGACCCAAAAGAGGCTCCTGGCTTCAGATAGGCTCAGCTCTGGCCATTGTTGCCACTTGGGGAGTGAACCATCGGACGAAAGATCTTCCTCCCTGTCTCTCCTCCTTTCTGTATATCTGACTTTCCAACAAAAATAAAAATAAATCTTAAAAAAAAACCCAAATTGCCATATATTGTTGATATTGGAAAAATTCTTATTTCTATGAAATAGAGGTTTTTTTTTTCATCCAACCAGGTTATATCTCTCAATTTATTCAGCTTTTCATTTCCTCTATAAGATTTAAGTCTAACTAAATCTGTACCTTTCATAGTAAATTTATTTCATGCTAAATTTCTTAAGTTTTTTTAATGACGTCTTCTTTTAAATTCTCATTTTTAATTTTTGCAAATGGGGAAAATATACACAAGGATATATGGAGACCATTTTAGTAAAGTACCTTGGATAATCTTGCTCATTTTCCCTATTTCAATTGATTCTTTCATTTTGGGGCCACTTGTATTGAGTAGAACTTGAAAAGCAACATTTTATTGTGGTTCTAAGTGGTATTTCTACCTCGGAATAGATTTGGATGAAGCTGGCACTGCATTTCATTCTTTGTTACGAAGCTTTCTCTTGATGAGTAATCTTCATCCTTTTTACCTCTGAAAGGATTGTGAATGAGATCGCACTCCCCTCTTGCAGTCCTGCCTTCACCGTTTTACCATTTCTTAAACTGTCACCATTTCCTAGTCTGTCCATTTGTCATTGTTTGCCTTCCCCCACACCTGTCTCATTGCATCTTTGTTCTGCTTTCTCATTTTATTCCTTGAAAAATAGGATTTACTTGTAGGGCAGAGTGACAGAGAAAGGGAGGGAGAGATTCCATTTACCTGTTCACTCCCTAGATGGCCACAACACTGGTGTCTGGGCCAGGTCAAATCCAGGAGCCAGGAGCTGTATTCCGGTCTCTTACTCAGGTGGCAGAAACCCATGTACTTGGGCCATCTCCGCCACCTGCCAAGGTGAATTACAAGGAACTGGACTGGCAGGTGAGAACCTGGAACTCAAACCAGTGCTCTGTCTTGGGATACCAGCTTAACCCACTATACCACAATGCCAGTGCCACCTTCTTCATGTTTCTGCTCAGCCACAACCTATTCCATACTTGCAGCATCCTGAAAATCAACCTCTACGTATTCCTTGAGCATCTTGTAGATTTCTCTCCCTTTGTAGAATTAGAATCAGACGAGCAACACATGAGGAAGAAGTAGTCTCACTTCGGTGAACATGGACAATGATCACGTTGTGACCTCTGTTCACAGACCACGACAGATGGATTCTTTCGTCTTTGATGACATCAGCTCCATGATACAGAACGAGGCTACTGAGAGAATCATCTCACCAATGAGTGTTCGGCTCTGCCACCTGCTCATCTCCATGGAGAAGGCAGATGTGGAGGAGGAGGCATTTGGCTCTTTGGAGAAAACGGCAGAGGACTTGGCTGAAGCTACTGAGGCATTGGTAGAGAAGGCCAGGAGGTACGCTGTGAAAGAACTCAGCCCTTTACTCCTACAGTGCTTTAAAACACCTTTGTTAAAAAAAGTCACATGTGAAAAAGCAGCACACTTATTTAATATATTATTATTTCTGATTTTGAGTATCCAAGTATTTCAGAGCCAATTGAATTTTCCACTAAGAAGCATATCTGTGTCTCATCAAAAGACTTTTAGATTCATCCGTATTGCATTTCACAGGCAATTTTTCTATATAGATATAAGAATATTCAGAATAGTCTAAACATAACTTAATTTTTTTAAATTGGAAAGTCAGATATACAGAGAGGAGAAGAGACAGAGAGGAAGATCTTCATCCCGTTGATTTACTCCCCAAGTGGCTGCAACGGCTGGAGCTGAGCCGATCTGAAGCCAGGAGCCTGGAGCCTCATCTGGGTCTCCCACATAGATGCAGGGTCCCAAGGCTTTGGGCCGTCTTCCACTGATTTCCCAGGCCATAAGCAGGGAGCTGGATGGGAAGTAGAGCTGTCAGGATATGAACTGGTGCTCATATGGGATCCTGGAGCATGCAAGGTGGGGACTTTCACCACTAGGAGGCCCTAAGCATAATTTTAATTTGGTCATTCAGTGCACTGAGCATGAGTCTTCTATTTTTTGAACATAAAAACTGTATCAGATGCAGAGAGAGAAAGGTCTTTCTTCCCCGAATTCAGCCAGGGCCAGTCCAGCCCACAGGCAGGAGCTAGGCGCTCTTATGGCAGTATGCTATGCGGGTGGCAGGACCCAAGTGCTTCAGCCATAACATGCTGCCTCTCCGGGCACACATTCTCAAGAAGCTTGATTGGAAGAAGAGGCTGGACCCACTGGTGCTCCAGTGTGTGATAGAAGCATCCAAGTGGCAGCTTAACTTGCTGAGCCACAGTGCCTGTCCCAATATTCCCCCTCTTTTACCCAACATTATTGACCAACCATTAAGTTGCCAGGTACCGTTCTGGGTTCTGAAATAGAGCAATCAATAAGAAAGACATTTGAAGTCCCTGTTCTCAGAGGCAGTGGAGACAAACCAAAACACAAGGTTATACTAGCAGAAAAAGTCCAAATACATAAATAGAAAGTGGGGACAGTAAAGTCATTTCACTGAAGAAATACATTTAAATTACAAAATATGGAAAATTAACCCAATCTTATAAATAACCTTTTTTTTCAGTAAGGATGCAAATTTAAATGGTAATATCCCAGTATTTGGACCCAACATATTAGCAAAGATTAAAGAATGATAACTCAATGTTGGGAGAAATAGATCTCTCATATACTAATGATGGAAATGAGAATTGGTATTTTATTTATTTCTTTTTAAAAATGTTTATTTATTTGAAGGCACAGTTACAGAGAGATGTGTGTGTGAGAAGAAGAGAGAGAGAGAGAGATAGAAACCTTCTATCCACTAGTTCACTCTCCCAAATGGCTGCCATGCCCAGTGCTGGGTCAGGCTTAACTCAGCTTCCTGTGTCTCCCACCTGGATTGCAGGGAGCCAAATACTTGGTCCAACTGCCACTACTTTCCCAGACACATTGGCAGGGAGCTGCATCAGCAGTGGAGTAACCAGGCCTTGAACTGGAACACTAGCATATGGAATCTAGCATCATGGGCTGTACCTTAACCCACCCCTGCAGCACAAGGTCAGCCCCAGGACTGGCATTTTAGAGGCTAATTCGGTACTAAAGATCCAAGACTTCAGAAATTATATGTTTATTGCACTCATTGATTCCAATCCTATTTGCCTGAATGTCTGAAATTATTGACTCCAGAAGTGTTTTAGACTTCTTTTTAAGTTTGGAGCATTTGCATGTGTGTGAGATGCCTTGGGGATGGGACCCAAGTGTAAATATGAACTTCATGTATGTTGCACATATATAATGTTCATATAGACTGAAGGTTATTCTATTTGGGATTTTCAATAATAATTTTGTATATGAAACAAAGTTTTTTTGATATGGAGTTTTCAACCGGTGACATGTGTCTGTGTCAGTGCTCAGAAAGTTTTAGAATCTGTAGCACTTCAGGTATTGGATCTTTGGATCAAGGGTGTTCAACCTGATGCTCATCCTAAGGGGATATTCCAAAATATGCACCCAAAATATGCATATCAGCATGTTTGTTGTGACGTTATTTAGAATTGTGAAAAAATAGAAGCAGGGTAAAATGTCTGAGTTTAATAATCCTAGTTGCAACATAAAATACAGTGTAGATGCTAAAGATGTTGCCGAAGAGCATTTGTTGGTTCGATATTCACAGTATCACTTAACATGGGAAAGCACGCTACCCAAAACTTACTTCGATCAAGGCAGCATGAGCGGGGTTGGAGAGTAAGACAATATGTAATTGAGAAAATAAGAGATGAGATGGACATAGATGGGCAGCCAGGGGAAGCCCCCTTCTCTGAGGCAGGAGGTTGACTTAGAAGGCTCGCTGCCTCAATCTTATATTGAACCACTTGGGAACTTGAATCACAGGAGTTGAAGTGGCACAAACTTTGATAGCTACGTCCCCTGTAGATGTTAACTGTAAGCCAGTGTTTGTGATCAGGAAGCAGCAGTGTGACCCAAGTACCGAGTACAGAGGTCAGCGTGTGACTGTCTCAGGCATTGCTCGAAGCACACAGTCCTGTGGCCTTGAGCCATTCGTCAGCCGCAGACCCTGACCCTCACCCCTTCACCTTGATCTCGCACCTTTGCCCACTTGCGGATCCTTGTTCTGGGTCTCCAGCTCCAGCAGTGGGAGAATTCAAGATTCCAGATGCAGTCTGCCTGCTCTCTCATGTCAAGTCACACTGTTATTCTTTACGAACTGCCTGCTGCAAAACTTAAAGCTAATGTGGAGCCAGAGTTGACACTAACTAGGCACACACCGTCTTAACAAGTCATCTGCAAACTTCCTCTCTTTTCTTTTATCTCAGTATGTTTCTGTCAGATTTTATTCAAGATCACATAGTAGCTATATAACTAGAAGTGTAGAACTCTATTTTAAAATATGAAAGAAATTTTAATTTAAAAATGAGATTAAGTGAGATTGGTCACCTTCAGAACCAACAGGGCGGGGTGAAAGTGATGGGCAAGGAAGAGGGACACTTTTTTGAGTTTTTGTGCAATTGGGAAACCTATGAATATTTTTGTAGATACAAATCCACTTAAAACTTAAAGAATGGAAGATAAAACCCTAAATTGGAGAAAAAATGGTATTGAAGTAAGCAAACAGGAGTGGCAAAATTTTTTCCTGCCATGTGTATATTTATAATGTCATTCATGGGCCGTACAGAATGACCATCATTAAGATCAACCTGTTAGGCCAGACCAAATGATTTCATGAACCTTATGTGTGGCCCGTGGTCTGGGTAAGACCATAATCTCATGGTGGAAAATAAAAAGAACCCAAGTGCCTAATTTTTGAGCAAGGCACTTCAATGTAATCCATCAATCTAAAGACAAAGCAAACTGCAAACAAAGTGGGTTTTTTAGTTTTGTTTGTTTTTTTTTTTTTTCCAAATTAGGATGGGCTATCAGCTTTGGATTGTTAACACACTCATGAACAAACAAGTGAACATGTTGAGGCTAAAGGGAGTCAGGTTTCTCACTCACGGAAAAGGGAGATCACAAATGGAAATGAAGAGTCCAGGAAGAACCCTCGGTGCTGGATGGGGTTAGGCTGCAAGGAGCAGCCATGTCCCCCAAATACAGAAAAAGTGGAAAAAGTTGTCTCACCCACTTTGCCCTGTTCCTCAACCCTCCCTGCCTTAATCAGTGGTCCACCCGGGCATGCATCCTTCTCCACTGCGCAAACATCATCAAAAATAAAACAAAATAGAAACACTGGAGACAATTGGATATGAACTCACATATATGCCCAACCACATGTCTGTTTACCATGTTTGTATTTCCATGCTCCTCCCACTACAAAGACCTAGAGGTAATGGTACCCCAGGAGCAGTGAGCACACCTGTCACCCAGATCTTGGTTTCTAAACACTATCTGCTTTAAAAAGAGCCCAAGTCTGTAGAAATGACCTGTCCTGGGACTGGGGTAAGGAAAACATGGAACCTGGATTTTCTTGAGTCAAGGAAGGAAGTGATTGAAAAACAAACCAAAAGACAAACAAATAAACAAACCCTTAAGGCCAGCACTGTGACATAGGGAGGAAAGCTGCCAGCTGAGTCCTGGCATCCCGCATGTGTGCAGGTCCAAGATCAGGCATCTCCATCTCTGGTGCAGCTCCCTACTAACCTGCTTAGTAAAGCAGCCAAGGAATCCCACGTCCCTGGACCCCTCTTTCCATGTGGGAGACCTAGAGGAAGCTCAAGGGTCCTGGCTTCGGATTGGCCCAGCTCCTAACACTGTGACCATTTGGGAAGTAAACCATCAGATGACGGATTCTCTCTGTTTCTCTGCCTACCCCCAATTCATAAATCTTTACAAAAATAATAATAATAACAACCCAACAGGGACAAATAAAAAAGATATAGGATACAGTTTGAAAGGGGAAAATTTGGGGGGAAATATGGTCCAATATGGGATCATATGAGGATAACAACAAAAAAATAATGGTTTATAAACCATTGAAGAAGATAAAAATGGAAGAGTCCCTAACATAATAAATGAACAGTGGAGAAGAGAACATTCTTTCTTGTTGTGGAAGGATCGTTGATGATGTCAGGAGGAGCTGTGAAATTAGTTACCATTTGGGCACTCTTCACTGGTCCACGCAAGGATCCTCAGTGGAAGCTTACAGCAGTAGACGGAAGCTTAATTTAGAGGCAGTTAGTATCTCAAGGAGAACTAGGACCTTCAGAAAGGAGAAACCTGGCAGGTCACTGCCCCCGCATGGTCAAAGGTGGCATTGCCCATTACTGGAACCAAACGCCTTCCTTGCCTGACAATGTGGCACTTTGAAGACACAGCGTCATTCTGGAGAACCACTTCCCACATTGTGCAACCAGAATTTATTAATAACACATCAGACCGACCCACACAGAAGAAGGGCTTTCTGTAAATCACTGGCTTGAAGGAGCCATAAAATATCAAGGTCAAGAAAGCCAGAGAAAGCTGCTTGACTTGTGGCAGATCAGAGGGATCTAAGCTCATTCCTATCGCTGATGGACCAAATTGTTTTTTTTTTTTTACATTTGTTTATTTTTATTGAAAAGGCAGATTTACAGAGAGAAGGAGAGAGAGAGAATGATCTTCCTTACACTGTTTTCCTCCAAAGTGTCAGCAACAACCAGAACTACGCCAACCCGAAGCCAGGAGTCAGGAGTTTCTTCTGAGTCTCCCACTTGGCTGCAGGCTCCCAAGGCTTTGGAACATGTTCCATTGCTTTTCCAGGCCATAAGCATGGAGCTGTGTGGAAAATGAAGCAGCCGGGGCATGAACCAGCACATTTATGGGATCCCAGCACCTGGAGGTGGAAGATTAGCCAATTGAACCACATCGCCAGGCCCACACACTAACTTTTGAGGGAAGTTCCATATTACTTTTGTGTGTGTTAGCATAAGTGCTTTTGCTGCATGATCTGTCCTTGGCAAGGTCAGTTACGTATACAGAGAGTGATCTGTGCTCATGACCGTGGGAAGTGGTCCAGCTCGTCCATTGGAGCAATACTATTTATAATTCATATCTGCACTCAGATTTGACTGCACCGACTTTCACAACAGTTCCTTCAGCAGTTCCCTAGGGAGGCCAAGTGGAGGCAAGCAGCCCGGAGCTTGTGGAGGTGGCAGCTCCTTCAGGCCTTCCTCTGCCTGGTGAGCCACCCAAGGACAAATCAACAGGCCCCGGCCAGCATTGGCGGTGGGAGAGGGCTGGTAGGAATGACCTTGCAGAAAGAAGACAGTACAACACGTACTTCCTTTTGCTTAAAAACCCACCTTTAAATTACTTCTTAACCTTTTGGCTAAGACCAAGTATAAAATCCCGCCTATGGGGACCAGTGTGGTGGTATATCAGCTTAGGCCTCTGCATGCAGTGCCAACATCCCACATGGACGCAGGTTCAAGTCCCAGCTGCTCCATTTCTGATCCAGCTCCTTGTTAATGTGTCTGGGAAAGCAATGGAGATGACCCAAGTGCTTGGGTCCCTGCACCCATGTGAGAAACCCAGAAAGAAGCTCCTGGCTCCTGGCTTTGGACAGTCCAGTCCTGGCCATTGCAGCCTTTTGGGGGAGTGAACCAGCATATGGAAGGCCTCACAGTAACCCTGGGGGAAACTGGTGGTTTCACTTATCTCCCCTCCACCTCCACTTTCTGCCCCCTGGGCATGCTCCTGAGAATTTTCTAGTTATCTTGTTTTTTTTATTTCTAGTATAATTGTGTTATAATCCAATACATACTTTGTATGATTTTTTCCAATTTTTGGTATGATTTTAAAAGATGTATGTGTATATAGATACAGATCTTTTTTTTAAAAAAGATTTATTTATTTGTATTGCCAAGTCATATATACAGAGAGGAGGAGAGACAGAGAGGAATATCATCTGTTCGATGATTCACTCCCCAAGCAGCCACAACAGCTGGAGCTGTGCTGATCTGAAGCCAGGAGCCAGGAGCCTCTTCCTGGTCTCCCACATGGATGCAGGGTCCCAAAGCCTTGAGCCATCTTTAACTGCTTTCCAAGGCCACAAGCAGGGAGCTGGATGGGAAATGGGGCCATCGGGATTAGAATCGGTACCCATATGGGATCCCGGCACATGTAAGATGAAGACTTAATTGCTACAGGCCGATCTTTTCTTTTTTAAACATGTTATTTCTTTGAGAAACAGAGAGCAAGACAGAGTGAGTTCCCATTTGCTGAGTCACTCCCCAAATGTCTACAATGACCAGGATTAGGCAGGTGCTGAAGCGAGCCAGGAGCTGAGAAATCTGTGGAGGTGTCGCACGGAGGTGACAGGAGCCCTCACTGTTGCCTTCCAGGGTCCGTTGTAGCAGGAAGCTGGAGCCAAGAACCAGAGGCAGGCATTGAACCCAGGCACTCTGACATGGGGTATGGGCATCTTAACCACTATGCCAAATGCCCACCCCTCTCGTGACTATATCCTCCAGCTCTGGGTCTCTATTTGGAAATGTCCCATGGACCCTTGAATAGACATGCATTCTAAATTATTGGGTGTAATATTCTGTATGTATCACCGAGGGCATGTTTGTGTGTTGAAATATCCTATCCATGCATCTATTTTTTTTTTCCTAGAGAGTTGAGCAAAACATCTTCCATTGTGATGATGGATCTGTTCTTCCTTTTCCCTTTTGTGACTACTTGCTTTTGTATATTGGGCTTATCTGAAAAAAAAAAAGCTTACAAATCTAGAATAGTTACCTTCCTTGTGGAAGCAATCATCTTTTGTCATTTTGAAATCTACCCTTCAAATCAGATCATTCTTGTCTCTTTGTCTAAATATTACAATATTATAGTTACTCTAGATTTAGTAGTTCATGCACTTGGGAGTTTATACATAAATACCGGATCATGTCCCGACGGCCCTGCTTTCCCTGCTTAGGGCCTGGGAAAGCAGCAGAGGACGGCTCAAAGCCTTGGCACCCTGCACTCACCTAGGAGACTCAGATGACTCTCTCAGTTGCTGTTTCAGATCGGCTCAGCTCCAGCTTTTGCAACCATTTGGGAAGTGAGCCAGCAGGTAAAAGACCTCTCCTTCTGTCATCCCTCTCTCTGTAAAATCTGCCTTTCAAATAAAAATCTTAAAAGACACACACAGAGACAGATATACGCCATCTGCTGGTTCACCGCCCCTCCCCCCCAAAAAGGCCACAAAAGTCAGGGTTGTGCCAAGCTGAAGCCGAGAGTTGGGAACTCCAGCTGGGTCTTTCATGTGAGTGGCAGGGACCCATGTTCCCTTACCCACTGCCACTCAGGATGCGTGGTCAGTAAGCTGGTTTGGAAACAGCGTAGCCAGGACTTGAACCAGGTGCATCAGTAGATATGGGCCTTCCACACCATAGTTTAACCCAGAATACCACCTGGCCTTTGTTTTTCACAACTTTATTAAGGCAAACTAATGATCAACAAACTGTATAAATTTAAAATGCATCCATTGATACATTTTGGCGTATGTATTTACCAATGAAACCATGACCGCTGTTAATGTGATAAACAGAACTGCCACTTCCAGAAGTTTTCAGTGTTGAGGTGAAATAGGAATGAATGGGTTCACAGAGGAAACTTGAAGGTGATAAATATATTCACTCTTGACCTTGAAGGTGGTTTTGTGGGTGAGTACACAACAAGCTTACTAAATTTTATAATTAAAATAGTCCAGTATATTTTAAGAAGCTGTAAACAAAAACACAGAACGATATAAGCATCCATGAGGCAATAGTGTGTAAGTAAATACATGACATAATAGATGAACGCAGAAGAAAGGACAGCATTTCTTTATAGAATTCCAGTTAATCAAAGCAGATGGAATGAAGGCAACTACAAATTATCATTGGGCAGGGCCTGGTGTGGTGACCTAGTGACTAAAGTCCTCACCTTGCACACGCTGGGATCCCACATAGTTGCTGGTTCTAATCCCGGCAGCTCCACTTCCCATCCAGCTCTCTGCTTGTGGCCTGGGAAAGCAGCTGAGGATGGCCCAAAGCTTTGGGATCCTGCACCCGCATGGCAGATCCAAAAGAAGCTCCTGTCTCCTGGGTTCGGATTGGCGCAGCTCCAGCCATTGTGGTCACTTGGAGGGTGAATCATCGGACAGAAGATCTTCCTCTCTGTCTCTCTGTCTCTCCTCCTTTGCAATAAAATAAGGAGGTTGAGACTGAGAGAGATATCTTCCATCTGCTGGGTCACTCAAACAGCTGCAATCACTGGGGTTGTGTGGTTCTGAAGCCAGGAGCTTCTTCAGGGTCTCTCATGTAGGTGCAGGGTCTCAAGGACTTGAGTCATCTTATGCTGCTTTGCTGGGCCATAAGCAGGGAGCTGGATAGGAGGTAGAGCATCTGGGCCATGAACCGGCTCCCATTTAGAATGCTGGCACTGCGATGTGGAGGATTAGCCTGTTGAGCCACTGTGCTGGCCCCAAACACACCGTATCTTTGGAGACTCCCAGCACCCTTAGCACAGCCGGGCATCTCCATGGGAGCGGCTGGTTGCTTGGTTCCTTGCTGCTGTGTATCATCCTCTCTCTAGGACATCAGCTTCTGTGACAGCATGTCGTCTCTCCAGGCTGGCGGCTGACTCTGGGGAACAGTGGCTCAGGGCAGAGGTGGAGCCTGCAGCAGAATCACTCCTGCTTTGCGGGAGGAATGTCACGCAGGTGGCACGGAAGCTCCTACTGCAGCCCGCCTGCCAGCGCCACCGCGAGGAGCTGGCGACTATGGCTCAGCAGATGGTGGTGGCCACTACCAAGGTGAGGCTGCAGTCCGAGCTTCACAGAGAGCTTGTTGCTGGGGACTAGGGGTGGAAGTGGCGTTTTCACAGTAGGTACCTGTCCCAGGCACAGAATCCAGGCCCAAGTCTCTGCTGAGTCCTAGGGCTCAGGATTCATGACCAACTACATGAAGGCTGCCTGTGGAAGCTGCCATGGCTGGGGCGAGGAACTGCAAGGGGGGTCTATGATCTTAAACACCTATGCAGTCCCTTCTGGCTTTACACTGAACCACCTACCTCTAATTTAAAAAGAAAGAAGGAAGAAAGGAGGGGAGAGAGAGGAGAGGAGAGACAGGGAGAGAGAGGAGAGGAGACAAAGGAAGGAAGGCAAGAAGGAAGCAAGGAAGAAAAAGAAAGGAAGGAAGAATGGATGGAAGGAGGGAGGGAGGAAGGAAGCTCTTAGAAACAAGATATTGCTGCAGTGGGGGTGATGTGAGGAAGCTAGAACAAACTCTCAGTTCCTAAGCATTGCCCAGTGCCAGTCTGACAGTCCTCCCTTACTGTGCCACTCCCTTACTGGGCACTTGGTGTTCCCTGTTAACATCACTATGCCTTGGGCCTAGCACAATGGCTTAATTGGCTAGAATCACTGGGATCCCCTATGGGTGCTGGTTCCTGTCCCTGCTGCTCCACATCCCATCCTGCTCCGTGCTTATGGCTTAGGGAAATGGCCCAAAGCTTTGACCCTACATCCACGTGGGAGGCCTGAAAGAAGCTTCTGACTCCTGGGTTTGAATTGGCTCAGCTCCAGCCATTGTGGCCATCTGGGGAGTGAATCAGTGGATGGAAGATCTTTCTCTCTGTCTCTTCTCTCCATAAATCTGATCTGCCTTTCCAATAAAAATAAATAAATCTTTGAAAGGTCTACATGCCTTAAACACTCTCAAGTGTTGTCTATCATTAGCTAGTTAGTGTGGACTGTTTGGTGGTGGTGGCGGAGGGGCATTTGTAATTCAATAGAACCTCAGTGAAACAGCATTAGAAATGAGTAGAGGAGACCATCTTGTCCACCTGCTGGTGGGAGGCTGGGCAAACTTTGTGGAAGACAGGAGATGGGAGGGCAGGGCTAGGCTAAGAAAAGTTTCTCAGAGGCACTTGCTGGAAGGTCCTCCCTCCCGTAGCCACTTTTTCCCTCCTTTTGACTTAGAGTCTACACTCCACTACAACGTTGGGATTTGGGAAGTGCAGAGGGCTTTGTAAAGCCTAAGACAGGGGCCACAATGCTCTCGCCTTTGCTCCAAAGCATGCAATAACCTCCAGGACTTGTCTTCTCTGGATGCCCTGACAGGTGCTGCTCCTCGAAGATGCGGCAACGGCAAGGAGGGCGGCGCTGGAGGCCGGCTGCTGCTTGAGCTGCCTGGACGCGCTGGAGGCCACGGACGACGCGGCCTCGCTGAGCCGCCTTTTCGCGGATCTGGCTATGGCGCTGCTGCGCCTGGGGCACCTGACGGCGCGCCGGGGCGAGGCCGACGGCCTGCTGCGGGGCTGCATCCCCGCACTTGTCGCGGTCGCTCGCGGCCATCTGCGGTACCCACGCGACCCGCAGTTGGCAGCCTCCAGGCGCCGCGTTCTCGCTCAAACCAGGGAGGCCCTGAGCAAGCTCCTGGCGCTGCTGGAGCCCAGCGCCAGCTCGTTCCCAGCGCAGACCCTCTCACGGAGCGGCGCGCTCACCCGGCGCCTGCAACAGGTGCGGGAGCTGCTGCTGGCGACGCCCACACCCGGGTGCCTGAACGGCCTGCTGGACGCGCCTCTGGCGGCGGTGCTCGGACACTGCATGTACCTGGCCGCCGGCTGCGCGCCGCCGGAGCGGCTGCACCTGGTAGTCCGCTGTCGCCAGCTGCTGGAGCTGCGGGGGAGCCTTGGGGCTGCAGAGACCGGCCGCGCGAGCCTGGATTCGGCCGAGGAGCGCGCGGCGCTGTGGGCTGCGGCCGAGGGCCTGTCGCAGGGTATCCGCACAGGGTTACTGAGCCAGATTCTGGACACGTTCACGGACACGCAGAGTCCCCTTCAAAGTCTGATCCAGGCCGCGCGAGTCACTCCCCCAGAAGACTGCCTGCGCAGTGGGGAAACCTCACCCACAAGCCTCCAGCCCTTTCTTGCAGTCTTCCTTGAACAGGCCGGGCACATGCTCCGGGTGGCCCACCTGGTTTTGGTGTGCTGCTCGCGGCCGCAGACTGGCAGAGACTTGGAAATCGCTGCTGCCGGCTTGTGGGCTCTCGTGGTTAGAGTGCAGCAGTTTTTCTCCCAAGACCCCCGGAACTGTGATCTGGACCTGAGCCCCGACGCCTTGCAGGCTTTGCTTCAGGCCTGGGCCGCTGCATCTGATCACCTGTTGTCATGTTTTGATGATGTCCTGGATATTCCTGAGTTCCTGAGCGCGTGCATTTGGGAAATGACTCGGCGCCTGCCCTTCCTTGCGTGGGCTTTGAGCAGTGGCGATCCCACAGAGCTCCGCAGACCTGTGGTGTATCTGCAGGCTCGAGCGGTGCACATGGTGCAAGTGATGAACAGGTATGTGGGCAGAGAAAGAGACCCCATTTTCCGAAATGGCCTGCGAGTCCTGATCCAGCAGCTGGCACAGGCTTCCCGGCGCCTGGGTGCAGCTGCCGAGGACTGCTCAGAGGAGAACAGCCTATGGGACACAGGTGTGGTTTTAGCAGCAGCCAGACAACTCATCTGTTCAGCTCAGAGCATCCTGGAGGGCTTGGATGGAACCAACCACCCAGACATCCTCAGCCCCCTACGGGTTCAAGTCTGCAGGTTTGGAACGACTGAGGACCAGCCCTGTTTGGTGCTCCCTGGCCTCTGGGACGGCAGGGCTCCTGAACTGAAACACCAGCAGGTGCCTGGGTTCAGGGAAAGGGATCCAGGCACTTTCTGCTCCCCCAGAGTCCATCCTGCCTGCCCCTCGATTCCTGGCATGGATCCCCCAGGAGGGAAGGAAGACTCTCGGCTCTCTGCCATTAACAAGCTGGTGCTGGCAGTACAGCGCTGTGGCCCTGAGGGGTCGACCTCAGCTGGCTTCAGCCTGCCTGAGCAGGGTGCAGGTCAAGAGCCCCTAGCTGGGGAGGGACTGCTGGGGTCAGAGCGGATGCCAGGCCTTCAGGAAGTCTCCACTCTGCCACCTTGTTTGTGTAAGCTGCCTAGGGAAGTAGCCCATGGTGCAGCTGCTGGAACGGACAGGCTTCTGGAGGCGAAGCTCCAGCTCCCTGGGAGGACCAGGGAAGCCAGGCAGGATATGGTAGCCACTGCTGGAGACTGGTACCTTCTGTGCAAAAAGAGGTTATAATAAATGATTTATCAGCTGTATATAAATGGGTGCATGGAATCTTTATATGGAGCTGACAGCAGTATTTGCATAGGTGGTGAGTAGTGATATTTTTGGGTAGATTGGATGTGGGTGTTTGTTTGGGAAATTGAGAATAGGGGATAACAGTTTAATGGGGGATATTTGGATTGATGTGGTGGGTGGATGTGTAGAGGAATTGATAGGTGGAAATGTGGAAGGGAAAGATGATTGGGGAAGGTGAGGGTATTATGGGGGGGAGGTGTTTATGGGTTGTATGTGGATGGGGGGGATTAGGAATGAATTGGTAATTGTATGAATGGGGTTTTGAGATTAGTGTGTATTGGGAAGGGGAAGGAGAAAAGAGGGATGGAGGGGTGATAATATGGGGGGGGTTGTGGTTGGTTAGGGGATGATGTTGATTATTTATATGAGGGATGTATTTGAAATGAGGGGGATGAAATAGGGGGGGTTAGTATGGGATGGAAGTGAGGAGAAGGGAGTGGATTGGTTGGATATGGATATAGTGGAGAGAGGGTGAGAATACACAGTGAGCGGAAGAGAAATTGAAGAGAATGAAGGGAATTATTAATGCAGTGAAAGAGGAGGGGTAGATAAGAGAGTGAATTGGAAAGGTTAGTATTAGGAATATGAAGAATGAGTATTATATGAATAGATTTGTATTGGTGATGAGAAGTGTAAATGTAATGATTGGTTAAATGTAGTTAAAAGGTTTATTGGTGTTGAATGGGGGAGGGATGAATTGAGGGTATGGATTGAGTGGATGTTGGTTGGTGGAATGGGAAAATAATGGTTGAAAGATAGGGGGTAGAGTGTGTTATGAAGGGAAGATAATGGTGGGGGAAATGTGGAGTAAAGGGAGAAGTTTATCATAGTGGAGTGCGAGACGCAGACCCTGGATTTGCTTTGGTGGGAGTGGGCAGCCACGGCTCACTCTGCCATGGCCCAGCTGCAAGCCTGGAAGGGCAGTCACTCAGAGGCCTGGAGACTCCTGGCCCAGTGCTTGAAACCAGGGGAGGACCCAGTGCTGGCCCCAGTGCAGGACCTTGCCCAGCCCGGGCTCTACCACAAGGCGGGGACAACAGGAACTGAGGCAGTAAGCAGTGTGAATTCTCAGGATTCCATCCTGGCAGGCACCCCCAGGAGCACAGAGGGAGCCTGCTCTACTGAAATAGCGCCAGCAGACCTGGGCATGGTAGGATACTCAGCATCTTTCCTCTGCCCTGTCTGAACCCTCTTCCTCTTACCCAAAGACCTTGCCAAGCTCCAGAAAAAAAAAACTGTCTTGGTGCACATGTGGGTAATTCACACTGAACAGGCAGCACCCACAACCTGTAGGAACCCAAGCTCTGGGACCAGACTTGTAGCAGAGTACCTGCTGCAGGCGCAGGGTAGGGTCATGCAGCCACACGGGGTCTGCAGGCTTTGGGAATGGAAAGGACCCCATCCCACTCCACCCCCTAGACATATCTGGCTCTGTCACCTGTATGTGAAAAGGCTTCTTTGGGTGGAAAATAAGGTGTCATATGCCAATGTTTGCCGCCCAAGTAGGTACTCTGTGCACATGAACGTAAACACACACACTCAGCTCCAGTGAAACAGGGAAAATAACTCTGTCTAAGGATCCTGCCACTGAGAGTGTGAGTGCTTGGAGAAGTGAGACTGACCACTCAGGGTGACCATCTGCTGTGCTCGCCACTCCTTGGGGCTCCCAAGGGGCAGAAGCTCAGCCTTTATAAAGCGCAGAAAGGCCACCGAACTCTGAGTAGCACCTGCTGTGGGAGGAGGACCTGGACTGGGAGAGTTCAGGCACCTGTAAGTCACCAACCGGAGCCTCCTGACTGCAGTTACGGGCGTCTGTGAGATGCAGCCCTGGGCCTCGTTGCTGCTGAAGAAACTGGAGGTGCTTTCAGCCATGTGTGATCCAGCTGCCTCCGACAGTTGGATATGGGCCTTGAAAAGGACAATTGCTGGGATCCGTTCTGTCAGCTCCAAGGCCGCTGAATCACACTGGCCATTTTCTTCCTCCTTGGTCTTCCGGGGCTGTAGCTGAGGGGTATTATCTGCCAGGTTCTCTTATCTTTCCATCCTGGTGACCTGCATGTACTCAGTCCCCCTCCTGAAGAGATGGCAGCTCACCCCTCACAGCATCCAGGGACAACTCACTATGTCCAAAATGAGGCCAAGAAAACAGTAGGAGACACGGTCAGTTTTCAGAAGGTGAGGGCAATGTGGCTGAAGCAGTCAACTTCAAAACCACAGTAAATCCAGGTTTCTTTTCAATATGCACCAACTTAAGATTTTCAAAACCACTAGTGGGCCCAGCGCAGTAGCCTAGCGGCTAAAGTCCTCCCTTGCACGCACTGGTGTCCCATATGGGCACTGATTCATTCCCTGGAAGACCCACTTCCCATCCAGCTTCCTGCTCATGCCCTGGGAAAGCAGTCAAGGACGGCTCAAAGTTTTTGGGACCCTGTATCTGCATGGGAGACCCAGAAGAGGTTCTGGCTGCCTGACTTCAGATTGGCTCAGTTCTGGCTGTTGCAGTTACTTGGGGAGTGAATCAGCAGACAGAAGATCTTCCTCTGTGTCTCTCCCCTTTTCTGTATATGTGACTTTGCAATAAAATAAACAAATCTTAAAAAAAAAAAACAAACAAAACCAAAACCAAAACACCAGCGGTTGAGGTTTTGGGACTCTGTCTTACTGGTCCTTGACCACGTGGTCTCTGACAGTGCAGGTGCACAGGAAGTAGTTCTGAATGCTTGCTAGGATGCTGAAGACAGCCTAGATGTACAGAACACGGGGTAAATTGAGTGTGGGAGGGATGGAGCTGATGTTCTAGATGCTTCCTTAGAGCAGAGCAGTTCTGGATGCCCAAGGGAGTATAGGGTTTACAATCACAAATGAAAAATGGAAGAACTTCCAGGGAATAAGGACTGGCAGGTGACTTTGGCACAAGAGGGTCTCCCGGTGCTTGGAGCCCAGTGGGTGCACTTTAGGCCCTTCCAGCGACCCACCTGGCTGATTGCTATTTTCAGTATCAGAACAGCTTTTCTGAGTCAAAACTGAGCAGTCAGGGCTGGTACCCACAGGGGATGCTGGCACTTGCAGGGGGAGGATTAGCCAGTTGAGCCATTGCGCCAGGCCCAAATCTGACAATTTCTAATTTGTTTTCTTCCAGCAGCACAATGGCCTACCTGCTGCCTCTCCAGGTCATCCTGCCTGGCCACAGACAGAGCTGGCCCAGTCATTGCAGAAAGATGACAGCGCAGACAATGACAACAGACTCTCGCAGATCACCCAAGAGATGACTGAAATGGTGCTGCGAATGGCCCAGAGTTTGAGGAAGAGATGCCTCCTGGTACTGGACATCAGCAGGCTGCGGTGGGGAACGGACTGGACACCTTGTAGGGGAAATGGGTTCCCACTGCATTCTCTGGAGCTGGATAGCTCCAGGCAGCACCCAGGACCTGTACAGCTTGGGGAAGGGGCCTGGAGGCTGCGTACCTCTGGCTTCTGGGAGCCACTTCCACTTGACAGTTCAGCTGCTCTGATCTACCCCAAAAGCCTCCTTACAGAAGTAAGGAACATTGTCATATCTTGGTTGGCATGTAGCATTGTCGGTTTGGACAACCATGCCAGATCTGGGGAGCGGAAGTTCATGTTGGCTCTGCGGGGTGATTCCTAGGCTGTCCATTTCCAACCTGGCTCTCCTCACCCACGGCCTGTCCAGGGGCACGTGCCTGCTCTTCCCAGACAAGCAGAAAAGGTTTGCTTTGGGCTCCATGTCAACTCATATCCCAGGCTGGATGGAGTGTGTTCACACTGAGAGGTGAAGCGGGAGGTGCGGAGTACGTTTGACGTGCTGCGGGATCTGTGACCAGCTTCCTGGGCGAAGCGTGTCAGGGCATCATCCACCTGCTTCTAACTGTTCCGTGTCTCCGGTGCAGACCAAAGATGAGCTCATTACCTCCGCGAGGAAAGTCGCAACCTGTGCACAAGAATTTGCCAGACTCATCTGCATGATCGCCAAGAACTGCATAGACAGAAGATGCTCCCAGGAACTTGTGTGTAGAGTCGAACAGATCCAGACGATGAGCAACCAGCTCCGTATCATCTCCAGGTAGGAACTGGGTTTGGTGAAAAGTGTTCATCTTTGCAGTGTAGGGGTGTAGGGTGGGATAATTCCATTTTCCCACGCTTCCTTGAATTATTTTATCCTTCTTCAAGAATTTACACTTACTTGGGGAAGAGTAAACAGACTCATACAAGGCCAAGAGGGAGGGGCAGGCCATGCCAGGCAAGAACCTAGTACCAGCTGTCATGCATGAGATCTGGGTCTGGGAGTGGGGCCAAGTGGGGGATCTTGGGAAACTCCCCTAGTGGGTCATAGCTCCTGCCGTGAGAACATGGTCTAGGCCTGGGAGTTGGGCAGGCTGGGCATGGTAGATCCAACTGTTGGCTAATGTGTGGGTTGGTTTTGGAGGAGGTCAGACCGGGCCAAGCAAACCTTAGCTCACCGGCAAGTACAGAAACCAGGCTGGAGGATAGGTCATAACGGGCTAGGCTGTCAGACCTACTGGTTTGCATAAGCCAGGGATGGAAGCAGACTGCTTTGAGTAAGACCAGGTTCCAGCACCCGCCAGTGAGAGTCAGGACTGGGTCAGGCTGGGTCAGGCAAGGCTATAGCATCTAAGGCAAAGGCCAAGACAGGTGAGGGACTATGCCAAGCTGGGTCAGAGCAACCACTGGCATGTGTGTGATCTATGGCTGGGAACAGGCCTGGTTGGGGAGCTAAACGGACACCCTGGCTAGGTTGGGGTTCCCACTGGTGAGTGTGGGGGTCAGAGTGGGAGCTATGTTCTGGTCTGGGTAGGGCTATAGTCTCCCTTGGGATAAATGTGAACTGGGGCTGGGCACACCAAACTGGGCTAGACTCAAGCACCAACTGGTGCTCTGGAGAACCAGGGTAGGTGTAGGATGGACTAGGCTAGGTCTCTGTCCCTACTGAGTCATGTGTGAGCTATGCCTGAATGTGGACCAGGCTTGGCCGGGCTGAAATATCCAACAGTAAAAACCAGAATGGGTTGAAGGCCAATCAGGAAAGGCCACTGTTCTTGCTAGGACAGGAGGTGGACTAAGTAGGGCTGGTGTGTGGACACACCTGTGTATGCTAAATCTGGCACTGGGAGAGGTTCTGATGGAGGAGCTTGGGGAACTCCTCTGCAGGCAAGTGCAAGAATCATAATAGGAGCAGCCCAGACCAGGCCAGGGAATGGTACCCAGTGGCATACATTTGGCACAGGTCAGAAGCAGACCCGACTGAGCCAGTTCACATCACCTGCTGGTGAATCAGCACCAGAATAAAGTATGGGTCGGGCCGGGCTCAGTTGCAACACATACTAGTACATATTATGGTTGGGACTGGGTGCTGGCTGAGCTGGACTAGTCTGTAACCCCCAACAGTGTGAGCTGGAATTGGGGGGTAGGCAGAGCCAGGCCAGGCTACAGCACCCACTGGCAAATGCCGGGGCAAGGAAGACCATGCCAGACTAGACCACAGTACCCAACCAGCGAGACCCAGGGGAGGGACAAAGCCAATAGGGGGGACTACATGGGGCTCCCTGCTGGACCACTACTCCCACTGGACAATGTGATATGGGATGGGGACAGACCAGACCAGGCAGGACTATAACACCTGTTGGACTCATGTGGGCTGGATCAGGGGAAAGTCAGAGTGGGTGTGGGTTGGTTGGCTTTGCCACAGCATCAGCTGGCAGATGCTGGTACTGGGGGCTAATTCTGTCAAGTTAAATTGCAGAACCACTTGGAGAGTGCATGATCTCAGAATGGAAGGGGGCCCAGTAGGGAAACAGTGGGCACCTCCCTCTTGGGTTACCACTGCCAGTGGTGAGCATGAGAGCCAGGACTGGGGCAAACATGGCTAGACAGAATGGCACCCACTGCCATGCATGTAGGCTGGATAGTGGGGCTAGTTGTGTTGAACTAGGCTTGATATGTATGAGAGCTGAATGGGATGTGGGACAGACTGGACCAGTCTGCTGTACATACTGGCAAGCATGGGAACCAGGCAGGGGGGTGAGCCTGGTGGGGGTTATTGTGGGACATTCCAACTAGGCTGCAACTCCCACTGGTTTATGTGAGGGCCAAGTGTGTGGTGGGCAGGATCGGGCTGGACCGCAACACCTGTTGGTTTGTTTAGAAGACAGGGCTGGACACAGAACTAACTCAGCAATTGCAACCACCAGCATATGCATAAGATGATTGGGGCGACAGACAGTGCTAGACCCTGCAAGCACACAAGAATCAGGTCTGGGATCTCCTTAGATGAAGTTTGTTTTGGGGATTCCCCCAGCTGAACTACTGATCTCAGAACCTCAACTGTGAAGAGAAGTGCAGGTTCCATGGTCTGACCATGGAGTGCAAATGCCAGAGCCAAGCCTCCTCAGAGGCTCAGATGGAGCAGTGGACAGCACAATCAGGTGCGCGTGAGGTAGTACACTGGAGCCTGCAGAGAACACCTGGTACCACAACAGAGTACAGAGGGCAGAAAAATCAATCAACTACTCCAGCCATGTGATAGCAGTGAAAATCTGAGCAAATGGAGACTCTAAGGTGGACTATGTCAGCCAGTAGATTGTGAAGAGATTTCATCGTGCTTGGAATGGCGAGACTGGCAGCAATTCATAACTGTTGACTATTGAAAATACTTGAGCAGGACCCCGGAGCATGCCCCACATGGAGGACCCTGGGATGGTTGGGAGGGAGGGTGTGGCCTCTCCCTTTGTCTCTCCCATTCCCCCAGATACAAGAAGGAAAAAAGAGAATGTGGAAACAATGGTCTTACCCACTTTCCTGTAGCCCTTGACCTGTTGTGCCCTAATCAACTATGTAAAGATCATTAGAAAGAAGAAGAAGTCGTCTGATGCTGTTAATACTGGCCTAGCGCAGTAGCCTAGCGGATAAAGTCCTCTCCTTAAACGCGTCAGGATCCCATATGGGTGCTAGTTAATTCCAGCAGCCCTGCTTTCCATCCAGCTCCCTGCCTGTGGCCTGGGAAAAGAGCCGAGGACGGCCCAAAGCCTTGGGACCCAGAGCTCACATGCAAGACCCAGAAGAGGCTCCGGGATCCTGACTTCAGATCTGCACAGCTCTGGCCGTTGCAGCCACTTGGGGAGTGAATCAACAGACAGAAAATCTTTTTAATTTTATTTTTACTGCAATGTTAGATATACAGAGAGGAGGAGAGGCAGACAGGAATATCTTTCATCCCATGATTCACTCCCCAAGTGAGTGTAATTCAGAACTGCTGAACTATCAAAACCACTTGAACAGTGCCCTCACAGCATGCCCCTTGTCTGGGATCCTGGGATGGGTAGGAGGTTAGGTAGGGCTTCTCTCTTCCTCTTCCCCCTTATCCCAGATATAGAAAAGAGAGAGAGAGAGAGAATGTGGAAACAATTATATTACCCACATCCTGTAGCCCTTAACCCTTTGAACCCTAACCAGCTATGTAAAGATCAACAAAATAAAATAATATTCATTTAAAAAAAGAAAAAGGAGAATGTCAAAACAATGGTCACAGCCACTTTCCTCTAGCCCTTGATCCTTCACACCCTAATCAAATATGAAAAAAGTCTCAAAAATAAAATTTACACAACAAAAAAAAGAAAAATTATCAATTTTTTAAAAGGTTTAAAAATGTTAAAGGGAACGCTCTCTCTGACTAGTCCCAAATGCTCTTCCTGATTACTCCCCCACAAAGTCATCCCAGATTTCTGAATGGAACTAGCATGGTGAAAGTCTTCTGGCATTGGAGACGGTTTCTGTGTGATTGCACCTCTTCCCTGGGGTAAGGTATGCTTTCCTTCTTGCTAACTCCGCAGCGTGAAGGCCTCCCTGGCCAGAAGCAGGTCCTCCGAAGAGCTCCTGGTGGGGAACGCGCAGCAGCTGCTCCAGGCCGTCCGTGAGGCCGTGAGAGCCGCAGAAGCTGCGAGTCTGCGGGTGAGTGCTGACCAGACGGGTCTGAAGTGGGTGTGGGCATGGGCTACCTAAGTGTGCACCGTGCCAGTGCTCAGGCTTGCAGGCTCCCTCCTGGCCACAGCCACGAGGGTTGGGCCAAGCAGAAGCCAGGAGCCTGGAACACCATCTGGCTCTTCCACACGGCTGGTAGGAGAACCATTATCAGCCACCTTCTCAGGAGCATTAGCAGGAAGCTGGATGGAAAGTGGAGCTGCCAGAACTCGGTGCTGTGCCTCAGTATATGGGATGCTGGCATTGCAAGTGGTGGCATAACATGCTATACCACAATGCTGGCCCCTCTGCCCTCTTCTTAGCTATTAAATTCAGCTTCATTCCTTCCCCCAATCTACCACCTGATTCCCTGTGGGACTGTTTGGTGAATCATTGGCTATTCCTTTAGCTCCATCCAGTATGTGGGTGAATTTGGTGAAACATTCTTCATGTCTGTTACATGAGTTTTTTGTTATTTGTAACATTATTGCTTATTTTAATAACTTTTATTCATCTGCTAGAATTTTCCATTTGTTCATGTATTTTTGCTCTTTTTCACTAGAATCCTTGACATGCTCCTCATAGTTATTTTCAGTTACCTATATAATTTTAATATTGTGGCTCATGTTTGAATCTGGATTTCTGGTGGGGATTTTTTTGTCTTCTGATAATGGGTTAGTCTTTTGTTATTCTTTCTTCATGTCTCATAACTCTTTGTTGAGAATTTGACATTATGCAGGGCATGGTATGGATCAAAAAAGCTAGAATACATGTGTGTATGTTCCAGATCTTTAGAGTGCTTGGTGATTCAATAGAGTTGGGTTTTGGGGCCTGCACTGTGGCATAGCAGGTAAAGCTCCCACCTACAACACTGGCATCCCAGATGGGCACTGGTTTGAATCCTGGTTGCTCCACTTCCAATCAAAATCCCTGCTAAGTACTTGAGAAAGTAGTAGAAAGTGACCCAAATGCTTGGACCCCTGCTCCCACTTGAAAGACCTGGAAGGAGCTCCTGGCTTCAGTCTGACCCCAGTCTAGCTGCTGTGGCCATTTGGGGAGTGAACCAGAGGATAGAAGATTAGAACATTCTCTCTCTCTCTCTCCCTCTCTCTCTCCTTTCATATAAACAGAATAAATCATATCCAGGTTCTGAGTTTTGGGCTTATTGTTGCAATCACAGTTGGCACACCATTACTATTACATTTGCTGGCGTGTATCATTTCTTCGCTTTAACTTGTACTGGTTTGAGAGGCTGAGACAGAGAGCACCCATTCTCTTGACACCTGCAGTGAGTGACCAAGCCTGAGCTTCACTGAAACTGGGAGCCATGATTCAATCCAGGTCTCCCACAGGGGTAGCAGGAACCCAAGTACTTGAGCCATTACCTACTGCATTTTGAGGTCTGCATTAGCAGGAAGCTGGATATGAAGCCTGAGGCTGGACTCCAATCCAGGCACTCTGATAGAATACAGATGTCTTAATTGGTACCTTAACCAAAGCACCTGCCCCAGCCAGAGTTACCTTCTGTCAGTTTACTGTCCTGCCCTTGGTGACTCAGCTGTCTTTTTAAAAGAGACAGATCTGGGCGGGGACTTGTGCCTGTGGTGACACTGGTGGCTGCTTGCCTCCCCCAAGCCTACATCACAAGAAGCCTTGTTCTGCCCAAGTCTTTCTCATGAGCATAGACATGGTCCCTTGAAAAACCTATGAGTTCATGTAGGTTTTCTTGTTGTGGTTTCCCATAGTTTCTGTACAAGCACACTAGTTTTTAGAGTTATTTTTGTTTTACTTCAAAATCAGAGTAATTGACAAAGAGGGAGAGAGACAGAGAGAGAGACAGAGAGAGTGAGTCTTCCATTCACTGATTCATTCCCCAAATAGCCAAAACTGCTGGAGTTGGGCCACTTGGAAACGGAGCCAGAAGCTTCTTCTGGGTCTCTCATATCGGTTCAGGGGTCTAGGCACTTGGGCCATCTTCTGCTGTTCTCCAAGTTGCATTAGCAAGGAGCTGGATTGGAAGTGGGGCAGCTGGGACTAGAACCACATGCCAATATGAGATGTTAGCCCTGCAGGCAAAGGATTAGCCTAATAAACCTGCAGCAGCCTCTCATATTATGCCATTACCTATTTGTTAGACATTTTTCCTAAATTTGTTTTATAGGATTCTAGGGTAGCCCTGTTTTCCTCCCCTGTTCCAGTATCTTGTGACAGTTGGATTATCCTTGTCTCTTCTCAGAGGTGTCTGTCTGCTTAGATTCCAGACCAACTTATCACCTTTTAACCTGAACTCTCTAATGAGTTGAGATTGCAATTTTGTGGACAATGTGTCTTCATTGTGATGGTGGTAGTGGTGTTAGGGTGTGGGCAACACTGTAGGGTATTTCCTATACCCTAAGTGGAAGCTGGAAATGGCAAATATTTGAGTGCCTCAAATGTTTTTCTTAGGGTCTCTCCATTCTTGGCCACTCCACGTCACCAATGATTCCCTCTTCCTTTTGTTCTTTTTCTTGATTTGTGTTATTACTTATTTGAGAGGTGGGGGACAGAGAGAGACAAAGAGCAAAGAAGGGAGGAAGGCGGGAGGGACAGAGAGGGGAGAGAGAGGAGAGAGCACAGGTGAATGAGTGAGCTGCCAATCCAGCTGGGGCCAGAACCAAGAGGCTGCAAGTGCAGCCGGATCTCCACGTGGGCGCACCACCCCTTGCTGTCTCCTAGAGGTTGCATGGAGAGGAAGCTGGAATTGTTAGCCTGGCTGCTTCTTAGCTTTTGAGTCTGAACTTGAATTCTGCCTGCTCAGGGTCGATAAACAATTCCACTCTGTCTAAACTGAATCACACCCACTGTCCTACACATTGATATTTTGCATGATTCCTTGATAGTACCCACCACAGTTTGTAGTTAGTTTTCTTTCTTTGTGTTTATTTATCTTTTTGGCCCCTTATTAGCATGTGAATTTCTTGAAGTCACATACCTAGACTGGCAGGCTGGCACAGCCAAGTGCTAAACATGTGTGGACAAGGTTCCAGCTGATGGAAACTTTGTATTGGTTAAGTTCAAAGAGTACCTAGACCAGACATATGCAGTAGAAGGGGTTTGACAGTGTCCGTATTGCAGCCACATGCAGCACGTGGCCCTCCTTGTGCCAGGGCCATTGTCCACAGCCTCCACGGACTGCAGCACCAACTAAGACAGGGCCCATGCCAGTCCCTCAACCTCCAGACCACCTGAGCCCAGGGAAACTGAGTGCCATGTGAGTGTGCATGGTGTGCACTTGTGCTGGCTGGGTCTTCTTAGAGCACTAGCTCCCTGACCCATACGTGTTTTGCAGAAAGCAAACTGAACACAGCAAGACCCAAAGGGAGTGGGAATCCCAATAGGGGAGAGAATTGACAAGTGCTGGCTACTGTGTTCGCAGAACAAAGATGACAAACCTTTTATTTTATTGGAAAGGAAGATTTACAGAGAAGGAGAGAAAAAAAGATTTTTCATCTGCTGGATCACTCCTCAAATGGCCACAATGGCTAGAGCTGAGCCAATTCAAAGCCAGGAGCTTCTTCCAGGTCTCCCATGCTGGTGCAGGGTCCCAAGGCTTTGGGCCATACTTCACTGCTTTCCCAGGCAAGACAGGGAGCTGGATAGGAAGTGGAACAGCCTGGACATGAACTGGTGCCCATATGGGATCCCGGTGCTTGAAGGGGAAGGATGAGCCAATTGAGCCATCACATCAGGCTAATGACAAAACCTTTTATGCTGCTGCAATGCATAGCTCCTCTACAAACAGGGCTCCTCAAGCCCCACAAAATAACGGGGAGGGAAAGATTGGGATTCAGAGCTTATGGAACTATATCATAAAAAATAAAGAATATTAAAAAATTAGGGCCAGAGCAACCTGAATCAGAGGAATCGAAGAGCCCAAATAACCAGCACGCAGGGGGCCAGCGGGCACGAACACCTACACTACTTAATCGCTTCTCTCTCCCTCCTTCACTCCAACTCCAGGGATTGAGATCGCCTCCCCACAACCCAGAGGAATCAGAAGTTGCTGCCCTCTGCATGCAGTGGAGGAAGAGACTTGTAAAACACAGACTTCAAGAAACTTCCACCAGGGACTGGGATGAGTGGGGCCTGCGAAAAGCAAGCACGGAAATGCCTCCCACACTTGCTGCCCTGATTCAAAGCTAAGGAATGGTCTCCAAGTGTGGCTCCCTGTTACCCAGTACCTGGATCCTGGGGAAAGGGCTGGGCAGGCTGAGTCAGCCAGTGAGACCCCAGAGGGCTGGGCCGTGCCAGGTCCTGACAGTATTCCAGCGAGGTGAACATCCCGGGCCTCTGGTGACACCAATGCCCTTCTGAGACAGACACTGTCATTTCTGTAGCTCAGAAGAAAAGTCAAATTATACAAGGTGGGGAACATGAATTTAAGCATTTATTAAGATGTAACGTGAGCACAGTTCCAGAATGTTCTACAGGGAGCAAAGAGCTGAAAGGCTCATAGAAACCGACTGGGGAGGCCACTATTCACTTTGCTTGTTAAGATTCGCAGAGGGGAAACTGAGGTTGTGTCTGTCAGGAGCTAAGAGGCAAGGACTGCCGTCGGTCTACATTTAGTGAATTTGAAGTTTGGGGTTAGAGCTAGCAAGGCCTCACCCAAGTCCAAGAGAATTTTTCAGCTCTTCAGCATTTTCACAAAACCTGACTTGTAAAAATCAGTGGCCTTCATTTGTGTCAGAGGACCGAACTCTGGGCTGGGGCCAACAGGCTGAGAGCAGGAGGAGGCCAGGCCTGGGCACCAGGGTCTCTGTTAATTTTTAGTGGCTAGAAAGCATTTGTTGTGTAATAGGAACCCTCTTAAATTTAGGGAGTTTTAGTTCGTATCTTGTATTATGGTCTCTTGTGCTCTGTGTTCCATGTATTCTAGAAAAGGATGTCCATTTCTGCAGAAATTGGGTAAAATGATTGATGCTGTTTATGAAAGTATTTTGTGGTCTGGCTGCTTTTATTTGTTCTATCAGTTTTATGGAGCAAAATATACACCTGTAATTGTGAATTTATCTGTTCAACTCTTTAGGGTCTTGCTTCATTATTAGATGCAGAAATGTCCTTGAGGGAGGGAGGATGGGGAGGGGGTAAGAGAAACCTCAGAGCTTATGCAATTGTATCATAACATTAAAATAAAATAGAAGGGAAAAATATTTATGTCGTCTTGATGCATTTACCATTATCATGAGTAAATTACACCTTGGGGGGTGGGGTGGGCGTGATGGCACAGCAAGCAAATCTTCTGACTGTTGTACCAGCACTCCATATGGGCGCTGGTTCGTATCCTGAATGTTCCAATTCCCATCCAACTCCCTGCTTGTGGCCTGGGAAAGCAGTAGAGGTTGGCTCAACCTTTGGACCCTGCATCCATGTGGAAGACCCCAAGAAGCTCCTGGCTTCGGATCGGCTCAGCTCCAGCCTTTTTGGTCACTTGGGGAATGAATCAGTGGATGGATCTTTTTTGTCTCCTCCTCTCTGTAAATCTGCCTTTCCAATAAAAATAAATAAATCTTTAAAAATAATTGAAATAAACATATTCTGCTCCATTTGTCTTCTATGTTTCATCCCATTTTATCCCTTCCTGCTTCATTTATTATTTTTACAACTTAATCATTTAATATTTTCACAACCTTAATTCACACAATACATTGACTGTTTTCAGATGCAAATATCAAAATAATCAATTTTAGCATTTTCTTCATCCCTGACAGAAATCCCCTATCCCTTCACATTTTTACCTAAAATTTAAGTATATAATTATTTTCTATAGGTTGTTTTTTTTAAAATCTATTTTTATTGCAAAGTCAGATATACAGAGAGGAGAGACAGAGAGGAAGATCTTCCATCCGGTGATTCACTCCCCAAGCAGCCGCAATGGCTAGAGCTGAGCCAATCCAAAGCCAGGAGCCAGGAACCTATTCCAGGTCTCCCACATGGGTGCAGGATCCCAAGGCTTTGGGCAGTCCTCGACTGATTTCCTAGGCCACAGGCAGGGAGCTGGATGGGAAGTAGAGCTGCCGGGATTAGAACCAGCGAGCATATGGGATCCCAGCGCGTGCAAGGTGAGGACTTTACCCACTACACTATCACACCAGGCCCTATTTTCTATAGGTTCTTTATAAATGTGCCTATTCTAAATATTTCATGTAAATAGAACTCCAAAATATGTGGTTCTTTGTAACTGGTTTAACTCAGCATAATGGATGCCTAGGTTATTTCCATTTTGGGATATTCAGATTAAGACTGCTCTAAACATTCATTTGAGCTGTCAATTTTATAGGCATATCATTCATAATACTCTGCCTTGCTCTTCACTGTCTACAGAACGCCATGTCACTCACTTCTTAAATTGATAATTTATCCTTTTTTGGATTAGTTTGTTAAGTGGTTTACCAATTTTATTGAACTTCTGAAATAACTGAATTTGCAATCTGTAATGATTTTTTAAAAATATTTGAAAACCATAGTTACATACACACAAACACATAGAATTTTCCATTCATTGGTTCACTCACCAAATGGCTACAACAGCAGCTGGACAGGTTGGAAGCCAGGAGCCAGGAGCTTCTTCCTGCTCTCCCAAGTGGGTTAAGGGGCCCAAGAACTTGGACCTTCCTGGGTGTACTAGTAGGGAGCTGGATAGAACTGGTGCAGCCAGAACGCAGAGGGTGTTCATACGGGATGCTGATTTCTGCCTTTGAGACTGCTATTCCTGTTCTAATCTATCAAATCTAAACAGAAACCATTGAGAAACACCCCTTGTTTTGTTTTGTTTCCAAACAGGCATCTAGTCCTATAAACTGCCCCATAAATACTGCTGTAGCACACATGCTGGTGTATTCCATTTTAATTTTCATTCAGTTAAAAACATTTTGCAATTTCATTTTAAATTTCTGCCCAGGAGGGTGGCAGCTCAGCAGCCCTGGCATACTTTAGCAACAAACAGAACATAGGTCAGTTCCTCCACACTGCCCAACCCCAAATGCTGCTGAATTCCAATAAACATCTTCCTGTATCATCTCACACATGCCTTTCAGTCCCTATTTTTCTTGCATATGGATTCCATAAACAGAAATACAACTAGCACTCAGTAGCAAAGCTTCTGACATACACCATGAGACCTAGTGGTTTTTACCCCAGGGTAATTCCTGACTGTACATGCGGAATGGGTAGACAGGTCAAGTGAAGGCTTGCATGGGTCTCAGGGTACGCTCATTTTCAAACATCCTGCTTTCTCGTGGACAGCAGTGGACACATCGCGTTCCTTAGCAAGTGTGCACATACCCATAATGATTACCAGGAAATACGATGAAGATGTTTAACAACTTTCAAGATGTTACACCATGTGTCTGTATTTCATTGTTAATATTTTTGTATCAGTGACTTTTTGGAAGTTGCAAGAATCGTGGGGAAGTCCTGGAAGCATGCACACAAGCCCCCAGTGGGGGTGGACGTGTGGTGTAGAGTTCTGCTGCCTCTCATGTCACTGCAGCCTCATCTGAGTCCTATCTTCTTCATTTTCTGATCCAGTTTTCTAGCTGAGGAACTTCCTGGGAGACAGTAGGTGATGAATCGAGGCGATGGACCCCTTCCGCCCACACGGGAGGTCCAGCTCAGCTTCTAGGCTTCTTGTTTAAGTTGGCCCAGTCCTAGCTGTCAGAGGCATTTTGGGAATGCCCCAAAGGGTGGATGACCTTTATCTTTCAAATAAAATGATATAAGTACATAAATGAATAGAAGGTTCTGATGTGAAGTCTCAGGTTGTCACTTCCTACTGGATGTGTATCCTTGGAACCCCTGCTGACAAGTACATCCGGGTGAGCTTGTAGGGAGATGAGGACAGAGAGAAAGAAACAGAGCTCCTAGGGTCATGAAGAGCCCAGGCCACAGCCCACTGCCACAGGATGTGAACAGCAGCAGGGTGACACAGAGGAATGGCTCCTTTTGCACAGAGCCACGGAGGTGACAGATCGAATGCAGAGGGCCCTGGGGAAGGAGTCACGACTGCCAAGCCCAAGCAGGGTAGGGGACTAGCAAGCCAGAGAATAGCGGTATACCAGCTGCATCTCAGGACAAGCCGGTTGTGATGTGAGAACTTAGAAATTGGTTCTCTTGCTGAGTTCCCAGCTCCTTTGCGGTGGCCCAGGAGTGGGACTCAGCACCTGGACACTTAATGTTTTCACTTACAAGTTGCAGAACATAACGACAGTCTTTTGGTTCACTAACAAGCCTAGAATTGGCCCTGAACAGGTACACGATAAGTATTTGCTGAGTGGCTATTTGCCACAAGGAATTAACCCAAGTATTCTGACTGTTTCACTCTGCCCCTCTCCCACGGTGGACAGGGGTCTTCCCTGGATCAGGGTGCTGCCCAAGGCCACAGAGCTGCCTCAGCGACAGGAGGCCAGCAGATGAGACAGAGACTTGTCTGTTCTGCCCAGGACCTCTAGAGCGAGTCTCTCAGATTCAGATATTTTCAAAGAAAACTAAATTCTAAATTTAGCTAATTTGAGTGGTTTCCTGGAATGAAAGCAGTATCAGAAAAAAAAAAAAAGACCTTACATGCTGTTCCTCATTTTGGTCACATGAAGGGCAGCTAGTTACATGCTTCTTCCTTCCTGGCAGGTCTGCCACAGGTTCCCATCTGTGCACTCCAGCATGGGCACATGGCTGTTCTATGCTCTGTTCTTAAATGCTCAAGAACCATGTGGGCAAAGCAGCACACTGCCAGACAGGTATTATTAGAAACATTTTTATTTAAATTCTGACAATAGTAAGGTATCACAGGAGAAAAGAAAAACTGACAGAACCTTGCAGTAACAGAATACAACCTGGAATTTCTAGAGAATTAGAAAGATAAAAAAAAAAAGAGAGAGAGAGAGAGAATCCTGATTTTACTCAGAGGTTTGCTAATTCTCAACAATTTATCAATTCAGCAAAGTATCTGTTGAACAGAGAATAAACAGATTAGCAAATTAGTTAATCTACTAAATTGTCATCTACTAAAATCTTCCCAAGTGAAATAATAAGGCAGTATTTCCCCAACATGTGAGATCCAGCTTGTAGGACTGAAATTAACAATAGAAAGTTAAAACAAACAAACAAACAAACAAAAAAACCAACCTACCTCATACCAAACAGGTCTAACCTGGATTTCAGGTCATTGAATATGCTGGTAGAGCTGACAGAAGAGAGTCGATGCTACGTCTAGACACTCCACTGTCACTCCTAAACACTGTGTATCCTCTCTCTTTGGGCCATTACCTAAAAAGACCAGGAACTGGGCCCTCGAACACTGGGTCTGTGCCGAGCCCTTTCTGAATCCTTGGAGGATGGGGTACAGAATGGAAAAATAGCAATAATCATAAACTTTGGCAAGTCAGTATACAAATGACTATTTCTTGATTGTCACTTTTAAGAGGATGCTTCATTCTAACTCTTGAAAAGATATTCTACCTTATTTGATTTCCCTCAAACATCTGGAGAGTAAATTCCTGTTAAAACAAAGCAGGTGGTTTAAGAACTCTTCCCTGTAATAATGGCTAGTCCCTCGGGCCCGGCGCAGTGGCGCAAGTGGTTAAAGGTCCTCGCCTTGCACGCCCGGGATCCCATGTGGGCGCCAGTTCTAATCCCGGCAGCCCCGCTTCCCTTCCAGCTCCCTGCCTGTGGCCTGGGAAGGCAGTCGAGGACGGCCCAAAGCTTTGGGACCCTGCGCCCGTGTGGGAGACCCGGAAGAGGCTCCTGGCTTCGGATCGGCATAGTATCGGCCCGTTGCGCTCACTTGGGGAGTGAATCATCGGACGGAAGATCTTCCTCTCTGTCTCTCCTCTCTGTATATCCGCCTTTCCAATGAAAAAATAATAAAAATAAATCTTTAAAAAAAAAAAATAATGGCTAGTCCCTCATTTTTCACCACCTCTACATAAAAGGCATATGGAATGTACAGTCTTTCACTAACAAATGGCCCAAAGACAATGCTGGTTACAGAGGCTTGGGAACATCTCACTGTTGTTTTGAAAAATTTAGTCCTTATATATTGTCTTTATAATAATATGTATTTCAGACCTTCCATAAAGTATTAGCTAAAGTGAATTTCACCATTCCCATCAACCCTAATACCTTTGCGCGTATGGGTAGGAACCAGTCATTTGCACAGCTAATTGTTTCTAAGATGCTATTAGTAGCTGGCTACTTACTTGTTTTAATAAATTGTTTCAAAGAGACTCAAGAATAAACAATGCTATAAAATATTATTCAAAGAACTCACAATCTGTGAAGAAGCAGATTTTATGTCTGCTATGAGTTTGCTGACTGTAGCACATACCTGCTTCATTCCCAAGGGTAATGAAAGCTGCTTCAAGACGAGACAAAGACTTCAGATTAGAGTCCAGCTGTAAGTTGATAGGGCTCATCAATGTCAGGCTATTAGGAATTTTAATTGTTATTGATAATTCGCTAAATTGGCCCTATCTGCATAATTCTGATTTATATTTCAAAGAGAATAGAGTGAGGGAAATTAGAGGACTACATGTAAAACTAAAAATATATCATTTCCATTATATACCTTCTGGTTACAGAAAAATCCTTCACACATAGATACAAATTGCTGATCTATCCGAACTTCCACCATGGGGTAAGCTGAGTCACCTTCTGAGTCTGGAGGATTTTTAAGACTTTGGAGTAGTTGCAGAAACATATGACCCCTCAGTAAGGTCATCACCTTGCCTTCACATTGTTTAGATATATGTGTGTTCAAAAAAGAAAAAGCTGGGCGGGGGGCCTGGTGTTGTGGCATGAAGGGTTACAATGCCTCTTCTGATGCCAGTGTCCCCTACCAGAGCGCCTGTTTGAGTCCCAGCTACTCCACTGCCTATCCAGTTCCCTGCTGACGCACCTGGAAGAATGGAAGACGGTCCATGTAGGAGACCTGGTTGGGGTTCAGTCCTGGCTGTCGCGTCCATTAGGGCAGTGAACCAGCAGATGGAAGATTTTTCTGTCATTCTGCCTCTCAAATAAATAATCCTAGAGTATCCTGTGGTTACTGAAGCAAAAATAAACGGACAAGTTCATTCTAATGTGATCACAGAATGCTTTCGCCACACCTGTTCCACTTGATAGCACCTGTGAAACCTACTCCTGGACGGAGATTCAGGAAGCAGTCAGGGAGCAGGTATCAAGTCACACATGCTGTGTCTGGTTTAAAGGGAAACATAAAAACAAGACGCAGATGGCTCCTGCCACCACTAGCACACAATGAGGCTTCCTTAACACTCGCAAACTCGCACACTGCATTGACGTTTGCCTGACATCCATTCTTAGGTCCGTGTGCTTCCCAAGGAAAAGGCCAAGTGGCTCTGGGCTTTGTAAGGAGTGGCAGATGCTGCAGATAAATTACATACCGGCACATAACACTCCCGCAGTAATAGTGCAAATGTTAGCCACTACAACAGGTTCTGCAGACTCCAGTTAGCTCTCTGAGGAGAAAACATCACATAAATACCAAGTCATAACAACAGGAGAACGGTTTTAAACACTCAGACCCTGTTTGGTTATATTTAATCAAAGCTTGTGTCTCCTAAACTAAGTTTCATTTAAACTAACTATAGTTACTACTGTGGTTTTTTTTTTATCTTGCTAAACTTCATTTTTCGGTTCATTTTATTTTTATTACAGAACAATCATAGTTTTTAATGGGTTTTGAACATAATAATACTATCAAGCATTACCAAAAAAAAAAAAAAAGCAACTCTTCATTTTAGAAATTCATAAAAACGCAGAGACCGAAGGCTAGCTACCAGGACCTTTATCAGAGAACAACCTGTCTTCAGACTGCCCCTTTGAAGCACAGCTTTCACAGACCTGCCACCTGAGCTGTGGCCTCAGCACAGAGGAGGAAAACAAGAGCACAGGATTCTGGGTCCTGCACATGGGATGGTGTTGACAGTCTCTCCAAGAGCTCACATCTGGCCCTCAGGGACCTCCTAACTTCTAGCTGCCACTAACCAAAGGAAATGATACCTTTATCAAACAAGTGGAAAATCAGAAGGCTTCAATATCACATGCCTGCAGAAATATATACTGAGAGGAGTAAACAACTCCATTTCTGAGTTAAGCAAATACAACATCACAACATGCAACATGGATGGTCACAATATTCTTACCCTTCATCAAAACCCAATCTGTATAAAACGGGCAGAGAAGTCAGACATCGAGGAGACATGACCAGTGTACACAGCTCTAAGGTAGGGAAGTCCTGTGTCTTAATGGCACAAGAATATGTAAGGAAATTGCTAACTTGACGGTTAATATTTTATGAAACAACTTCTCAGGCAAGTTTATCATTGTGTTCAGTGTACATCATCTAAAAATTAATAAAATTGGTAAGCCACAGTAACCATATCATGTTGCAATTTGTACAACTTAATGCACCTTAATAGGAGTGTAATTATTATATTCATAAAAGTTATAAATCAATTTCATATTTACAAATACTTTACAAAAAATTATTCATTCATTCCTTGCATCAAACCATTAAAATTATCCCCATGTCACATATAATGAAATACACATTGAAATATATTGCCTAGTGCTCAGTACAAAGTGAGAATATGATTTAATGTTTTTGAACTCCCAGCACTTCTGGTGTTTCTATCTATCCACCTAACTCTTTCCCTCTCACTCCCCTTACCTCTGTATTCAGCAAAGCGGCTTAGCTGAAAGCTCATACAAGATTTATTCAGTAATAAACATTTTTTCCACTGTTAAATAGGACTGGGAAGGAATACTATTAAGTACGAATCCCATAGCAGGTAAAATAGACGAAGAAACCTAAGTAGACTTCATTTTATCATTAGGCTGCTCTGGTACAGACTAATTGTGGGGTCTGGAGCATTTGGTTGGAAGACATAAGGTCCACACAGAAATGCATGCTGCTGCAGAGTCAGAGATGGAATTCATTCCAACACCTGACTTGTTTTTGAGGTTCGGAACTGAGTTTCAATCAAGACATGGGAAAGAAGTTGCTAAATCTAAATCATGATGTTCTTTTAGTGTTCAAATTCAAAACAGTGATAAACCCCAATCTACTGAACATGAATGTAATCAAGTTTAAAATTTCTGTCACAAACCAGGATGAAGTGACTCAGGAACAGATGGTTAGCCTGTTAAGACACCTGTGCCTGGGTTAGATTATCAGCTTCCTCTTAATGAAGGTCCTGAGACACGGCCTTAGTAGCTCAAATTATTGGGTTCCTGCCACCCTGGTATGGAAACTAATGAATTAACCAATACTGCAGACTGCATTCATGACTTTTAAATCTCACTTTAAACCAATAATTTGACATTTCCTTTAATAATAAAAAAGAATTTCTACCAAAAATTTTAATCCCACATTTAAAACTTTTTTTATTTATTTGAGAAGGGTAAAAAGGAGGTGAGGGGAAAAGAGAGTGGGGTGAGCCAAGAGTGCGAGCAAGAGATCCCTTATTTGCTGCTCACTCACTTCCCAAATGCCTGTAACGGCCAGGGCTGGACAGGGCAGGCTGGGAGCCAAGTGGCAGGAACACAGACCTCCCAGGGACTGCACCAGCAGGAAGCTGAAGGCAGGAGCCAGAGCTGGGAATGCAAGTCGCGCCCTCTGCTGGGAGACACAGACCTCTCAACAGGCAGTTGAGGACATGCTCTTTGCCAAATTCTTTCCTTGTGTGTCTGAGCTTTATTACTTAGCATTAGAATTACAAAATACATAGATAAGAGGTTGGCTTAAAAAATTTCATTTATTATTAAAGTCCAGAAGTCCTGCTGATTTGATCCTGGTAAATATATGTGTGTGTGTATATATATATATATATATATATATATATATATATGCATGTGTATGTGTATTTTTTTCTCTGTCAGGTTTTAACCATTTTATTGACTTTCCAATTCATTCAGACACTAAATCAGAAAATACTTCTATGGCAACTTTAAACTGCATTTTTAAACCCACAAGTGTATGTGGGGCAATTTTTTAGGCAACAATTGCAACCAAAGTATAAACAGTAAGAATCCACATTCCCTCAAGTAATGGTCCTTCTACCCAGAATACAACGAACTTCACAGATAAGCAGTTTTGTTCACTAAGCTGTGACCTCTTTTCCTTGTCTTACATGGAACTGAAGCAAGTAAAAGTGAAGAGAGAAGTGAATAGAAAGGATTAAATTATTACTAGGCCATATGCGTAATATTAAGGTTCCCACAGAAATATTTTGCTACAGTTTCTTATAATCACTTCTCAAAGGGAGCTGTTTTCAGCTGATTTTATTATACCCCCTTTCCAAGTCACTTACTGGACTTACCAATAAGTTCACAGCAAATGGTGACATGACTCCAGTTCGAGCTATGTATCAGTGTAATACTTTCAGTGGGAAGTCATGTATATATAAAGCACAGCTGCTGTTACCTATGTACTGCAACTAATAAAGAATAAATGCAAGTTTTTTTTCATAAAAATACAATTTCTAATCAATTTATGTTTCCAAAATAGGAGGGCATTAAATACTTAAAACACCAGGTACTCCCCTCTGTTACAGAATGCCAGTCAGGTAAGAACTGTAAGAGGTTCTTTTTATTGATAAGAGATAGATAGCTGAATATACCTGCAACCTATATGTTTTCTTGCTGTTTAAGAAAAAATATAGAAACTAAACATTGAAAACATGATCAATGTAGTAATCACTACAGACTCACCATCTTTTAAAATTTTGTTAAAACTGCCAAAACCATGATGAGTACAATTATTACAACTACATTATTTGAAAAAGTAATATGAATTATGCTGCTAAAGACAAGACATTGAAATACATAAACACCACAATGTAATAGCAGTAATTCATGACTATTTGATATGAAAAATTAAATTTAAAAAGTTATGTTAGAGAACTTGGGAGTCTTTCCCTTTAACAAAACATTCTGTTTATACACCTTCCAATGTCTCTGATACAGCAGACAATCAAATACCTTTAAAAGATATGACATTCAAATGCCTCATTTATACAAATAATATTACCAATACTAATAATGTGATGCCCTTGAACAGCAACTGCTCTGCTAATTTTGATTGTAAACTATTTTCTTCATTTCATTTTGCATTTTAGTTAGCAGTTGGCATTACATACTAATCAGTTCTGGGCTGACAAAGACAGTTTTAGTCAAAATACTGTTTCTCAAAAGTATGATACATCAATTGCTGAAAACTAAACAACCATATAAAAGTGGTAATCATTTATCTAAACAGTGATTATGAAAGACAACTAGCATATATTCAGGCAGGGTACTGCATTCATGATGGATTATTTACAATAAAAGTACTTTTACTAAAACTAACATGATATATAAGTGTCTATGTCAATTACTACAGTCTCTTAAAGTTATAAAAATATTATATATAAAATACCACAGGCTTTACAGGATATAACTTCATGTGGTTCTGATACTAGCAGCTGAAAAGTGTTTATAATTTAAAAATAAATAAACTATAGAGGTAAACCAGGTACAAAACAGCAGAGGACTGCAATAGTCACAAGAATGAAAAGAAATGCTCAATTACACAATAGCTAACAAAACGGTGAAGCAGTTGGATCAAAAGTTTTAAAAACCTCTTTGAGAGACTTGTCATCTGTTTCTCTACTGAGCTCACTGTCTGGGACTGGGCTCACCTGTCCAAGGGGCTTGGCTTGCCTTGGGTCGCTGTACTGGGGTCTGATTAAGCCTGTGAGTGCCTGAATAGGAAGAGTGTGCACTGCTGGGAACTGACCCTTACTGGAACTTTTCAGACTATCGGCCTGCGTGTCAGATGGCCCTTCAACAGCGACTTCCACGCTTGGAGAGCTCTTCTGTGACAGAACTGCTTCTCCAGCAGAAGGCTCACTTTTGTCATTACTTTTCAACCCATCATCTTTTTTCTCATTCTCTGCATTTTCTCCTGCAGAAGCTGTTGCTGTCTCTGACGTAGATGAGCCCTGCTCCCTAGGGTTGTACAGACTGATAGCACTAAGGGCAGAGCTTTGAGATCCCAGGGGAAGGCCTGCTGATGAGGAGAGTTTAGGGGCATAGGGAGGCAGGGCCCCAGAGCTACAACCGCTAGTTACTGCTCCAGACGGCTGTGAAGAGCCAGAGTTGGATCTGGCTGAAGGAGGGGTACCCTTTGATACACGGGATTCCTTCATCACAGCCTGGTGAGAGTCTGAATGGGACGATCTGTGAAGCCTAGGGTCGAAATTCTTTTGCAGCCTAGGATCTCCTAATTTACTTCCTGAACTATGTGAGTCCCCAAATTGTTCTAAGTAGCCTTCTCTGTTTGTTGTGTTACTTTTGGCTTTCACTGCTGATTTTGGATCAACAGATACTATGTTTTGATGAAGATCACTTTTTGTATTCCATAACCTACTGAGCCTCTGGTCAGCTATAAGAGGGGGCAGAGGTAAATTGATTGAAGATACTGGATCAGGTTTAGGTAAAGGTACTGGAAGTAAGTCTTCAGGAGCCCACACAATGTGTTTTGCAAAGTTGGGTTTGGCTAGGATAATGTCCATTTTAATGTGACTGAACTGTCTCAGCTGGGACCTCGGATCCTGGAGCATGACACCAGGTAAAGGCTCCAAAGGTATGAGGAAGGCTTTTTCTCTCAGTTCTCTTTCTGTGTCTTCATCATCATCATCCCCTCTTTTGTGTCTGACACTAGAACCGGTGTTTGTATGATGTAAATCCAACTTTGCTCCACCAACAGAAGAGCCTCCATGACCACTTCCACTCCCTCTTAATTTCCTGGGGTCCCACGCAAGTCTAAGATCCTGCGGGGCAGACTCAGAAGGCTTCCGCACGTCTTGCCTTGAGATAGTCCTAAGTCTAGGGTCAACCACTTGATGGCCTTTATTTTTCTCCTTAGCAAGTCTTGGATCAGTGAGAGTGCTGAGTTCTGGGGAAGGTTGCTGCTGGTTCCTTAAAGTTTCTGTTTGTTTCTGTAATGTTTTCAGTATTGACTTGACACTGCTTCCTTCTTCCTCTTCACTGCTGGAGTACCAGTTAACCGTATCATCTAAATGCATACAAAAATTTATTGTGAAGACTGAAGCACTCATATTTGGCCTTAACTACAATTTTAAAAAACACCACTCTGAAATAAGCATAGTAAGAACATACATGCTAGAAATGCCATGTTTTAATTCGCAACAAAACTCAACAACGGAAGAAGTGTATCCTAGAGTATGTCTAAGTCCTTTCTAGTCACAGAAAAGTCAGGATCTTTCACTCCACACATTCAGAAATATGTGTCACTTTTATGCCAGCACTGGGGAGAAGGAAAGATACTTTTGAAAAGCCACTCTAAACTGTTTAAGAGTCTCTTCAATTCAAGCAATTCTTAAGCTATAATGGCAAAGGGTCAGATCTCAGACCAAGAAAAATACTTTGAGACACTCTGGCTCATTTCTTCCCTTTGACCTCCAGGAAGCCTTGAGCTGAACTTGTGCTTCATTTTTACTGGATGTAGTAATTTAAATACTTTTGTATAAATAATCCCACTCATAATGTTTGCTACTTCTATCCTTACTTGCTTTTCCTTTCCGTGTCAATCTATTTCAAAAGGAGTTTTAAGTAATTTTTGGAATGAGACTAAATAACAGGATGTAGAAGTGCAGAGATGAATCAATGTAAAAATAGGTATGAGCATAGAAATGTTAGCAGCTTTTAATCAAAGGAAGTAAAATTCATGAAAGCATTAAAATTCATAAAGATGAACACACAAATCTAGTTATTAGGGATTATCTTTTTTATTTCTATTTGATTATCTTCTTTTTATTCACAGCAAGCAACTTTCCAAAGAACATTGCTGTGTACCACAGCATAAAGTTTTATATAAAATTTGATTATTTATAAAAACATAAAATTTGTAACACTTTACAAAAAGATAATCATTAAGGAGGTTTATTAAGAAAATCAGACTTTAGCAGTTAAAGTAGTCAATTTAAATAGTACAGGAAAGTCATTTATTAGGAATTCCTCTTTCCTCTGTGATTATATTACTGAAGAGTTAGTTTTCCTTCTTCAAAAAATGTAACAGATCATGTACATAAGCTTGTAGTTACCTACTTCCTATTTTATTCATAAATTTTATAAATAGGAGTGGCTAAACACAACCAAAGAGAGTAGCCAAATATATCAGTGTATTAATTTTGTAATCCACAAAAAGAACTAAGTGCATTAAATTTTTTGACACTTTATTGAATTAATTGTGTTATGCTTATCTATACCCCAAATACTAAGATACTTGTTATTTCCATATCATCTATTTATATTACAAAGTATGCTAACATCATAGCAAAACCTTAACTGGGCCCATGAAGATTTCTGTAATAGTGAAAGATTTGGATACTGGTTTAGAAGTCAAATCTCCAAACTGGAAGGTATCCCTTTCCTTTTCTTTCTTCCCTTAATAAACAGGGATTTAACTTCTTCCAAGTCTACTCACCCAGGCACTTCAAATGAACCCTTTCACACAATTCACTATTACTGTCACAAAACCACAGTCAATCCTAAGATGGGTGCTATGGAACTGGAAATATAGTAGATGGTTCTGAGGAACTCATTTTCAAATATTAACCAATTCAAATTAAGACGTATTCGAAAAACTGACACACCTTCTTCCTTGCTTGGTGCCCGATGAGGATGGGTGCCGGCTGGTTCTTCACCTTCTGGGTACCTCTGAGTCAGCCTGACAAAAAGGGCTCTCTGCACGGCAGGGAGGAGCCCAGGAGCAGACAAGGGGCCATGGCCGGTCATGTTGCTGCTGCTGTCGGGCCCACTCCCGAGACCAGGTGAGTCCTGAACGACAGGGGGCTGCTGGGCAAACTCCTCATGCCACATCCCATCTACAGACACAACAGGGGAGCAGACACTGTGTGAGTACAAAGACATGGGAGCTCTATTCATAATCACCTTGGATTCTTACATTGTTAAGCAATTCCTAAATATTTTTCAGTTATCTCAAGTTCTACTGTTTTAAAAGTTTGGCTAAACTGAAAGCATATTTTAAGAATTCAGTTTAGTTAATTCTCCTTAACTTTACTTAAACATAGTTATATACTTCTAACAAAAAAACAAGGCTCTAGATATGTTATTAAAAGAAGTCAACTTACCACCACAGCTACTGGGTGTCTGAAAGTCATGTACAGCATGCTGTGAATAGTAACTACTATAAAACTCGTCTGCAGCTTGTAGCGATTCATAGTTTGTGTTGAGTGGCATTTCACCAGGACCTTGCTGGTAGGATGAACCTGAAGAACAGTGATTCTCTCGAGGGACCTTCATCCCATGTCCTGAAAATGCAGGAGAGTGGTAAACCCCACTCATATTTGGTGGTGTCAAAGGTGCATCCGATTGGACAACTACTCCAGCTTGACTGTGAGGACCTACAATTTCAGGTGGACCAGGCGGCAAAGGTGGGCTCTGTCGCATTGACATGCCAGGAGGTCCTGCACATGTGTGATGCCCAGGAGAGCCTGGGTGCATCACAGGACTGCTGCATCCATGAGACACATTAGGTCCTGGACCTGGACTTGACCCAGAATTGTAGATGTGCTGAGGGTGTGGGCTGCTTCCCTGAAACTGTGGTCCTGGTGGTGAGGCACTGTTATAAAATGCTGGTGGCCTGTTCATAAAAAGAGCAAGTTGAAATATAATTATTTTTTAAAATTAAGCTTTTTTTCTACATAAAGCAGAATACTATGTGTTTTAAGAAGCATTATTCCATATCATCTATAGCATAAGTGGAAATACCACATATGCTTCTTGCTTTCCCTCATAGGCCAGACTTTTCCAAATTGCTGTTTACTAATCACTAAATTTTACTCATTAGGTATAGTATTGTTTAAAAACACAGGTTAATACAAAAACAAGAATCACCTCTATTCCCATTCCCCAGATGATTCTAACTGGTTCTCTGTCTTTTATCTAGACATGCATATACATTTTTTCTATGAAAATTAGTCATATAAACATACAACATTTGACTATACTTTCCAATTGGTTATATCTGGCATATAAGTTAACTTTTGGTTTTTAAATGGTGCATTCTCCTGGACATCCTGCTAATTACTATTTCTAATAGTTCTCTATCCGTTGGCTTTTGGGATTCATTGAGGAAAACCGCACAAATAATGAGTCTGGTCATTACTTCTGATTTTAATGCCCTTTGTTTCTTTCTCTGATTTTATTGATTAGGACCTGATATATAACAGTAGCAAAACAACAGACACACTTGTCCTCTTGATTTCAATGGCTCCTATTGTGATGCCTGGTACAGATTCCTTGCTTCTCATTTGCTGAGACCACATTGCTTCCCTGAACATTAGGCAATAAAAAAAATAATGACCATTGGGACTTGGGGCCCAGGTGCAGCCAAGAGACTGGCAGTGGCCAACAGGGCTGGGATGATGTGGTTAGAAAATGATAATCTACATCCAGATTACCTAAAGATTTTCCTCCAAGAGCCCACAATTAACTTTTTAAAAAGGACCAGACACACATTTACTTTCTCACACAAATGAGAAGCAAGATGTGGATTACCCACTGCTTGAAGACATCATCAATGACACTGCAGCTTCAGGGTCAGCAATGCCAAATCCATCCACTTGGCTTGCAGTGTCCTGCAGATCACTGAGTCTGTGAAGAGGCTTCTGCAGCTGGGTAAAGATTTTGCAGACAAAAGCATGGATGGCAGGCAGCAGTGGGTGACAACACACAGAAAGAGGGAAGTAGCGATCTTGGTGCATGCCAGGTACCTGCCATCTTCATCGAGTTTAATTGCGTGACTTACTTGGAATACTATGTAGTTTCCTAACACACACTTTTAACTTTTACAGGGAAAGAAGAGAGTGTACTGCCATTTTTAAAGATTTAACTTACTTCTTCCCAATTTTATGTGCTAAATCCACAGTAGGTTTTACAACTATTTCGAAGAGTGAGGGGATTTTCTTGAAGTCATCAGGAAAATCTGTCTGAAAATCGTCTTCAGGATCAGAAAAGGGAAAATGTTCCGATGGGGTTGGCAGAAGCCCAACTCCTGGGGGTGGTTTGGGAAGAGGAGTTATGCCACGTTTTCTGAGTTCTTCTAATTCTCTTTCATCTTCATTTATAAGCTCTTCCTCATTATTCAATACCTAAAAATAATTAGCTAAAATTAGTGTTTCAAAGCAAGTTTTCTTCCTAATTTGAAAACTGTACATATGATCTTAGTTTAAAAAAAAGTCTGAAAAAATGATCATTTTGAAAACTGTGTAAAGGCTTAATTAAGCTAGATTTTTAAAAATAGGAACAGTAACATCAAAGTTCAAATAGAGGGGCCAGTGCAAAAGCTCAACTGGCTAGCTTTCCACCTGCAAGTGCTGGCATTCTGTACAGCCACGGGTTCACGTCCTGGCTGCTTCACTTGATCTGGCTCCCTGATTACAGCTTGGGAAAGCAGTGGAGACTGGCCCAAAACCTTGGGGCCAGGCACCCACACGGGAGACCTTTAGAAGCTCCTGACTCCTGGCTTCAGATCAGCTCAGCTGCAGGCATTGCAATCATTTGAGGAGTGAACCAGCAGATGGAAGCTCCATCTGTCTTCTCTGTAGATTTCCCTTTCCAATGAAAATAAATATTTTTTTTAAAAAAAAGTTCAAATGGATCAGACAGTTAACTCCTCATTTTTTATACGCAGTTCGAGGTTCAAAGAGGTTAAGATAATGGTTGAATCAGTTCTTTTAATGGTGGAGTAAGGATGAGTAAACTGCTTCTTAGTCCAATATTTCTGTTTTTAATACACTTTACTAATGAAGAATAACAAATCCTTGATTTCCCAAAGTTTCAAAAATATGATAAATAAAATGTGATTCAAATAATCAACACTCAATAAATAACAAAAGTTCAAAAGTAATACTCACTTTGTCCAAAAGTTTCCTCGTCTCTTTAGTCAGATCATCATGGGAAAATTTACAGTTGTCTCCTTGGTAACATTTTGCACCAGTATGATAGAACTTACATGGAAATTCATGTAAATAAAAATATTAAGGAACAGTTTAAGTATAATCATGACCTGGTTTTCAAAGCTCAAACCATGTGACTGCTAAGCATGGCTACCTTCGGGAGAGCTGTGGTGCAGCACATGCCTATGGTCAGCAGTGTTGTACTGTACACTTAAACATGTTAGAAGACCACAGGTGTTGGACCTAGCAGTTAAGATGCAATCAAGATGCCTGGGTTGTTAACAGGAGTGGCTGGGTTCAAATCCCAGCTCTGAGTCCTTTTAAAAATTTTATTTTATTGAAAGGCAGGGTGACAGAGAGGCGAAAGGCAGAGAAAAAAAGATTTATCTATTGGCTCACTACCCAAATGCCGGAAGCAGCCTGGACAGAGGGAAGCAAACTTCTACATATGCTGTATGCCACCATGCCCTGAGTCTTGACTATCAGCTCCCTGATGAGAGAAGACAACAGGTGACAGCTCAAGCAGCTGGCTCCCTGACACTGGAACAAAATTCCTGACTCACAGGTTCACTGCCCAATCCCAGATCCTTGGCTGAGGTGGTCATTTGGGGAATGGACCAGAGGTTGGGGAAACATGTACTCATTTTCAAATAAATAAAAAAATATTTAAAACCTCTAAAAACTGTGTAAAAGCAGAAAGATGTTAAGTTTTCTATAATCACGTTATTCACTTTGCTATGAGTAGATATTTTAATTGTGCCAAAAGATACAACGATTTTTATTATTTGACAACTTTGTGAGATCTATATCACCACAACTCTCTTCACAACTATAACTCTAAACACTCCAGTATTTAAAATTATACTACATTTCATCTGTAAATATCTCCATATTTTTCTTGAACAGATAATATATTTTTTTTTACAATCATGGCCTCACCTGACAAAATTAATACACTAATGCTTATTAGTATGCAAGTTCAACATACAAAATTTTGACTGTTTTGGAAAGATTTTTTTTTTTTACAATTGTCTTATTCAGAATAGAATTTGAATCCAAATATGATCCTCAAATTTTACTTAGTTAATACATCTCTCAACTTTCTTTTATTGATCTCTAGAAATTCCCTTCTCTTTATTTCTGTACCACTGTTGCTTTTAATAATACCATATAACGTAAACTTTAAAAATTTTTCATTTATTTCAGAGACAGAGAATGCAAGGGCAAGGGAGAGCTCTCATCAGTTCATTGCCCAGATGTCCACACTATCCTGAGTTGGGTCAATGTTGGAGCAAGGAGCCAGAAATGTAATTCAGGTCTCTGGGTTTCAGGAATGCAATGACTTGAGCTGTCACCACAGCCTCCCAGGGCCCGTGTGAGCAGCAGCTGAACTCAGGAGCCAGAGGCAGCTGTCAAACCAGGCACACTAAATGGAACGTGGACATCTTAACTGCCAAGACAAATAACTACCACACAGATGGTGTTTAAATAGTCTCCACTGGAGACTGAAAATACTGACTTGACTGCTTCTGTTTTGACATTAGAACTGACCAGTTCTTCCAGGTGTTGTCTTAAACTTCCTCATCAACTTAACTTCTCAGCCAATATTTTAGTGGCTATCACAATCACTACTCAGATCTACTAATTGACTAGAACTTGCAAAATGGTGGATTGTCTTGTCAAAAGGTGAACACATATGCAATTCTGCCAGAAATTGCAAAGCTCTCCTCCATTAAAGGTGCAATATTTTAACAACCATAATATAGCAGAGCATTTTCTTACCTTCTTGTAACCAAATTTAACTGTTATGTGCTTTGAATTTTTGTAAATCTTACAGCAGTAAATGTTATTTCAACGTAGCTCACATTACATTCCTCTTGTTAACAAGCATGATCATCTTTCCATATGTTTTAAGAACATCTGCACTACCTCTTGCTTCATTTTTCTCAGAAACTCACACTGCAGCACTGCACGGGTATTAACTATGATACAAATGACATACAATTTGCCCACTTTGTTACTTACATTTTTACTTAGTTATACAAATCTAAACTTTAATGCGAATTTTCAACACATTCTATCATTAATAGTTTTCCATTACAGCTCTTGGATCTTGAATCACAGCTGGGAAGTTCTGTTCTCTTGCATTATAAAGGACTACACTCCAACATTTCTCCAGTTTCATTTTTCACATTTGAATCTATAATAACAGAATTTTCTTCTTCCCTATCATTCTCTTTCTTTTTGTTTATATTCATTCAAACTTTATTGGGAAAAAAATATGAGAAATCCAGCAGATCCCTAGAGGCAGCAACAGCCACAACAAATGAATCCACAGAGACAAACTGAAAGTTCAGGGGGGGAAAAGTGTACATGTATAAAAAGGTGCTCTCTAGCTAAAAAAAAAGACACACACAAAAAAAACCCTCCAAAACAGCTTCAAATCCATATGTAGTGGAATAGACACGAAAGTATAATTTAGATGCATTTATTTACAAAGAGAAAAGTAGGGAATACAGTGTTTATCATTCAGTGGTAAAATCTGATGAGACTTCAATTTTTACAATTTTCCACAATGAAAATTTATTACTACGAACCTAAGTAACATAATTATATGATAAAATAAATATTTCATAAACTACTCTTTCAGGAAGCACATTCCCTTGAAATACTTTAAACTGATTATATTAAATAAAAAGTACCTTCACTTCACAGAATTGCCTTTCAAAGGGAAGATAATTCATTTCTCTAAAGAACAAAGGTTAGTTTGTTTTTTTCAAATATAAAATCTGACTAGACTGGGCTTACTCAATATGTTGTTTTAAATTTAAAATATAATGAGGCGTTCTAGGTGGAATGATTTTTTTAAAGTTTCAGTGAGGGGCTCCCAGCACTGTGATGTTGGGGTAAAGCTGCCACTGGTGGTGCTGACACCCCATACAGATGCTGGGTCAAGCCCTGGCTGCTCTACTTCCAACCCAGCTCCCTGCCAATGTGCCTGGGAAGAGGCACCCGCATCCGGACAGGATACCCAGAAGAAGCTCCAGGCTCCTAACTCCAGACTTGCCTGGCTCCACCTGTTACAGCCATTTGGGAATGAACTAGTGATGGAATAGTTCTGTTTCTCTCCATCTGTAATTTTCTGTGATTCTTTTAAATAAAAATTTTAAAAAAGAATTTCAATGACACTTTAAAGACCTCAATATCTTGGGCACTATATATATTATAGTAAAGGATATTATGCATATAAATGCAGTTCTCTCCTTTGGTACAATATCCTTGTAAATAAAATTTGCAGATCTCTTTCCTCTTCTCCAACTCTGCATCATGATCAAATTTACATTGATCTCCCTGTTCACAAAAGAAAAGAAGTATGTGAATTTAATTTTCTCCATAGTGCTTCATGATAGCATACCAGTCATTACCTTTATTTCTTTAAATAATGAGCTAGTAATAACTAAAACAATACCCAGACAGTGGACATGGCTGTCTGCAGCAGGCCTGCCAGGGAGCAAGGCTGCAGAGGAGGCTGACAGCTTTCCCACTAGCGTGAACCATTTCTGGGACTTAACTTCTCAGTGCTGTGTAGGGACACCAACAGCAAGTACTTTGTAATGTCACTGTAAGGACTGAATCATTTAGTGTTAGCTGTACTTGCTATTTAGTCAAAGTTATATGTTTGTTAAACAAGATCTGATTTCAACAAATTATGGTACTGTCCCAGAATATAATGGAATGAGTGCTCATGCATAGTATTCCCATGCAAAATCCATTTGTAAGAACCAGTTTTATTATAATTACACAAAAAACAGTAAAATAAAACAAAACAACCACCACCAAAAAAAAAAAGACTTTAAACTTAAAAAATCATTTTGGCAGTAGAAATGACTTATGATATCTCTATGTATTTACCTTAATGCATCTCCCTTCCAGGAAGTATTTACAGATTTGTTTTCCTTTGTGTTCCACTGTATGCTGATTAATAAATTCCTGAGTCATAACTTTCCACTTTTTCCCTGGTTTACTATACTATAAGAAAAAAAGTCATTGAATGTAACATGAAATATTAACAGGTATAAAAATGTACAGTTAAATGCATCACCATTAAAAGTGATCAAAATCCAGTGTTTTGATGCTATTCATTTATTTGTACAGATACACATTTAATAATTTGCTTATACAGCTACCAATAGTACAAAGAGATCTATTTGTTTCTACCTTAATGAGGATAATATATTTAAAATAAAATTATAAAAAGCTTGAAAGTTCACAATAATATTCTATTTTAGTGAAGATATAACAAAATATGCACTGTACGTGTCATTGAGATGACTTCAAATGACTGCTTAACACAGAATGTGTAGTTTTCATGATCAACCTGAAGTAACTCACAGGAAAGCCTGAAAATTAACCATAGTAAATTAAACTAAAATAGAAACAACATTCAAAACTAGGAGAAGCATGTTTTCCCTTAAAACTTAAAATAAAGAGATACAGTAAGAAAAATGAGGAATCTCACAGCCTGGTTTGCTTTCCTTAGTTCCCTTTGGTCCTCTGTTCAACCTATGCTGTACACAGAAAACTGAATAGCAAAATGGACCATTGGGCCCGGCACAGTGGCGCAGTGGTTAAGGTCCTCGCCTTGAACACCCGGGATCCCATATGAGCGCCGGTTCTATCCCGGCAGCCCCGCTTCCCTTCCAGCTCCCTGCCTGTGGCCCGGGAAAGCAGTCGAGGACGGCCCAAGGCTTTGGGACCCTACACCCGCGTGGGAGACCCGGAAGAGGCTCCTGGCTTCGGACCGGCATAGCATTGGCCGTTGCGCTCACTTGGGGAGTGAATCATCGGGCGGAAGATCTTCCTCTCTGTCTCTCCTCTCTGTATATCTGCCTTTCCAATAAAAATAATAATAATAAATCTTAAAAAAAAAACGGACCATGGTGTTTATAATGAATTACATTCGTGAACTCCGGACGTTTCCAACACCTATCATGTGCCCTTCCACACTGTAGGTACTGAATACTATTTGCTCGTGATTCAATTTCGGATTTCCCTTTTCCTTCAATGAGCTTAAGGCACATTCTGTGGATGGCAGAATACTGCCTCACAGAAAATACTTGAGGAAAATACACAGAAAATTCTTGAGGAAAATACACAGAAAATACTTGAGGAAAATACACAGCTATTCCAGTTTTTCAGTTAGAAATTCTTCTCTTAGAAGAAAATGGAATAGAGGGTATCTTCAAAAAGCCATAGAAACACAGTATAAAAATAGTCTATGAATGAAATTCAACATAATTTTAATATCAAAATAACTTTGTCTCTTAATTTCCTTTCCTATGAACTTCCTAAGCACCCCTGCATTACTACTGGCCACAGGAAGCGCGGCAGGGTGGAGATGGGCAGCAGTTAGAGCAGCACTAACACACAGCTGAGAAGGCTTCATGCTGGTGTTCTTCAGCACTGGGCTAGCTACTGTCTGCATCACTTCACACTGAACTTAAAATTGACTACAAAGAACCTGATGGCCCTCAACACACAGAAGTGATAATTACTGTGGAGAGGAAATTGTTGATCACTCTTATTTGGTCATTACACATTTATATACATGGATCAAAATATCACACAATATTCCAGAAGTTATATACAAATATTAATGTGTCTATTTATAATAAATAATACATTAGTATTTAACAGCCACAAGACTCTTTTTGCAACCAAATAAATTAAAATACAGGAACGTCACTCTCTTCTGCCCATGTAAGCTCTCAGTACCTCCTGATAGTCATCCGTCCCCGAGTAAACAGGTCCCTTGTTCGTTCTTCCCCCACGGTCTTTTCGCTTGATTTTCTTTGGCAAACTACGTCCACGACCGATACTGAAACTTTTAGCTCTCTGCTCTGTACCTGAAAAAGTTAGAAGAACTAACTTTAAATATTATAGAATAACAAAATAATGTTCAGTCTGTTAGTTTGCAAGGAAGACTGTATTCTAAACTGTTTGTAATGTACAGTGCCTACTCTTCCCCCATCCACCAGATTCAATGAAAAAAAAATCTTTCCATTTTATCACCTTGGTAACACTTTCTGTTCCTTTGCTTTTAATGGATGTTAACAAAGCAAGGAAGGAGCAAGGATATACACAGAGCTTAAGAAGCCCAATCTAACCTTATGCTTTTCCACTTTCTTTAGGATAATGGCAAGTTTTTCTGTTTTGAGAGAATTAAATATTATTAGTAGAACTTAAAGAAGACATCAGAGTAGTAGTCATTAATTTGTAGCAAACTGTTTTCCTTTTGACAATTCTGAGAAGACCTATACAAATATTTCCAAGTAAACATGTTGTTTTTTGTTTTGGGAAAATTTGGTGCTTAAAAGTATCCAAAAAGGGCCTGGCAGAGCCATAGCCTTGAGGCTCAAGTCCTTCCTCACACGTACTAGGATCCCACACAGGCACTGGTTCTAATCCTGGCAACTCCACTTCCCATCCAGCTCCCTGCTTGTGGCCTGGGAAAGCAGTCGAGGACGGCCCAAAGCCTTGGGACCCTGCACCCAAGTGGGAGACCCAGAAGAGGCTCCAGGTTCCTGAGATCGGCTCCTGACTCAATTCTGGCCGTTGCAGCTGCTTGTCGAGTGAACCATCAGATAGAAGATCTTCCCCTCTGTCTCTCCTCCTTTCTGTATATCTGACTTTCCAATAAATAAATAAACAAATCTTTAAAAAGTATCCAAAAAACATAACTCGTTACGGCAGCAAATTATAATATGTGATAGTATCTCACCTAATCAAAGTCATACTCAAATGAAGACTCCAAAAAACTTAAAATCTATAAAAACAACAAAAAACTACGCAAAAACGTTTCAATCTATTAAATTTTTTAAAATGTTTTAATTACTAATACATTTTCGCTTCAAATGCAATAAAACTTAGGACTAGCACCATGGTAGAGCAGGTCAATCTGCGTGTTGGAGAATTTGTTTGGGTCCCCATCCAGCTCCCTGCTAACATGTCTGTGAAGGCTGCCAAGAACCGCTCAGGCACCTGAGTGGGAGACCAAGATCAAAGCCCTGGCTCCAGGTTCAGCCTGGCCCCAGCCTGGCTGTTGCAGCCATATTTTGTGAATGACAGATCTCTCCAAACAAAAGATCTTTTTCTGTCTCTCCATCATTTCCTGTCACTCTGCCTTTCAAATAAACAGACTTCTTAAAAAGTTAAACCTTGTTGTTACGATTTGCGGAAAGTTACATTTTGCACACTGCTGGAGCTGGGGCCTGTAAAATTAACATATCTTTATGAATATTTACTTGATACATATCTTAATGAATATTTACTTGATACATATCTTAAAATACATAAAAGACATACATGTCTTTTGACTTGGCAAGCCTATTTTTTTTAAAGATTTTTTTTTAATTGAAAAGTCAGATATACAGAAAGGAAGAGAGACAGAGGAAGATCTTCCATCTGATGGTTCACTCCCAAAGTGATCGCAACAGCCAGAACTGAGCTGATCCAAAGCCAGGAGCTTCTTCCAGGTCTCCCATGCAGGTGCAAGATCCCAAGGCTTTGGGTCGTCCTTGACTGCTTTCCCAGGCCACCAGCAGGGAGCTGGATGGGAAGCAAGGCCTCTGGGATAGAACTTGTGCCTATATGGGATCCTGGCACGTTCAAGGTGAGGACTTTGGCCCGCTAGGCCATGGCACTGGGTCCAATCTGATTTTTTATTGTAATTTTTTTTTGAGATATACATAGGAAGAGCTTCCACTTACTGAGTCATTCCCCAAACATCCACGAGAGGCAGAGCTGAGCCACCCCGAAACAGGGAGCTGCCAAGTCAATCCAGAACTCTACAGAGTGACAGGAATCCAACTATTGGATCATCTGCTGTCCCCCAAAGTCTGGGTTAACAGGAAGCTGGGATCAGTACTTGGAAATGTGTACTGAATCCAATGTGGAATGCTGACATCTTGGTAGTGCCTTAACCACTTGGCAAACCAACCACTCCAGGAAATCCACTTTTTATAATTTGTTCTTAAAAAAAAAAAAGATTTCTTTTTATTGGAAAGGGAGATTTACAAAGAGGAGAGGCAGAAAGATCTTCCATCCTCTTATTCACTCCTCAAGTGGCTGCAATGGCCAGGGTTGAGCCTATCTAAAGCCAGTGGAGCAGCCAAAACAGGAACCAAGCCCCATAAGGGATTCTAGCACTTGAAAGGGGAGGACCAGCTAACTGAGCCACTGTAGTACACCCATATAATTTATTCTTAAGAAAAGAAAGTATGCCAAGATGTTTTCTGGGTTATGCATAAGTATGTTTACTGAAGGGTGAATTTCAAGATTTGGAAAAATAAAAACTGGGTCCAACTTCAATCTCTAGTAATTGCTGTACTACTAAACAAACCTAACAATATGTTAGGACAAATTTCTATCAATTTCACTGAACAAAATGTAGCTATTTAAAGCTGCTCATTAACATGGGAGTGATTAAGATACATTTTACAGTTAAGGAGAAAAACAACATGTACAGTTTTTATTAAAAAGATTGGCCAGGAAATTTCTGGAAGAATGTATACACAAAATAATAAAAATTATTATCTCTGGTGGTAGGGATTCAAATTAATTTTGTCTTATCTTTGATTACTGCTACATTATCTTTTCAATAAACAAGAACACTTTTCTGCATTTAACTTCATACTATTTCTATAGCTTCAGGGAAGAAAATATCAAAAATAAAGTGCAATAGCCTCTAAAAAGACAAAGGAGAACTTACAAATCCAGGCAGGAAGATATATGCAAATTCTCTCAACACTATCTTCTGTAAATACACTGATGAGACTACATATGAACTCCATGAGTAAAAAACTCACCACAATAACATTCATGGAGATACATTATTTTTCCTTTGGTTCAATTAAAATTAACATTCATACTTTACAATGAATTTTTCTAAAAGAATTAAGAAAAATAGGTAAATTTATTCATAATTAATTCCTTTTTCAAAAATAATTACAGGGTCTTTAAATAGCGTGGCTGTTAATGTCTTCACCTCAGCCTCATCTTGTTATTCTTTCCCTGAATCTGCCATATCATCTAGCTAACATTTAAATCTGATTTGGGCCTCATGCATGTCAAAGTGTGAAACATGATGTGTTGTCAGCTAGCCAGCTCGCCTTGACCTCTACAGGGACAAGGTACCTCAATATAGCAGGTAAGCAGACAGGCGATAATTCCACAAATTTCTTCAGATTATGTTATTTTCGAAATTAAAGGCTGTTTGCAACCTTATGTACATGTGTACAACAAAGATGGTTACCATATTTTAGTTTAATAGAAGATCTGCTTCCCAGAATGCTGCTCTTACTGATCTAAACTATAAAGTAAATCAGAAACATAACTGTATACTAACATAATATAAAATGGAGGGGAGGACCTGGCACAGTAGGCTTGTGGCTAAAGTCCTCGCCTTGCATGCGCCAGCATCCCATATGGGCGCCGGTTAATGTCCTGGCGCCCTGCTTCCCATCCAGCAGTTGCTTATGGCCTGAGAAAGCAGAAGACAGCCCAGAGCTTTGGGACCCTGCACCCACTATGAGACCCAGAAGAGCTCCTGGCTCCTGGTTTTAGATTAGCTCAGTTCCAGCTGTTGTGGCCACTTGGGGACTCTTCTCTATATATTTCACTATCCAATAAAAACAGATTATTTTTTTTAAAAAGGAGGGGGAAAACATAAGAAAGTTAAATGAAAATTCTACATACTTTAAAATATTAGAATCTTTGTAATTGAAATATTAACGAATCAAGAAGGCTGATAATTATAGATTTCTGTCAAGGTCTACAAAATAAAGGAAAATGAATTTAGGTACCATAAGAATAAATCGATTTTGAGGGGCCCAGCACAAAAACTTAGTGGCTAAAGTCCTCGCCTTACATGTGCTGGGATCCCATATGGGTACCAGTTTGTGTCCTGGCTGTTCTGTTTCCCATCCAGCTCCCTGCTTGTGGTCTGGGATACCAGTCGAGAACGGCCCAAAGCCTTGGGACCCTGCACCCACGTGGCAGACTGGGAAGAAGCTCCTGGCTTGGATCAGCTCAGCTGTGTCCATTGCAGACACTTGGGAGTAAACCAATGGACAGTCTCTCTGTGTAAATCTGACTTTCCAACAAAACAAAAAAATCTTCTTAAAAAAATTTTTTTAACAAATTATCTATTCTTACTGCAAAGTCAGATATACAGAGAGGAGACACAGAGAGGGAGATCTTCTATCCAATGATTCACTCCTCAAGGGATCGCAACGGCCAGAGCTGAGCAGATCCAAAGCCAGGAGCCAGGAACTTCCTCCAGTTCTCCCATGCGGGTACAGGATCCCAAGGCTTTGGGCCATCCTCAACTGCTTTCCCAGGCCACAAGCAGGGAGCTAGATGGGAAGTGGAGCTGCTGGTATTAGAACCGGTGCCCATATGGTATCCAGGCATGATGAAGGCAAGGATTTTAGCCACTAGGCCACCATGCCAGGGTCCAAAAAAACTTATTTTGAGAAACGATTAAGACATTTCTAAGTTTCACCCTGGAGGTACCTGTTGAAATAAGGTTCTCATATTCTAAAACGGACTACAATTTTAAACTGACCTTGCTGAATTCCTTTCATCCTCTGTTTTTTCCCTGGATCTTTAGAATATGATGAACCTAAAGCACTGCTTGAGGATTCTTTACCATGTCTATATTGCTTCATCTGTCTTGAAAAATCTTCCTCTGTTTCCTGACCGTAGTTACCAAAATTGTCATCACTGTAGTTACCAAAGTTGTCATCACTGTAGGCACTGTACTCATCATATTCTTTACTCTTGAATTTTTTATGTTGATCCTTCTTTGATGTCATGTAGCTTCCTGATACGTGTCCATGCTAAGAAAAAAACGGGCAATCATTTTAGCAAGTTTTCCACTATATGCTTAATAGCACTTAACAGCAACAAAAGGCATCTTTTCAAGGAATGAATAAAGAAACTGTGGTACATTTACTCTATGAAATATTATTCAGCCATAAAAAATGAAATTTTCAACCAAATGGTCCCAACTGGAGAACATTATGTTCAGTGATATTTGCCAAAGGGCAAATATCATGTTTCCTCTGATACAAGGCAACCCTTATGCAAAATACAAGATAGAGAGATATACAGTAATTTGTGTATATACATATTCATCTAGAGGAACTGTATATAGAGACTAGTATACAGAGAAGTGAAGATATATTGCAGTATGCATTTCCACTCCCAATGAAACAGTTAAATATATGTTGACAATAAGATGCTGAACTTTCTATCATCGTCTATGCTTACAATGTCAGGATACAGTGTGATGGACTCGTAACTGTTCCTGAAGGACTATACTATTATAATAATATAGGGGAAAATCGAGGGGAGGTCTACTGGGGAGGAAAGAGAGGCAGTCAGCCTACATAATTGTATTATAAAAAATAATAATAAAATGTAAAAAGATCTTTTCTCCATACTAAGTTGAAAAACAGAAGCAAAGGTATTTATTAGTTTTAATCTTTTTTAAATTAATTGACTTAACAGAGAGAGAAAGCAAGACAGAGCTCCCATTTGCTAGTACACTGCTCAAATTCCTGAAATGACCTTGGGTGGGGCAAAGCTGAGAGAGGTCAGCAGTCCCCGCCTCCCAGAATGTGCAGTGGCAGGAAGCTCAAGTGAGGAGCCAGAGCCAAACCCTTAGTTCCCTGAAGCCACAAAATAGGAGGATTGCCCAAAGCCTTGGGATCCTGCACCTGCATGAGAGACCCAGGTACAGCTCTTGATTCCTGCCTTTGAGTAAGTTCAGCTCCAGTCAATGAGGCTATCGGGTAGTAAACCATTGGATGAAGATCTCTCTGGCTTTCCTCTCTGCAGAGGTTTCCAATAAAATAAATCTTTTTTTTTTTTCTTAACGAACATGGTTTATACATGCAAGAGAATATTATTTGGCTTCAAAAATAATGAAAAATGTATGAACTTCAAAGTACTGTGTTGTTATTGTGAAATTTTTCACTTCATATGAATAAAATAATTTTTTAAATTGTGCTGAAAAAGATAAGAGACACAAAAGAACAAATACTGGATGACCCACCTATATAAAGTATGTAGAGTGGGAAAAATGCATACAAACAGAAAGTACAATAGTGGTTACCAGTGGATGGGGCAAAGAAAACTAGCTTTAGTTGTTTCATGAGTATAGTTTCTATTTGGAATTCACACAAAGTACTAGAGAAAGCTAAGTGATGGTGACTGACAATACTGTCAACACACTCAATGCCACTGAACTGCACACCTTAAAAATGATGGAAACAGAGTTCATGCCATAAGCTTTATCACAATGTATCTTTTAAAAATACAATACCTGAGAAAATGGAATGTCATAATCCCTGTAGAAACCACTTCTTTTTTTATGGGAACTTTCTGTATGTTCAACGTCTGAATCAGGGCTGTAGTCGGAACTATCATCACTAGAGGGAGAATTATGCTGCAGAGAAAAAGACGAAGATGTTGCATTTGTAAAAAGGAAGCAAATTACCTAGGAAGCAGACAAGCTTGTTTTGGTTAGAAACACTAACCAGCAGATCTTACTATGCCAGTAGCCTGAATGTTGCTGGCAAATCCTCACATCAACTTCTCCGTCTTCTAGGAGGAAAGGATAGGTATCTTCCTTTCTGCTTAGAGACTTCATGGCAACATTTTCCTCCTCATCCTTTTGGCACAAGGACTTGAGTTGGAAGTTCCCTGTGCTCCAAAATGACCTTATATTTAAGCTCATCATAAAGGAAGAATTCTCAACACCAAAAAGGAGACGTGAAACATGAGGGGAGTACGTATTATTTTTACCTCAAATGACATCAAGGGTTCTTACTCTAATATGTTTGTACTCTTAAACGACACAACATTACAAATCATATGAAATGAATCCAGCTCTCAAAACTGAACAGAAATAAAAACTACAAAAAACTGATAATAATTGACAAATATAAAATTTCAACGAAAAGGTCATGAAATCATCTCTCTGGTCTGTCTCTCTCCTTCCAACACTGAGTTTTCTATTTAGAGAGTTCTTTTTTTATTTTTTTTAAAGATTTTTATTTTTATTATTTTGTTATTGGAAAGGCAGATGTACAGAGAGGAGAGACAGAGAGGAAGATCTTCCATCCGATGATTCACTCCCCAAGTGAGCGCAACGGGTCGATACTACGCCGATCCGAAGCCAGGAGCCTCTTCCGGGTCTCCCACGCGGGTGCAGGTTCCCAAAACTTTGGGCCGTCCTTGACTGCTTTCCCAGGCCACAAGCAGGGAGCTGGAAGGGAAGTGGGGCTGCCAGGATTAGAACTGGCGCCCATATGGGATCCCGGGCGTGCAAGGCGAGGACCTTTAACCACTTGCGCCACCGCACCGGGCCCAATTTAGAGAGTTCTTAAAAAGCTTAGCAATGAAGACACTGGCTGTATATTTTATGATTTCTTCCCAGCATTAAGGCTGAGTATAAACTCAGAAAAACATGCTGAATTGAATTAAACTCTAATGAACTCACAGAGGAAGAATCTGTTATCTTCCACCCCCTTTCCTAATGTTCTCTTACGGAAGGTAAACTGCTTTCCTCCAGTTTTTTGGTTTTTTTTTTTTAAGATTTATTTATGTTCATTGGAAAGGCAGATATACAGAGAGGAGTACAGACAGAGAGGAAGATCTTCCGTCCGATGATTCACTCCCCAAGTGACCTCAATAGTCATGCTGCGCAGATCCAAAGCCAGGAGCCAGGAACTTCCTCCTGGTCTCCCACATGGGTTCAGGGTCCCAAGGTTTTGGGCTGTCCTCAACTGCTTTCCTAGGCCACAGCAGGGAGCTGGACGGGAAGTGGAGCTGCCGGGATTAGAACCTGTACCCATATGGGATCCTGGCATGTTCAAGGCGAGGACTTTAGCTGCTAGGTCATCGTGCTGGGCCCTTTCCTCCACTTTTAATCTTACATCCTCTGGTCTTGGTTTTCTGTGGTTATTAGTTTTTCTGCCGAGGTGATGGGTGGCATGAAGAAATCTGATGTTTTAACATTAAATCTTTCAAGGATTTGAAATAAACACTGTCCATTCTTAACCCATGTTTGTTCAGCCACTACCAAAAGTCTGCTCCAATTCTAAGGAGAGCCTCTTGTTTGAAGAACACTACAGAGATAACACTGTTCAAGAAGAATCTCTAATACAGACACTGATTTAGGAAGAACAGTTGGAAAAGAGAAGATGCTGAGGCAGAGAGGGCTTCTGAAGCTACTCCCAAAGATGAGACTTAACACACGGAGTTTGTAGCTCACATGGAGAAATAAAAAGTAACCTCTAACCAGAAATAAGAAACTGAATTAAATGAAAAAATCAAAATAGGGCCATCTCTTTGGGCCAACTGGCTAATCCTATGCCTCCAAGTGCTGGGATCCCATATGGGCATTTCAGCTGTTCTACTTCCTATCCAGTTCCCTGCTTGGCCCTGACAAAGCAGTAGAGGACGGCCCAAGTCCTTGGGACCCCGTGAGAACTTTATTTGCTAGGCCACTAGCAGATAAAATTAAAAGTGGATTGCCCAAACCAATCCACTTTTAATTTTGAGATTCCTAGGGCAAACTTGTTACTTCATTTTTCTGTATGTGTTGTAAAGTTTTGGTTTTGCTATTTTTAATTGCTCTGCTTCTATGGGAGAAATAGAGAATTTCAAAAATCATCCCATCACTGCTGCCAACTTTTCCCTGATTTTTCTGTCAGCACAGGTCTCCCTTCTTCTTTCCCACCCCAAATCTGTATCACTGTCCAGCAGTATCCTGTTGCTTTCCTGAACATCTGTTTTCTCCTTTGACTATCTCTTCTGTCCTTCCTGCTTCCACATAACCTTGGTAAGATAACTTTTGGACATCATTTTAACTCCCCTCTTGTGGCACAGTGACTTCCATTGTAGGTACTGAATGCATATGAATGAGTAAATCAATGAACAAACAAAATACTGCGAATCCATATCTGCAGGGAAGATCTTTCCTTGGTCTTCCAATATCCTGGTGTACAATCTTCCATCAGTTAGAAGATTATTTAATCTATAGTACAATTTATCTTGATTTGTAGAAATCTTTAATTAATATATTTACATTTACACTTTTTTAAACACATAAGTATCTAATCCACACATATCATAAGAAAACAGGCACTGATTTCTAAATTCTAATGTTCAGTATTGTACAATTCATAGAAATTTACCAACAAGAATAAAAAAAGGAAATTCTAACCAACCTTATGTTTTTCACGTTTTCTCCTTTTGGATTTTTTCTTCTCTCTTTCTTTCTTGTGTTTTTTCCTTGATTTTCGGTAGGCTTTTTCGTTTTTGTCATTTTTGTCATTTTTCTGCTTTTTATCTTCCTTTGCTTCCTGTTGCTGTGTTTCTTCAAATCCTGCGTCATCTATCTCACCATCTTCCAATTCACCATCTTCTCTGTAGAAGACAATGAGCATTTTAATTTTCAAATGTCAATTACTAAAAGATTTTACACAAACTTTTCAAAAGGAAAAAAAAAGTCCCAAGAACTGAAATTGCACTCATTTACATAAAGGATTGAAAATTGTCTTTATAAAGGCATGGAGAGTAAATATTTTACACTTGCAGGCATACGAATATGTTCCTTTGCCGAAAACGTTTCTTTTTAACAACCATTAAAAATGTAAGAACCATCCTCAACAACTAAGGTTGCCAAGCTTGGTTTTAGAGCAAGAATTTGACTTTCACAAAATGACTGGATGAATGACACATCCAGGTATTTATAATAGTTATCACCTAAAAAATATCTCTAAAAAATTTAAACTACTTTAACAAAACACTAACCGCAGAAAACTTTAACTTAGTTGCCCATAGACAGCTTTAAAATAAAAGCCATCTATGTTTCTTATCAGCAAAATTAAATAAGTGAACAAATTTTTGTATGTAAACATGTAGCAAAACCAAAGACATGCAACTGTAAATTCTTTCATTTGAAAAATCTGCAAGGTGAAATTATAAATTCCACCTTTCAAAGTAGTCTCTTTGGAGGCTGATTATAGGAAAAATATGACTTTCATATTTTGACCTTTTTTTATAGTTACAGAATCCAAATGTTCACCAACAGTGCCTTGGAGCTGCCTGTGGTATCATGGGTTGAGCTACTGATTGGAACACATCAAAGTATCCAAGATAAAGTCCCTTTTCCTCTGTTTCCAATCCAGCTTCCTGCTAAGGCACCTGGGTGCCCTGAAAGCGACCTATGGTTCAAATACATGTGTTCCTACCATCCACAAGACCTGGACCGAGTACCTGCCAGCAGGCTTCATCTGCTAGCCCCAGCTGCTGCAGGCACTTGAGAAGTGAACCAGCAGATATAAGATTCTCTCTCTTCCTATGGGGCCCAGCGTGATAGTGTAGCAGTTAAGGTCCTCCCCTTGAATGCACTAGGATCCCATAGGGGCACTGGTTCCAATCCCAGCTGCTCCACTTTCCATCCAGTTCAGCTCCCTGCTTGTGGCCTGGGAAAGCAGTGGAGGATGGCCCAAAGTCTTGAGACCCTGCACCCGCATGGGAGACCCAAAAGAGGCTTCTGGCTTCAGATTGTCTCAGCTCCAGCCATTGCGGCCGCTTGGGGAGTGAACCATCAGACAGAAGCTCTTCCTCTCTGTCTCTCCTCCTCTCTGTATAACTGACTATGAAATAAAAATACATAAATCTTTAAAAAAAAAGTCTCTTCCTTTCTCTCTTGTGATCACTTTGCTTTTCAAACAATTTTTTTAAAGATTTATTCATTTGCAAACTGATGCCATGGCATAGTAGGTTAAGCCTTTCCCTATTGTGCCAGCATTCCATATGGATTCTAATTCGAGTCTCAGCTGTTCCATTTCTGATCCAGCTCCCTGGAGGGGAGGATGGCCCACATCCTTGGGATCCTGATCCCTTATGGGAGATCTAAAAAAAGCTGCAGGCTTCTGGCTTTGGATCAGCCTAGCTCTTGCTGTTTTGGCCATCTGGAGCGTGAACAAATGAATGGAAGATCTGTGTGTCTCCTCTCTCTCTCTCTAAATCTGCCTTTCAAAAAAGAAAAATCTTTAAAGATTTGCTTATTTGAAAGTCAGAGTCACAGAAAGAGAAGGAGAGACAAAGATCTTCCATCCACCAGTTTTCTCCCCACATGGCCAGACCTGCTCCCTCTGAGCCAAAGCCAGGGCCAAGATTTCATCTGGGTCTTCTCACATGGATGGCAGGAGCCCAAGCACACGGGCATCTTATGCTGCTTTTTCCAGGCCATTAGCAGGGAGCTGAATTAGAAGTGGAGCAACTGGGACATGAACTGCCTCCCATGTCAAATGCCAGCAGGATCACAAGTGGCAGCTTTATCTTCTATTCCACAACACTAACCCCCCTCATGCACACTTTTTAAAAATATTCATTTTTTAAAAATATTTATTTATATTTGAAAGGCAGCGAGAGAGAGAGAGAGAGAAAGCAGCTAGAGCTGAGCCAATCCTGAAGCCAGGAGCCAGGAGCTTGTTCCAGGTCCCCAGCGTGACTGCAGGGACCCAAAGACAAGCCATCCTCTGTTGCTTTCCCAGGCCATGAGCAGGGAGCTGGATCAGAAATGGAGCAACCAGAACTTGAACCAGTGCCCATATGGGACGCTGGCACAGACAGCATAGCCTACTACACCAAGGCACCAGTCCCATAGAGTGTGTGCTTTCTAAAGATAACTTACAATTACTAAGATTACTAAGAATGCTCTAAAATGCAAAACTGATCTTGTCCAGCTAAATATCTTCAATGTTGACATATCTCAAATTTGCTTCAAAAATCATATACTGCTGATACAAGAGGAGTCTCAATATGACTGACCATGAGTTGGTAATTGCTCAAACTGTGGGATATACATATATAACAGTCACTCTATTATTCTTTAAGATGTTTTGTATTGGAAAAGCAGATTTACAAAAAGAGGAAACAGACAAAAAGATCTTCCACTCACTGGGTCACTCGCCAAATGGCTGCAATGGCCAGAGCCAAGCCAATCTAAAGCCAGGAGCCAGGAGCTTCTTCCTGGTCTCACACATAGGTGCAGGGTCCCAAAGCTTTGGGCCATCCTCCATCGTTTTCCCAGGCCACAAGCAGGATCAGAATTAGTATCAGAATTGAAGCAGCCAGAACACAAACTGGTGTCTATATGGGATGCCTTGCTGGCAAGTGGAGGATAGCCAGCTAAGCCACTGCACCATCCTATTATTCTTCACGTTCAGTTTTCAATGTGAGCCAGCATTTTGTAATTTTTTTAAAGATTTATTATTATTATTATTTTTTATTGGAAAGGCGGATATACAGAGAGGAGAGACAGAGAGGAAGATCCTCTGCCCGATGATTCACTCCCCAAGTGAGCGCAATGGCCGATCCGAAGCCAGGAGCCTCTTCCGGGTCTCCCACGCGGGCGCAGGGTCCCAAAGCTTTGGGCCATCCTCAACTGCCTTCCCGGGCCACAGGCAGGGAGCTGGAAGGGAAGCGGGGCTGCCGGGATAGAACTGGCGCCCATATGGGATCCCGGGCGTGCAAAGTGAGGACCCTCACCACAGCGCCACCGCGCCAGGCCCAAGCCAGCATTTTGGTACAATGGTTTAAGTCACAGCCTGTGTGCCAATTGGGAGTCCCATCTGCTCTGCTTCTGATCCAGCTCCCTGTTAATGAGCCTGAGAAAGTAGCAATAGGAAGAGCCAAGTACCTGGACCTCTGTTACCCACATGCCTTTAGCCTGGCCCAGTCCCAGTCATTACAGCCACTTGGGAGTGAACCAGCTGATGCAAAATCTATGTCTCTGACTCTCCCTTTCTTTCAAATAAACAAGCAAACAAACCTTTGAGAAAACAAAATTTTCTATAATAAAAAGGTAACTGTTCCCTCTGGTCTGAGGATACTGATCTCCCGTTACTGCCTAAAAACCATTTATAATTGAACTCTTGCTTAACTGCTTTCAACTTCTCAACCCTCTACACCTTAAACAAAGCCTAAAAAGTCAAGATTTCATTGGCTACCTCCATAACCAGTCCCTTCACTAGGCTAAGTCCAAATCACTACGTCGGCCTCCAATGGGATGTCACTTCAAGGTTTGGGGATATGCTCCATCCTAAGCACTTGCCTAATGACTCTCCTTGCTTAATGCCATACTTGGTATATTATGTTCAAATGGCTTCTTTGTTGGTAAAAGCGGGGTGTGACTATTTTTCAGACTCTGCCAGCACTTCGCATGGTACCCTGCTGCTCACTGAATGCTTAAATGATAATATCTCTAACTCCTGCATCCTAGAACAGGCATGTGATACATTTTTTAAACGGCTGAAAAGTCACTACTATCTTTCCCCAACTTCTATTCATTTACAGACTTCTGTTTCTTGTGGTGATTTCAAGAAAAACGCTTTCAGCTTTTACAAAATTGTAGCGTTACCCAAGAAAATGAGCACATATACTCATCAAAAACCAAGTTGCTTTAGCAGACTGTTACAGTAGTAAAAAAAAAACAAACAAAACCAACTGTAAACCTCCAAGTATATATCAATGCACGAATTATAAATTGTACTTTATATAATTCTATTAAGAAACTACCACTACACAAAACTACATTGATGAAATTTATAAACAATGAACAAAAAGAAGCCAGACAAAACATGGTAATTTCTTTTTTTAAAAAAAGATTTATTTTTATTGGAAAGTCAGATATACAGAGAGGAGAAGAGACAGAGAGGGAGATCTTAGATCTGTTGATTCACTCCCCAAGCGGCCACAATGGCCGATGCTGCGCCGATCCAAAGCCTGGAGCCAGGAGCCTCTTTGGGGTCTCCCACATGTGTGCAGGCCTTTAGCCATGAGGCTACCATGCCAAGAGAACACTATAATTTTATTAAATGTACTTCAAAAACAGTTAACACTAATCTATAGCGACAGAAGTCAAAACTGTGATGACTCCTTGACAAAAAGGGGAAGGATGATACTAGAAACACTCCTGGGGCTTTGAAATATTCTGCACATTGATCTGTGTATGTATATGCACAACTGTAACAGGTCATCAAGCTGGACAATTAAGAAGTGTACGCTTGGGTCTGGGTAGATAGCCTAGTAGCTGAATCCTTGCCTTGCATGCACCAGGATCCCGTATGGGTACTGGTTTGTATCTTGGCTGCTCCACTTTCCATCCAGCTCCCTGCTTGTGGCCTGGGAAAGCAGTGGAGGATGGCCCAAAGCCTTGGGACTCTATAACCATGCGGGAAACCCGAAAGAGGCTCTGGGCTTCAGATCAGCTCAGCTCTGACCACTGTGGTCACTTGAGAAACAAATCTGCAGATGGACTATCTCTCTCTCTCCTTCTCTCTGTAAATTTGACTTTCCAATAAAAATAAACCTTTTTTTTTAAAAAATCATGGGCCTGGCGGCGTGGCCTAGCG